AATTGCCGGATAGGCAATCAATTCGCCAATTACGCAACTTGACGCCGAGTGGAACGCCTGTTATGCGATAAGTGGAAGCGGAAGACCCTTTACACCCCTTTGGACTCCCTTGGACCCCTTTGAGTATTATTAGTGGCGGGGATAAGGCTACAGTGGCAGAAAACATATAATAAAATAATTCTTAAATTAAATAAAATATATAAAATCCTACAACTCCATTTAACGAATATACTGAGTCTATTTTTGGTGAACATTGAGTACATTTTTTTTTTTTTTTGGTTGTTTTTTATGAGTATTTTAGCTTATGTTGGCCGTCATTTTGGATATTTTTGATTATTTAAGCTGTATTTTACGTGTATTCTTCGTATATTTTAAGACTATTTTGAGTGTATTTTTTTATGTACTTTAAATGAATTTGAGGTGAATTTTGGTTATAAGTATAAAGTATAAAGTAAGGAAGCAATAGTTTTTCTCTCTGTTACTGAGCCGCCTGCGCGCATCGCATCGGTGGAAACATTGGCAGTCACTTGCTGGTTTTCCGCTTCAACTTTGGCAGCATGTCAAGTTCGTCAGATGGCTTCCGCCAACAGCTGGCGTTACTCTTAACCCTGACCGCCACTTGGCCCCACTCTCCACGTCCAGCAGTCCCGTCGAAAGCTTGCTGAAAACTTTATGGTAAATTTCGTGCGTTAAGCCTTTTGACAGCTGCACCAATTTCGAGTATTTTTCTTAATTTTTCCAATAAATTTTCTCTACTTTTGCGGTTGCAACTTGCAAGTGGCCACAGCAGCATGAGAGACCAAGCGACCATAATAGCTGGCAAAGGAAAGGCTTGGTCGGAAAACTTTGGCTTAATGTTTGCGCATTTTATGAACCTGCTAGAGACGACGACTCTTACGAATATCAGCAACTATTTTGCACTTAGTCGCAGTTGAAGCATAAAATTGATTTTTAATTGGAAATTGTTTGCATATTTTGTGCACGGCCAACGAACCAGGCAACCCGCACCTGGGTGAAAGTGAGCTAGAGTTCATGTGAGAATTTCGCCAGGCACTGAAAGAGACGAGCAACAAACTTGATAAAAGTCCAGGACCTCAAGTAAAAGCAGCCTGAAAATTCAATAGAATACCGGACATAGTGCATATTTAGAATACAAAATATATATGATGGAAAATGAATATAATTAAGGTCTCGATCGCACTACTTTCTATATGCCAGACGGCAGGAAATTGAATGCCCCTACCCTCACCCAATGTGTTTGAGTTTATTAAAATTGTAAATCAAATATCCGCCGAGCAAACAAAACGGCGACTGGGGAGGAGATGCACGGCATCAACAATGCTAGTGGAGAGTGGGTGGCATTGCTCCATCCGATGGCCAGACCTGCCAGCACATTCAACTAGGTCAGGCCCGCCGGCCAAATCGCGGTCGACAATTTCGCTGCGGTTGCAATAGCAGCACCCAGCCAGCCCCCAGCCGCCCAACCAAACAGCCACCCACTCTGCCTCACATTGCACCACCCACCGCCGTAGGGGTGCCAACTGTCGAGCATGCGCCAGACTCGCAGGGATTCCCCTGCGGCGAATTCGCCGGCGGCCCTCCGCTGTCGCACTCTGACACAAAACACAACACAGAACACAATCGCGCCGTGTTGCCTACAATTTCCCTTTTGTATATCAATTGCATTTCGTTTTATGGCCTTTTATTGCTTCATTTCGGAATTTTGGTGTGTGTTTACCAAGCGGCGTCCCGTGCATCGCGTGCCCGCGGACTACAGACTATAGACTCCCGACTATAGACTACGGGTTACGGGCTAATGATGCCACTTGCCAGCACCAGGAGCAGCACCAGCAGGAGCGGCAAACAAATGCCAGCGACAAAGGCGCTGCCAAAGTTTGGCTGCCCGCTTCTGGCATTCAGTATGGCGTGTCCTGGTACTGCCAAAAACCACAGAGGATAGAAAATAATAGGCTGAGAAATGGATTGAAGCTTCAAATACCCTTTGGAAAAATAAAATAAATTAGTAATAATAATAATTAAAAATTTTATAAGAATATATTGATTAAGAAATTAAATTAGTAAAATCAAATAAAGGCATGGAAGACTCTGGCTTCTATAGGAAATAATTAAATTAAATTTAAAATCAATTAGGATTTAGTTTTAGTTTTTAGGTTGTTATATATCACTTAAAATATTTACCTTGCTTATAGAATGTTTTTGAAAGATCTCCCAGCTTTTTGAACTCTACTAAAGCTTAATTTTCGATTTTAAAGTTTGAAACAAACTCGATGTTGCAGGCGTAATACCCCCGTCATATGTGGCTTCACAAAAAAAAGGACAGCTCATGCTGCGACCGCCTATCTCGTGTCCTTTGTCGAGGCATGTCTTTAGTCATAACTTGCTCTTGTTCTTGTAGCTGTTGTTATTGTTGTGGCTCGTGGTGGTGGGTCATGTGCATGTAATTATTTTAGTAAAAATATGTGAATGCAAATACTGTAGGCCTCATTCACAGTGCAATGTGCATATTTTATGCACTTTTGCTTTTCGCTTGACAGCAAAATTTATTTGACCGACTTATTTTTCGTGTTCCTTTTATTTTTTTGGGTCCTTTTGAGGGACTGAGGGACAGGGCCTGTGTGTGTGTGCACACACAACGACGACAGGACAGCGACAACAAAAGCGTTGACAACAGGCAGCGGCGTTGCTCTTGAGAGTTACAGTTATATTTCCGCAGTTTAAAAAAAAAAAACTTTTAATTACATTTTGAGCCACGCACAAAGGCGAGAAATAATCAAATTTCATATGCAAATTGTTGGCAGCACTCGCGGCCCAAAGGAGCCAACTTAATGGCCAACAAATTTCAATCGAAGAAGCTGCAAAGTCTGGCAAAGGAAAGTGAAAATATTTGCTTAACAATACATATGTTCTTTCTCTTTTTTTTTTGGGATTTCCGCATCGCTTTTCTTTTGCCTTGGCACACATTTTAAAGGACACTACAAAAAATATATATTTTCTTAACTAAATTAATTCTTTTAAGCAAAGAAAACTTTCTTTTAGGCTTTAGGAAGTACAAAAAATCGTACAGAATTTTCACAACATTTAGAGGAATAAATACGAAGGATACTTTTATTTATTTATTTCCAAAATTAAGAAGAACTAGAGCTACTAAGAGCCAAGATAGTGAATGTATTTTAAAGGACTCCTACGATGAAGAAATTTATAAAATACTACAAACAAAAAAACGTTGTTCAAGTTTATTATTTATTATACAAATTTTTATTTTAATTTTTCATTTAATTCTAAATGTATATATTGCATCATCCACAGCAACTATAAAGATATACATACATATATGTATTTTTTAAATATTTTTACGAGTGCAAAAAGCGCACAGCTGAAAAAGGACTGCCACATGCCACATGGCTAATGATAATTATCAAGCTAACACACTCGCACACACTCAGATACGTATGTACTTATTCAGGGCCCCATAATAAATATTTGAAAATATTTCTGCGTAATTTTATTTTCCAATTTTAAGGCAAATGTGTGAACAGTTGCGTTTTGTGTGTGGCATTGTCGGTGGGTCGAAGTCGAAGGGTGTTCCTTATGTAACTTTTCCAGCCGTACTTTCGCGCCTTTTGCAACTTTTGCGTTTTCATTATTTTATTTAATTAGGTAAATGTATGCAAAGGCACCCAGCCCATGCATATGTATGTGTATTTGAGCACACACCCGCAAGGAGCACACACACCCAAGCGCAACATGTGCCTCGGTAATTACAATTACTTTTAATAATGTTGCCAGCCCCTAAATGGGCTAAAGGATTTAGCTTTAGGTTCAGCCTAAGATTTCAAGATTTGCGCAGAGCTCTTCTCAAGAAGCTAAGCAGCCAAATTAACTTGGAGGCCTTGTGAAAATGTACATGAATTGAATTTGGGGGAATCAGAAAACCATAAGGATGCCCAATAATAGAATCGCTTTCCATATTAAACTTGATACATTTATAAACCTTTACTCTTGCAGGGTATTTTAGTCATCATAAACAGTCGAGTCGATCTAGCCGTATTGTATTGTCATACTTTGCATAAATTCTTTATTCTATTACCATTACATTATATAAGTCTTAATAGGTCATATCAGACGACTACTACTAACTTAAATCGGTATATTATCAGGAAACAAGAAAGGAAGCTAACTGACCAAATTCCTGCCAAATGCCCCCAAAATACTATGACAATGACTTTCCTTAAGGTTTTTAAAGATTTAAGAGCCTCTTTAAAGCCTCTCATTTATTTGTCCTTAAAAAGTAGTACTCCATTTAATAAAAGTTTATAAAATGGTTTTCTTGTTAATTTTGTTTGAAGCTCAAACTTTGAACAATAAATAGATACGATTGGAGAAAATTGTGTAAAAACTTTCCTTAAAATAAAGTTTCCATTGTTTCCTTTTCTAAAATAATATTTTTTTTTATTTCGTATGATTTTAATATATAAAAACTGGGCATATTGAGAATTTATTTATATAAAATAAAAATTGATTTTAATTTCAATTGTTTAAATAATAAATAATATTTAACATAATATAAAAAAAAACAAAACCCAAAAATTAGAGCATCTTACCACAGTTTTAGGACAACTGTTAAAAGATAAACAAACTGTTATACAAAATATACAGTTTTAAGCAGAGGTGAACAATGCGCATGAAAACAGTTTGAGAGCAATATGGTTTGGCACCGTAATATTTTTAACAGTTTGTGTTATATTTATGTTATATTTACAGTTTAACAGACATGCTTCTGATAATCATTTTGTTCTCTTTTCTTTTTAAATAATAAAAAATGAAAATATCTGTAAATATTTTACTAAATATAATAAATTTAATAAAATTTATCATAACCACTCGATTTAATAACATTTCAAAATTATACGGTTTAAAAGCACTGCCATGCGATATGTTCAATAATAAAAACACGTTAAATATATATTTTGTAATACTTTTTGCATGTTTATTAATATTTTTATTGATTTTGTATTTTTATACATTTTTTTGTTGGTTTTGTTTTCGGTTTAATACATAATATATACTTCCGCATATCCATTTGGTGATACATGTTCTCCCGCAAATCTATAATATGTGTTTCTTCCGCTCGTAGATAATACAATAGTAGTGTAGCTATACAATTAAGGATAGAAAAGAGTGCTTGACTTAGGCTTATGAGTTACAAATTAGATGAATAACCAATTAAAGTTAAGTCATACGGACTGATAGGCATTTTTTATAGTTACAAATGAAGGGGAGTAAGATTAATAGTAAGTGTAGGCTGTTAACATATATATCGTACAATTTGAAATCACCTTGAGCTGTTGGGCCCAACAGCATAAGCTCGTTACAAATAAGAAAGAGAGAGTCCCAGCTTAAAAAGCGAACAAAAACCCAACGAATTAGGGATTTTCTTGAGCTTGCGACAGAATAAAAATCAAAAATCAAAGACTGCAAATCATTTAGTAAACACCAGTTGCTGCTGCTGGTGCATCAAAGGCCATAGATATGTGGAAAATACATTTCCAGATCAGCGAGAGCATGGAAAGAGCAACAAAAATATTTATTCTAATGCACCCGGGGCTTAGACATTGCCTAATATCGATTGGATCCGCTCTTGAGCTCTTCAATTATTGTATCTGGGTGTGTGCCCAGTGTATCTGCTTAGCTCTTCCTGCTTGGTATGCTTTAAGTAATGTTAGCTCGAGTATTGACTGTATACTATGCCATCTTGCATACGGTATAGAAAATATTTTATACACTTTTGTATCAGTTTCTTGTGGGTCGGGTAGCAAAGCATCTACGCATTTATATGTGGTATGTCGTATGCTGTGTATATACATCAAAATATTTGTTTAATTTACGCGTACTTGGCATATGTTTAGATTTCATTATGTATACTTGGTAAAAAAGAGAAAATTTAGCTACTTCTCACACTTGTACGCTCTAACGCAAATCAGGACAACGAAATCAATCAAAGGATACCAGCACATCTCGCCATCAGTTCTCGCTCCCTGATCCCTGCTCTCCCATCTAAATATCACTTTCCGGGCCAACAGTAACTAAGCAATCGAGCCGCACACAAAGCCTTAGTCTAGAATTTTACAATGTTGCATTGTTTGTTTGTTGAATATGTTTTTCTATGTTATGCTGTTTTTTGTTGGTTTATCGGGGTTTGCTGCTAATCGCCGTCTGTCGTCTGCCGTTGACTAATTGGGATGACGCTTGGACGCTCTTGGACTCGTTTGGACGCTCAACGCACTCGCGAGGTGGGTCTGAAAGAGGGGTTATACTTAGTTGCAGGGCTTAAGCTTTTTATAAACTCAATTCTCTCACCTGGGCGATTGGGCAACACCTTGACGCTTGGGCGTATTTGGCGCCGTAACCGCTACTCGATTGGTCGGCGTACGCGCCCTTCCCGACGCTGGTGTGGCGGAGGATGTGGGTGTGGTCGCTCCGGCCAGACTATAACGCTTCGGCTGCACCATTCTGCTGGGCGATCGGGTGCTAACCTTGGCTCCACTGGCTGCTTCCTGGGCGCTGGTGAGTCTGTGTGGGCGGGGGGAGGAGACAAGAGCGGGTTTGTTGTGACTTTTAGTGACAGTCTTGGGGGTGGTGGCAGCGGCACGGGCCGGCGAAGGCGTGCCCATGACGGGAATAGTTTTTGAGGAAGTGGGCGTGGTACTCCTGATAAGGGGTAACCGGGTAACATCATGCAAAATAATAATTTCACGCAAGAGCCAAAAGGGTACACCAAAAACGAAAAGAAATTAAATTTTGTAAAGAAAAACAGTCCAAAAGAAATCATGTCTAATTTGTTGTAAAATATATATATAATATATACTGACCTGCCCGCTGGGTAGCTCACTGGCCGCGGAATCCTTGACCTGGGCGCCGAATTGGAACCCGTCGAGTTGGCCGAGGTGGGCGTGGAGCCACCGCTCTTGGTGGCCGCCTCGCTGGCCAGCTCTTTGAGCATGCTGGAGTCCTTGCTCATCAGCTCCCACTGGATCTGCAAGCGCTTGAAGCGATTGCTCTCGATCTTGCGCTGCTCCATCACGTCCAGCGTTTCGCGACGCTGCAGTGCTGCCACGGAAATGTTGGGGGAATTGGGTGGCGTGGCAAAGCGCTGAGCATGCTGCGGCTGTAGGCCGGCAGCTACACCCTCGTCATTAAAGGAGACCTTCTTCTGCTGGCTGAGCACCCGGCTGACTTCCTTTTTAAGAGCGGCCGCATCGTAGGTCACCTGCTCGCCGGAAGACTCCAGGATGGCCGCAATCTCGGCATAGTGCTTCAGTTCGGAGCGCGGCAGCGAAGCCAGGAAGTTCTCGGCGCGAGCCCTGGCATCGAGATCCTTGCGGGACAGCCGCTGTTTCACCGGCTGCGCCTGTGGTAAGTGCTCCTCCTCCTCGAAGACATCCGCCAGCTCGTCGTTGGACCCCAGCGCATAGTTATGCGGCGGCTCCTGCAGGCTGCGACGCTTCTCGAGCTTGGTCAGCTTTTGCGTCTGCTGTGCCTCGATCATGGAATTGCGCTTAGAACGCGCCTGTGCTGAGTGTGCCTTGCGCAGAATGCTTCTGGGCATGGGCTGTGGCGGTGTCTGAGTCGGCTGACTGCCGGGACTCGTCTCCACACCAGAGTCCATGCGCTGCTGATCATATTGGTACACATACATCTGCTTCAGCGGATCCGTATCCAACTCGGAGTCGGTCAGCAGTGTGGACGAGCCGCGATAGCCAGAGCTGGGCTGCTGACTCGATCCCGAACTGGAGGCCTCGTCCATCTGGGTCTGTCCCTGGAAGTACTTGGCGCAGTCGCAGATGTGTGAGCGGTTGCGCCGAATGGGCGGCGACATGCAGAAGAGCGGACGCTGCGAGAGCTCCGCGTCCAGCTGCCGCACCAGATGCTTCACCTCCGGAATGTGCTGTAGCCGCCGGCGGTACTCCGTCGGCAACAAGGTGGCCAGCGACTGCCAGTCCGAGACGTGCTTGTAGTCCAGCGTCTTGAGAATCTCATCCTCACTTGCACTCTGGCTACTACTGCGCTGCTGCTTCTTTAGAGATCCCGAGCTGCCGGCACTGCCCGCCGCCCCGTCCAGCGTCATCTTGTAGTTAAAGGGCGAGAAGATCACATCCGTGCTAGCATTGGTCTTCACGAATCCCAGGTCGGGCAGCGCGTAGTTCGGATAGATCACGTAAATCGGCGCCTGTCGCTCTTCGCCCAAGTTGTTTAGCTTCTCGAGGAACGAGGGCGGCACACAGCGATAGCGCTCACTCAGGCTGCTCCTGGTGGTGCTCAGCGATCCGCAGGAGGTCTGCATGGAGCGCGTAATCATCTCGGAGCTAGAGGCACAGGACAACGGACGCGTGCTGGGCCCGCATCCCGCATCCGCGCGCCTTGGCACCTGAGTTAGCTGCTCTGAACTCGCCTCCGAGGACATCTGGCTGCCTGTGGAAACCTGGGCTGCCAGCTGGTAGAGCTGGGGATTCCTCAATGGCATACTGCGGCGACGATGCGCTGGTGAGTTGGTGGCCGTGAGCGATCCCGTGGAACTGGAGGTGGCCACATCATCGTAAAAGACGGCCTCCAAACGGTTTCTCAACTGGCGTCGCGGAGTCTCCTGTTCTGGATAGTTCTCCTCCTCGTCGTGGCGACTCACTGCCGAACCCTTGCCCGAGTCATTCATGCTCTTCTTGCGCAGGCGCTGCTCCAGAGAGCCACTGCTCGAGCTCGCGGCATCGCTAGAGGGCCAGCAGCCGGAGGAGACGTCCATGCACGTGTGAGCACTCGCCTGTGCGACCAAGTCCTCCTGACCGCCGCTGCTGTTGGTGCTCTTCTGCTTGATGAACAACTTGACTAGATTGAAGGCCGGCGGATTGGAGGAGTTGCCCGAGGAGGCGGAGCCGGAGATGTGCAAGTTCTGGCTCTCCTGAGAGCAACTGCAACGATGTTTGTGGCGATGGTGGTGCGAGTGGTGCTGCGACTGCTGATGCTGGGATGTGGGTGTGATCTGCTGGATGGGCGTGATCTGTTGGTCAGCCTGATGCTGCAGTCGCTCCGAAACGGACACACTGATGGAGATGGGCATCTGGCACATGGGCAAAAGGTTACGAGATCTGGACTTGCACGACTCCATGGTGGAAGTGCTAATCGCCTGGGAGACGTTCAACGGAGCTGCCTGCTGGCCACTCTCCTCCGGCTGCTGGTGCTGCTCCTTCAGGCAACTGCCGGCCATCGGTTCCTCGCTCTGCAGATTCGGCAGGCTATTGCTCTTCCGCACCGAACACTGTGGTAGGTGCCGGGTGATCGTGATGGTCTCGGTGTTGTTGTTCCCGGAAGGATACCTGCGGGCGGGCGAAACAAGGAATAACGAGCGTCTTTACCACAAGAGACACGTCAAGCGTTTGGAATTACAATTTTGTTGGCGGAAGGTTTTTCAATTTTTTTAGGTAGGAAGCATGGCGGGTTTTCGGATTGGTTGCTGTCAGTCTACCTGCTGGCGTCTGGGCCGGGTTTATTTGCATAATATTTCGGGTTTCCTCGCGTCCTCGCTAATCGGTTTGTGAATGAGTTTTGTTGGGCTAAACCCATAATTAGTTTTCTTTAGGGATTAACTTGTCGATCGCTAACCGACCCACTTTTCCTGCCCGCAACGTTAAGCCCTTGAAGGTTGGCATATGCCGGCTTGGAATATACAGCAAAAAGTCCCAATTCCAAGTTGAAATCCCCCATACGTTAATATTCTGCCAGCAGGCAGGCAGGCAAATGGAACTAAATTGAATTCAATTGAAATGACCCCACGCGGCTGCAATGAGAGCGGACTGCAAGGAAAGGGGGGCACAGAATCTACAGCATCCGCCTGGCGTGATGCTGACATTACTCTGCCAGAAGCGGAACATTCTATCTCTTAGTTATCTCATCATATGAACTCTTAGATAATTCTTAAAAGCTGCATTGTATCTTAGAGAGTTTGTATATCTATGATATTTTAGTCTTTTATCTTTTTCAGTTAATTCAAATTCTGATCTTCAAGAAACCCTTTCTTCCTGACAGCAAGCAATCCTCAGGCATATGAGCGAATCTTGTGCGGCATGTGTATGTTGAATCGGAATGTAAACCTACCGCTGTAGCTTGGCCGCCGCCGCTATAGCCGCCTGGCCCTTGGGCGACATGGGGCAGAGTGGTTGAAAGGCCTGGGCCGATCGCGACATGGATACCTCCAGGGCCTTGTTGCGCTTCACAATATCGTCTAGATTGCTGTGCAAGTTTATGCAGTTCTGTTTATTCCTGGCGGCAATGTCACTAGGTTCCGCTGCAGAAACAATTAACCATTATTTACAATATTCTAGGAAAATATAGAGCATATACTCACCGTAGAAACTGTCGTCTGAGTAAAGCACACTACCCTCGAAGGCTATAGTGTAGTTGTCCTTGTTGCAGGTGAGTATGATCTCCCCGTCGTCCGGATAGGCGTCCATGTCCAGCGAGTCTACCGAGATGTGCGACTCCCGCACCGGCGAGAAGAGCAACTCCGATTTGCAGAAGGAGTTGTCGATCAGTTCGTTGGTGGAGGTGGTCGACGTCTGGGACATGTTGTGCGGCATCATGTTGCTGTGGTGCAACAACTGTTGCTGCTGCAGCTGGTGCTGCTGCTGTTGCTGTTGCTGCTGCTGTTGGAGGAGCAGCGACTGCTGCAGGCGACTATTGGCTCCGCCCAGGCTCTTGCAGTAGGCAGGCAGCTGGGAGAGCAGGGAATGTATGTCCTCGGCCCGGAAACTCTCCATATCGACCTCGGCCAGGTTGGCGTCCAGGTTCTTGGCGAGGTCCTCGTAGTAGATGAGATCCCCCATCGCATTGTACGAGGCCGAGAGGGAGCTCAGCACGCTGCGCTGCATCCCGCCACAGCCATCTCGATAGCCATAGTCCAGGAACCACTGGTAATCGGAATTGTCGTGAGTAAAGTCGTGCGACGAGGCCAGCGAACAGTTGAGATTGTTGACGCCACCACCATTGCCACCGCCACCGCCATTAGTAGTTTCCCGCATCCCTCCACCACCACAAAGCATCCTAGCATCACCTACCCCGAGTTGCTGCTGCTGTTCGCTGCTGCTGCGACCTCCTGGCGTGGTGGCATTGCTGTTGTAATCCGATTCCGGCGTGGCCGCCATCTTGCCCAGCACAAAGTTATTGTTGCCCTGGAGCTTCCTATTACCCACCGGGTCCTCCTCGTTGCTGTTGTTGTCGCAGTAGAGCAGGCTGCCCGTGTCTTCGCCGAGGAAGAGGCTGCCCGACTGACTGCTGGGACTGATGAGGCTGCTCACCTGCTCATTCAATATGATGCTGCGAAGCGCGTTGTTGTAGCGATCCAAGTTGCTCAGCACGATGGCCACATTTTGTTTGAGGCTCTCCTCGCTCAGTTCCTCACCGATGGATTCCTCCTCCGCATCGCTGCCCAGCGACTGCAGTTGCTGCTGCTGGCACTGCTGCAGGTGTTGCTGCTGCAGCAGGCGGTCGGTCAGCTGTTGCTGCTGGTACCGCTTTCCGATCGTCGTCGTCGTCGTCTGCGCCGTGTTGCCGAACGGGCCGTTGCTGGGACTGTTCAGAGGATTACGGTAGCTAAGCGGGGTGTGTGGCAACGATCCCGATCCGGAGAGAATGTGGCTAGCCGTGTTGTTGCCGTTGTTGTGTTGTAGCTGGCTGAAGGGCAGAGTCTGCTGGAACTGATGGGGTCGTTGCTGTGGGTTATGTTGGTGATTATGATGATGTTGCTGTTGGGCCAAGCGTTGAAGCAGATGAGGATGAGAGCTGGGGTTGGATAGGGCAAATGACTGCTGGTGGATGGGTGAGTTCTGGAGCGGTTTCTGCTGAGATGCGGTGAAATGCGGTTTGCTGTGATCGTTGTTTGTTGAGAATTCTGTCATGCCACGTCGAAGTTTTGGTCCTGCAAATAAGAAAATAACACGCAACATTAGAAAAAAGAATTTAAAATATTTTATTCGTTAGGAAAACTGAAATAACTTATATTCCCAGTTCTCCTACATATGTTTAATCAATTGATTACATATCTTCCCTTCTTTTTTCTGGCTTAACGACTTGGTTCACTGATTAAAATACCTTATCGATAATCCCTGTCAGTCTCTTCCCCTTCCCATGTTAATTGGCTAATCAGCGTTGACACTGAACTTGCCTCAATTAAGATGCCACCGCCAGCATCGGAGCGAAACTAACTCCGGCTAATGATCTATCCCCATTTCCATTTGCACTCTCCACCGGGCGGCACTCCCCCTAATGGACATTAGCGTGCCACACATTTCGGAGCCGTAAAACCTGACGGAGGTGCCCATTCTATTGTCGTTGGCTGGCGTGTTTCAATTAATTTTTACGACACTCCAGCCCTGGTCTAGCAAATCAGAATGACACTGCTCGCTGTCCTATCTGGGTGTCTTTTCCACGTCAGAACGTAAAAGTTGTAAAAATTATTTTTATACGTTTGAGAGATTTTTACGAGACAACACCAACACCCTTGGATGGGCTAGGATCGTGCCAGGCATCGCCTAAAAAGTTCAATTGGAAAATGTGACATTTTACCAACTTGCTCCAGGCCCCAGCCACATGCAACGCCTGTCTGTCAGCCAGCGGCAATTAAAGGTTAAACTTGATGGTATTGCATGTCTCAGGGCGGTAATTCAACGCTTAGTTATACCGCATTGCCATCGATTGCAGTTGCCTCCTTCCTTATGCAACTTAATATCGCATCGGATCGGGGACGGAATTTAAATTTAAAATGAACCTCAAAGGCATAAACAATTCAAGTTGGAGCCCAGAAGGGGGAAAGGCGAGGCCGGCAAACCTCCCAGCAAGTGCAGACGCAAGAGATAATATATATGTTTTTCAGAAGATTTTTCAAAAGATTTTCCACTGCCTCGATGACAGAGGGAACTTTTCGTAGAGCAGACAAGTGGCAAAGCTGGCGCACATGTCTTTCCCTATTCCCCATTTCCATCTGCATCTCCAGCTATCTTTCAGCCTCCCACTCCCCTAGAAACACAAAAATATGAAATGAAAAGTCATTTCATATTTGGGCCAGCGCAAGATTACAGACAAATAAAATCGTTTTAATGCATTTTGTGTGATGTGGATGCATATAGCTTCTCGTGCTGGGAGGGTGGTCGTGGCGATGGGTTGGGCATCGGAGCAATGGCCATGCCCAGTGCCAACGCTGCCGGCCTCTCCGGAGCTCAATTAAAGTTAATTGAAATTACAAAAGCCCGTCTCGAGATAAAGTTTAAGAGGCTGCGTCAAGGCAGAGCCGAGAAAAAGAAACAATGCTGACGATGCTTTTGGCGAGGACAAATATTTAAAGCCACCCAGACAGAGTTTATATAAGCTTAAAAATAATATTTAAAGATTTTTATGGGTTGACATACCTAATTAGGAATATGAATAAATAAGAAAATCAATCAAGGTATTTACCATCGATTTTCTTACATTGATATTTGATTTATGAAGTGATTGATTGATAATTATATTCTGCAAGCTATACGTAAACATAAGCCCTACATTGTTCATTGAAATATTTCTTATAGATTCGATTTTGCAATTAAATATGATTGATTGTTCGATTAATAACTCTACTCATTCATTGTTATATTATTAATAAATATAAATATATTCTAGGTAATTCTTATAAGAAAATATTAATAATATTTCTCAAATTGTATACTTTTTTACAAAATTTAAATTTAGTATGTAACAAAAGTTTGTGCCAATATGGACAATCTATATAAAGAACACAGCCTTGTCGTGTCTTTTTTCTATGATAAATCATGGCCATCTTTAAAGAATCGTTAAACGTATAAAATGGGCATATTAAAGATTGGTTTTGGTTTGGAACCTATTAAATTAAGTATTTTGAAAATGTTAAATAACTTAGCGCACCTTGACCGACAAAATTGCCATTGTTTTGTTGGTTAATGTTGTGGCTCCAATTGTTGTTGTTTAAATTGTTGTTCAGGTTGTTTAGATTGTTGTTGTTGTTCAAATAATCATTGTCATTGTTGCTGTTGTGGTCCACATATCGCTGGTGTTGCTGTTGTTGCAGCAGACGCTGCTGCCTCAAATACTGTTGATTGCAGGTCAGACCCGCCGAAGTAGTTGTTGTTTTGGATGTGGCAGATGGCACACACTGTTCCCGCAACTGTTGTTGCAGGCGTCGCCGCAGCATCAATTGCTGCTGCAACTGCTGCTGCTGCATGCGCTGATAGAAGCGTATCTGCTCGAGTTGCTGCGGCGTCACGGTAATGTTGCCGTTCCGCTGGCGATGTTGCTGCTTTTGAAGATGGTGCTGCGGCACATAGTAGTTCTCCTTGGAGGAGCTATTGCTGTCACAGCCGCTGCTGGTGCTGCTGCTATTGCTGGTCGCCGCAGTGGCAACATGTTGCCAGCAGGCCGTGTTGCTGTTGGCGTTGTGGCCGCTGCCGCCGTTGTGCGGGCAATCGATGCCGGCCCTGGAGCAGGCGGCACAGCGTTTGGAAATGTCTACGAATCTCATGATGAAGGCAAGCAGCAGCAACAACATCTAGTTGCACGGACTGATGCTGCCGTTCCTGGTTATTTTTGGCCAATCTGCTGCGGACCAACGCTGCGATGTTGCCAAGTTCTGAGAGTGTCTCCGCGCTGGCTCTGCCTTTATTTTTAGTGTTTGGGCTCTTGCTTTTATTTTTTCTTTTTCTTTGATATATATTTTTTTAAGGGTTCAACTCCATTGATTGGTTGCACATTTTGTTTGGATTTCCACGGCTTCGATTTGTTTTCTACGCTGCACTTTTCATTTTGATTTCTTCGTAGTTTTCCGCTATTTATAAATGTTGTTTTGCTCGATGCGTAAGTTTTCTCTCTCTACACGACAAGTTATATATATAATACTGAGTGTGTGTGCGTTCGTGTGTGCCTTACACTGTACAGCCACAAAAAGTTTTCGAATTTTGTGTCTGTTGTTGATACGAGAGCATATAAAAATAATTTACGAGTTTTCTGCAGTCGGCCGCGAGACTTTTATGATTTTTGGTAAAACTTTAACGCGGAGTTTCTACGAAAAATGCCTAAAATTAACCCAAGACACAATAACAATGGCACATAAACAAAGCTACTGCAGTTTTCCAAGGAGAATCGAGCCACAAATTTCGGAGGTCTTGCCTTCTGCCGCTGCGGCTTGGGCCAACCTCGAAATGCAATTCCTTTTGGCCAGTTAACAGTCAGGGCTCGTTAGCAAAAGCGTTAGACCGTCAGGAGTGTAATTTATGCACATACATTTCCGGCCCAACTTAGAGCCCAAATAACCAACGGAAATGGCCCTCCTTCCTAAACAGGACTTTCGCCTTGGAGCCACATCGAAATTACCGGGCCAAATGGCTAGAAGGTATCTAAATTTAAATCGCTGGCCGAAAGAAAAACGTAGCCAAGTTCATTATTAACTTGACAGCCAAACAACAGCGGGCATGTGTCATAATGTTTGCTATTGAAATCTATCTAGAGCGCACATGAGCTTGCCAAAAAATAAACGAAAAAAAAAAAGCTTAAATCTGCCAGGTGCTTGTGGCATAATGAGATTATTATTTAGTATATCTCGCATATTTGATGCCTGACATCAGCGAAAGCGATAATGCTTTTATATTTATCTGGCGGAAAAATGCAACCATTATAATAGCACTTGCAGTTGTCTTGGACACGCCCAAAGATTGCTACAAACTTGTTACTTGATTTGGGTACACTGGGAAAAATCTTTAAAGGAAAACTGACTGTTTTGGAGCGAACTTTGGAAATTTCGTAACTATGGTACAATTAGCTCTTAGTTTGGAACAAAGATATTATAATTTGTTCTCATTTTTATGTACAGGTTTTATGAAGAACTAGTCCTTAATTATATAACGCTCCAAACTATAACCGGTTGGGAATTACATGGATGGCTAAGTAAGATCATGGAAAAAGTAGTACTGGTAGGTTATCCTGAAACGGATTTCTGATAATATTTTATTTATTACGAAATATCTCAAAAACTAGATTTTAGAAACGTTTTCTTTGGAGCTTTGACCAGCTTGAAATCTTTAATAAGAAAACTATGTTAATAAAATTAAAATAATATCTATATTAAAATCATGTAAAATTGTGTATTAACAAGCTTTTAACCTTTTTACATATACCATTATCCTCCATTTAAGGTAACGGGTTTTCCCTGGTGTACGTTTTCAGACAAAGGAGCACAAAATGGCTGCCACCCACTGGGGCTAATGCGCAATGCTTGCAGAAAAGGAAAACAAAAACAAAAACCAACAAAATATATAAAGAACCAAGTAAAACCCTCAGGACTGTGAGGCTAATATCGAGAAAGGGAAAGTCAGAGCAGAGCGGGTCGAGTGCCACCGAGGAGTGCTCAGGCGCAGCAAGGACCTGTTCGGGGAAAATGCCAAACGGCTTCCCACCACATCTGGCAGCTGGCCAAAAATAAGAACCAACACTCTGCCACATGGAGGAGTGCTCTCGAATCGAAGCCTTTAGCATATAGCATATACAGTTCGGCATTTAGGCATCCCCCGATAAACAGCGGCAACTTGTCCGTGGCCACGCTCCAGCTGCCTTGTATTTGCCATCAGCCATGAAGTTCTTGCAATCATAAACAGAAGAAAAGCGGCAAGAAGAAAAGCCGATGAACGCACTGTGAAAATGGCAAGTTGTGCTAAAAAAAAAAAAAAAAAGTGCAGATGCGTTTCGATTTTGCACGCAACTCATTTAGATTTCTCTTTGCACCTTTGGCAAAAATAAACAGCGCGTGAGATGAAATGCTAAAGTACAGTACAGTCTTGCCAAGAGCAGCAAGGTGTGCACTGTACACGTACAGGTTCAATCACATTATGAACTTTTCAAGGGGAGAACTGCATTACCCAACTTCCTTACTCCATCCAAAAGGAGGCAGGAACTATTTTTCTTCTAGAGAATAGAAACACATTTTGGCTTAGTTCAACGTACTTGCTGGCCTACATTGCCAGCGGAAAAACTCCATGCCCGCCAATTAAATGAGCCAGCGGAGCCCCAGAAAAGGCATCCACAAGATGCGGCTGAAATTGCAGTGGCAGTTTGCACACAGTTTTTCAAATACAGTGTGTGTTTCTATGCTGTGGCGATAGTGTAATTACGAAATCATCCAACGCATGTGGGCATATCGATGCGGAAGTATTTCGGTTTGGCGAAAGGTCAAAGCTATTTGCAGATTAAGATGCAGATGCAAAGATACAGATACAGCTACTGATACGTATAGAGCGGCCACTGACAGGCGACAGCAGCAGCAGCAGCTTATCAGCCTGTCGAACGCTCCGATTTGGCATAAATAAACTCTTTTGGCATAGCTAAGTATTTTCGCGTGATAAGATAAGGTTGTTACTAATGCAGCTAACAGGTGATCTCATTTTCGACTGCAGAAAACTCTAAATGTTCGTTACTTTACCACGAAACGATGGCGTATTAGATAATCCCATAAAATTCGTATTCAAAGAGAACTTTCTCAAGTTCCTTTGTTCGTATCAGACAAAAACACACACACACACACTTTGGCAGATGCACTTGAGTATCTTGTATCTTTTAGATAATTCAGTGAGCCTGGGCCCACGCACAATTAAAGCTGTTTTCGGTGATTTCACTTTGATTGGCTGCTGCTGCGTCACACAGAGTATATACGAGTTTTTCACGCGACGGCAGACGATAGACGAGAGACGAACGCGTAAACAAATCAGGCGAAATGCGAAACGAAAAATAAAAATTATATAGGGAAATTATCAAGGCTTTCACAGGCGACACGCTCCGCACATTTTCACAGTTGCACCAGCCCAAGGAGACGACTGACTGAAACTGAAAATATTCGTTCGCGAGCGAACAGCAGCAGCACCGAGGCGACGGCTACAAAGCGACCACGTCGCTCCCTGCTTGCCACCGAGTGTCCCGAGTGTGTGTCGTGTGTGTGTGTGCGAGTGTATTTGTGAGAGGGCGCCTCCCAGAGTATCTTCGGGGTGTATAGCTGTAGCGAAGAATGAAAAGCGCCCGAAAACGCACGAAGTATCGCACGGAACATTATACAATGTGCAGTGGCGGAGAGCCTCAGCTAACCCCAAAATAAGAGATAAAAAGGGAAAATGTGAAAACGAGAGCGGCCAGCGACAAATTTCACGGATACGAAAACGGAGACGGCTACGGATACGGGCGCAGTCTGCGTCGTGCGGCAAGTGCAATCCGCTGGATGCCGTGGATTACTGATGCAGGACACAAGGATTCGTGCAGACAAAGGAAGTAATTTTAAAGTTTTTAAATATTTTTTGAAGTAATTATAGTTGTATGAGGGAAATTTACATACAGTGCAAGGAAAATTTGTAATTATAACCCAAAAGCTCTCATTGTATACTTTTAGGCGATTTAAAAAGGGATTTTAAATCCTCGCTCCCTTACCCATCTTAACTCGGACTTTATAAATGGTATATTTATAAATTTAATCCATAAATAAATAAAGAACTTGAACAAAAGATAAGTATAATCGGAACTTGTATTTGATAAGAGGTATTATTATTTGTAAAAGACATTAAGTGTTATTGAAATATAGCTAGAAATCGATTAAACATTTGTATTATATACACATATCTCTTCGCCGACGTAAATCAAACAAATAAGCACAGGCCATCTGGGAAGTAAATCAACTGAGAATTTTGATTTATCTCCTCAACTAATGAAGCTGCTCAAGTGGAAAACCAAGTGCCTACTTTGTCCGGCCAAATAAACAGCCCTGTGTCACTTCCAGGGCGAGGGTGGCAAACGAAGAATGGAAGGGACCTGGAGACGAGGCTTCCGGCAGGATGAAGATCGAGTTCCCCGATACGCGGAGGTCTGTGCACGTGCCGCAACAAGGGCAGATGTGTCTGTATGCCCCTCCTTTCAAGCGGGGCACTTGAAACTAAACACCAACAACATAAAACTATATCAGAGAATCTCGGTTCGAGGGGGGGCCGAGAGCGAGCACAAGTGCTCATTAACAATTACAAACAGGCGATCGAGTCAGTCGAGCGTACTACATTTTTCCAATAAAACTATTATAAATGCACATAAATTTCCCCCTTGGAATGCAAAATCGGAGACAATGGCAGGGCATAAATGAGTTGCATACATTAAATAATCATCGGCATTCCCATCGCAGACACCCTGTAAATGAATGCCTGTGCCCCGACTATATAACCCCTAGCCCCATTCATCTATCAGCTGTTTTGTATTAGTCCATGCTAATTCAATCAACCGCAAACAGGCACGGAATGCACAACGAAAAACAGAAAAAACAAAATATCACTTTCAATGAACAACAATTGGCTTGTTTACACGTAGATGCGAAAGAGTATATTTCACAGATACATCTCCGTGGCAAACACAAAACAAACAGAAAACTTGTCGTATATATTTATCAGCAACTTTTGCCGAAGGCTTTGACTTTTATTTTTCAATTAATTATTGTCGGCTTCAAAAGCCCGTCCGGATGCCATTTAAGTGGACGATGAAAGGGGAAGGTGGGCAAGGCAATGGAAATGGGAATGGGAGGAAGAGGTCGTGCTCATAATCCATAAATTAAAATACCAGACACACAGCAGCAGACCGATCGCAATGAGAGCGAGAGAATTATAATTAAAATTCAGCGGAGAGACAGGCAGTGGGAGGAATTCGGGAATGTCTGGCATACTTTTAGGTGGAGCCCGGAATTCACTTTCCTTATTGATCGTCGCCTCTGCCCTGATTCTAATTGAATTTAGCTGCTTTTCCCCCGCCGCCGTGACTCATCCACTGATTTCCAAAGTCAAGTATGACAAATCCATGTACCCCCAACTGCTGATACAATTGTGGTCGCCGAGCAAAATTAGCATGAAATAATCCAATCCACCCTGGGATAATGGCTGAGCGTTTTCTGGATTGCTTGACCTCCCGCACGAGTGCGTCGTAAATGGTCTTGCACAAAAATAGGTTTGCCAAAGTAAACAAACTGCGGTTTCAAGTTCCTTGCGGTGGGTCCATCCTCGTCCCTATAAATGTATATACAGATATATATTTATATAAGTAGTATGCTGCTCCCCAAAACGGGAGCTGCACTTTGCTCCCTGGCCAGGTCATCATCCGCATCTCATCCCATGCTGCGCGAAAAATTCTGCGCACAAACCAAAACGCAATAGGAAAAATGAGCTACCCTGAGGTAGTCATCGAATTTAAGAATTTAAAGCATTTATCGGTAATTTCAGGGGTTCGCTGCTAAATAGCATTCATAATTTACTTAAATTCGTTTAAATGTTGCTATAACACCCATAATAGAACCTAATAGAAAAAGCCGCAATATGTAATCATGTTAATTATAAGGATAATCTGTATAATAAATCAGATTACTTATTCCGCTTGTCATAATACAATAAATTAATCGGATTAATTTAATTAGAATAAAATTATCATAACTACTTTAGAGAAATATCTTGGTTATAGCAGCAAATATGGCTAAAACCAATACAAGTAACTTATGTAGGGTTTGAATTTTCCATTTTATATTATATTATATATATTATATAATATTTTCAACGAGGTTTACGGTGTTGATAACTAAAGTTTAACATAATGATTCAATAAGTGAGGGAAACAGAACCTTTGAGTGATGATAAATACAAGATAGTAATATTTACATCATATGTATATGCATTTGAAAGTTGATTAATTTAATTCTCCAAAAACCATTCTAAATAAAATCAAAGAAAACCGTCACGGTATCCTGTTACCCGATAGCTTCTCTCTGGAAGATGCCCTAATGCCTAATGCCACTGGTCATTTATCATTTTGCCAGCAGCAAAGGCAAATATTAAAAGAGAGCATTTAATGGGATATTCCATTTCCTAACAGGCCATAATTATGTCAGTCCCGCGATGACAAATCTCCAGTGATCTCTGCAAAAGAACAAAGGGTAAGAGGGAAAGGGTGTCGTCGTTCGTAGTCTTTGTGGTGTTGCTGCAGAACGCCACATGTGGCAATGTGAGCTAATTAAAGACGGGCATCGTCGGGAACGGAGGACTTCTCTCTGTTTACTCAGCCCCGAAGAACAGACTCGAAAGAGGCTCGGTTTTCAAAGTGAGAAAACCAGTGAGGGGGAACCGAATTTACATTTCTCGCTTGGTTTCGCCCGAAAGCTGATTCGATTTCACAAAACAGCAGCGAATCGCTTCCTAGTTTGACAACAAAAAATAAAAACAGCGGAATGGATAAAAACATATTGACGATTTCACAATCGGCCCAACACAGAAACCAAAGACAGATGGGCGGAGACTGAAGAAATGTTGCAACATAGCCACATGACAGCCACATCGATGTGTTCCTGCTGCTGCCGCTGATTCCTCAGATGTTTCTTCCGCAGACCTTGACACCGGCAATATGTCAAATGTCAACTGGCATTTGTGTCGCTTCTTCTTAGGGATGGCACAGAAATATCGCTATACCAAGATCATTTTAATTTTTTAAGGGATTAATCATAGTTCAATATTATTAAAACGTTGTATCTTTTCAAACAAATATATTGATTTTGAAACTATATTTAGCGATACAATAATAATATAAAACTGTTGACCCCATCCCTAGTTCGTTAAAAAAAAACTCGAAAAGCCAGACACGCAGCAAATAGGAGACATTTTTCACATGCTGAAAGAAATTGCGTCAAATGAGGTTTTTCTTGTCATAAAGTGAAAGTCGAAATCATGCGTAATTGCCGCACCATAAAATGCGGAATAGTCTACTCGCGCCATAAGATAAAACCGATCGATCAAGTGCAACACGCGCCATGGAGTAAAGTGACAGGCGACAAAAAGCAAGCCTACGCAGTCACCTAATGCGTGCAACTATCTCCACATTCCCGATCTCTGATCCCGACGATCTCCACGCTTCATCTGGCACTTGTCAATTGTGTTTAACGCTTGTCGGTGAACTAATTGCTAAATATTTTCAATGACAGGCTAGATAAATGTAAAACAGCAAGACAAGAGGAACTTAATAACTATTTTTAATTTAACTGATCTCAACTGATCTAGTTCATTGATATTTAAACGACACACATTAAAAGCCTTTCCAAAGCTGAATTATAATCTTTAATTGTTTGTATTAATAATTAAGCTATCATGTTTAAATATAGTTTTATTAGAATACCCTTTTGATCTTCCACTTGATCTTTCATATACACAGTCAAACCGATAAGATTATAATAAATATTCATTAACAAACAATAATTCAAAGGTTGCGGCTGACCAGTTGCAACTGTAACCCACAACCAATAAATTAAAGCCAATTCAAATACACTTTTTACCACGCTTAACATACGTCATTAAGAAAACCCATAAATAAATATACCTTCAGGTGCACTTTCGTATGAACCTGTTTTTCAGGCCGCCTCGCCATCTCTCCGTGGGTTTGGCGTTGCCTAACGATGTCATTTGCCAATGCATAGATAACTGGCCAAGAGACATCGTCATGCCAGTGAAGAGCCTTGAAAATTACACAAATTAAAAAACATAAAAATTGAATCTCCGTTGCATCGATGGTAGTGAGTGGCCAAGTTGTTGCTCTTGCATAACCATCAAAACTGTCAGTTTCAGGCAGGCAAGATGGGTTTTCTCCATCTCTATCTACCGAAGGAAATTTATTTATGTGAAAGCTGTTTGGCATTATCTATGAATGAATAGATTTATGTATAATGGAGGGAAAACGTAAGAGAATTTAGCAAGTGACATAATTGATTGAAGTTTTTGTGAAACTAATTTATCAGAAGTTAGTAGTAATTTTTGCTACTATGTAATGTGAAATTTCCTTAATTAATATTTAAAAAAAAAACCCCCGATCTAGTCTAATGCTTTAAAATATAACTACAACTTTATAGCCTATTATTTAATTACGACACGCACGAGGCAAAAGTATTTCGTTTCCCTACGATATTGTCTCATTGTTCTAACCAGATTCCACTGCATCCAATGTGTCACTTCGGATATAATCGGTTAAGTAACGTTCTCAAAACTCCAGGCAATTGTAAAGCTTGATTTATGCTACTGGTCGCCTGGGATTTGCATTCCATTGACCAATATCTCACGTGCTGTGTGACCAAGTGACTAAGCGTGCGACGATGCCTACGACACCGCGCTACTCGCATCTCGCACCTCCGAAGTATCTAGAAGATGGCAATTAGCGGCGACCACCTGGGTAGTCCCTCAGCCCCCACACCTCGGCGGCTCGCGACCTACGGACGTTCGGCGAGGGGATTTCTAATGAAATCCAGTGATCGCCGAGCGGTTATCTAAGCGGCGGCGACCGGTCGTCCACATATGAATACTCGTAAATTACCAGTGCTTGGGCCCACAATGAAAACGCTTTGGAGCGGGAAATCGCACATTTGTTTACGTGCGCGCTGGCTCGCGATTGGCAAGCCCCCAGGTGAGTGAGTGGGTTGAGTGAACCGCATCATCCAAGTCCGAGTCCAATTCCCAGCACGGCCCTGACAGCCACCAAGGCTCACTGACCTAGAGCAAGCGCGACTGAATTATTTATCATCTTTATTGATTATCAGCATAGTATAGGATTGGATAGATAGTAAACGACATAAAATATTGGCTTAGCTCTAACAATCATTCGTTCAGGAAACTGACCACTATTAGCTTAGCTTCTACAAAGACGAGTCAACATGAGGGTATCGGGTGGCCTAGGCACAGTCCCGCGACTGATAGAACAGTATGTAACCCGTCTCCGAGGATTTGTGGATGTCCGAGGTGAGGCCGTAGAAGTCCTCAATGGTGGAAGCCTCAATCTTGTCCACCATGTCGTCGTCGAAAAGCAGCCACAGACCGTGGCTCTTCACAATACTAATGTAGTGGCCTCGATTCGGTCCCGATCCGCAGTGAATGACCACGGCTGTGAGGTCGTAGAGCCTGTCGGGATTCACAGCATCATCGGACGTGTTGAAGAGCCGCAGTTCCAGCGGAAAGACAACCCTGTGAGAAACCTTAATGTGCCTGTTGAATTGCTCCATGTACTTGAATCGCTTCAGGTGCAGGGCCAGTATCATAGGCAGCTTCTTAACCCGCATCCGCTTCTGTGCCTCCTGGTAGCTGCAGCAGTTGTCGCACTTGAACTTGTTGTCCGAGCACAGGGTCTCCGTGTTGCTGAAGCACCGCAGGCAGTGCGTGATCGAAGTGTTCTGGTCCACGTCCACCTGCAGGTCGAAAAAGTTTTCATCCTTGCTGCTCACCGTCTCGCAGTTGAGGCACCTTGTCTCCGACGTGAGTATGCCCTGAAAGATCTCGTGCACCCAGGTGGGCTCTGAGTTGGCCCCGTTGGTCCCGTTAGCGCCGCTCCCAGTGGTCACGGGCGTTGTGGTGGCCGTGAGACTTCCAGTGGCATCTAGCACACTCGTAGTGGCATTCAGCGATCCCGTGGAGTTGCTGCTGTTCCCGTTGGAGTTCGACGTAGAGTTGGAGTTTGAATTTGAGTTAGAGGTGGAGCTGGACTTGCTGGCTATGCTGCTAGCCATGGCACTGGGTTGACCTCCTCCATGGCTTCCACTCGCCTTGGTGTTTCCGTTTCCGGGACCTGAGTTTCGTTCTGCCAGGATGATTTCGTTGATGTGATTGATCAGAAAGTTGAGAAACTCATGGGCGTCCTGCTGCATATAGTTGTCAAACTCCTCCTTCTCCTTGCGCAGCCGCGTGATGAACTTCTTAGGTGCTATAGAGCCGACCTTCTTCTTCTGGGTGGCGATGCTGTAGAAGAGATCCGCCAGACAGGAGAGCAGCGTCTCCTTGGGCCGCTTGTTCTTGGCCTTGTACTCGAGCACCTTTTCGCGGAAGGGCTTGCAGAAGTATAGGGCCTGCAGCACCGAGTTGCTGTAGCAGGTGTTCCCGAAGTTCACCAGCCCGAAGTAGTGTTCGTTTGGCGGGAACAGGTCGGAGCCGATCTCCCGCTCCAGCTGCGAGACGTTGGCGCCCATGCCGGCACCAGGAGCTGCAGCGGCGCACCGGTACAGAAATGACCACACCGTGGTTGATTTAGTGTTCGCCGGGGTTCGTCGGGAGCGCGGTCTTTGGTTAGAGCATTTGGTTTGGGCCTATAGATTTATGCTTTCGCTATACTTTGGGGGGCAGAGGCGCAAAACACTTTTACACTTTCTGAAAATAAATAATTTTGAAGAGGGGATACACGTGAGTTTGCTTTGCATAACACAAACAGAAATTAAAATTAATATTTTAATATTTACGTTGCTTTCATTTTTAGTGTGGTCTTTTTCTTTACTTTAATTTATTTTTAAGTCTTTCGGCTTTTAAATTTTGATCTTGCGACACTAAAAACTAAGCAAACCATTGTAATAACTAAAATGCGTAAGGAAAAGCAAATGAAGATCTTCAAAGTTTAAACTCTTATATCCCCTTTCGAAAATTATTTTCAAACACAAGTGTTTTACGCTCAAGAATACATTTTCGCACAATTTACATATTTGGAGTTCTCGAGAGAAAAATCATTCTTAAAATCAGAAATCAAAAGGTGTTTCGAATATATTTTAAAATAGGCATTAAAGTTGATACAATTTTAAAGAGTCTTATAATTATTTAGCGGTGTTTTAGTTAAATATGAATTAAATTATGAATATTTTAAGGTGGTTTTCACAACTTTACAAGCTACCCAAAATATGAAACAAGTATTATGAATATTTCGCTATTGGTTTCTTCTTCAGTTCGATTCCCCAACTCACGATGAGTGTGCAAGTTTTTGTATAATCATAAAAATATTTATGGTTTGGCGCCCAAAGTCCTAGTGTGAATCAATCACGAATATATATATATAAAATTCTCATGTAATCCAATCGCAAACATATGCAAACATCTGTGTGAATCAGCAGTGGCGTCCCGCCCACCTGGTTTTAATTTCATGGAAGGCCGGTTCGCTTACATGGAGAATTAGGCCGGTGTCGATACCCGATGTCTAGACTGGGGCCAGATGACGGTTAGGGCTAAATATAATGTCAATTTTATAGACCTTAATTGGACGACAGTTCGGTGATTTTTCTGTGAACTGTTAGATGGGAAAATTCCGCAAGCTACGCAACGACGGGTGCCGGTCGTGTGCCACGGCCGATGCACCCGCTCCACGCTCCACGTTCAACGCTCGCCGAGAACAGTATAAAAGCCATAGCGGTTGGCGATGCAGTCTTACAGTTACGATTAAGAGACAACCGAAGAAACATCTAAACACAACACCCAAGCGACCAGTTAGCAGCGAATATCACCAGCCCTTCGAGCTTTGGATATAGTCCACCACCTGAGCACCCACTCACACAGGACTCAGCGCCCGCGGAAAGCAGTCCTTCAGCCTGTTCAAAGGATCAGCCGCGGTGGAGATTCACTATTCAATCGTGACCAACCCCATCAATGCCGGCAACGGATTAAACACGGAACCAGTTAATAATCTGTCAGCCAAGCTGCTGAAGATTCTAACTTAAGTGTCCTTTAAGAGTCTCCCATAAGTTAAAAAGAATACCCGTCTGTATACCCACTAAGAAATTAAGTTTTAATATGCTTGAAATGTATAATAACAAGCCCGGTTCCTGTACTCTTTAAGCTGTTGTTACATCACCCTAAAAACTATTACTACTATTTATGGCCTTGCGATAATAAACAAAATTCAAGCTAAAATCGATTGTACGTTTTTAATTGCATTACATGAAGCTATTGAAACTGTCCTAGTTTCGAGGGGATTTTTTAAACCAATTTATATAATTTTATCTTAGGGTAATTGCTCACGTGGATCACATATTGGTTTTGTAATACTGACCCACTGACTATGGTAATCAGGCAGCGAGTTCCTTAGAATTCCTGAATACATCAATTACTGGAATAGGCGATTAGCTTCGTGCGTCTTATTGTTTCCAATAATAGTGGGATATTGAAGTTATCTAATAACTACTGTAATACGGGAATACGGAGAAAGGAGTTCCCATTAAAGCTATAAATCAAATTTAATTACATAAAGAGGAAACTCAAATAAAAAACCCCACATATGAATAGGAGTTGTTACAATTTGAAGCATTTCTTAGATCATTTTAAGAATTTATATAAAAGGTAAACCCTTTGATTGCTAAAATCACCTAACTATAATGCTATAGATGAGGTAACTTTGGTGACCCACTCAATATACAAATGAAGCTTATTATTGCGTTTCTAAATTAAACTAGCTTCAACCAGAACAGCACAAAATGAAGTGATAATATTGGATGGGAATAATAAAACAAGTTTCTTTACATAAGGGTGGTAATATGTTCGAGGAACCCTATAATTATCCAGTGTGGACCAATCAATAATTTTCACAATAGTAAATGATTTTTAATTGATAAACCCGACGCCATGTAACTAAAAAAAGGAGAGCGAAATGGAATTACTATGAATAAACAATTTAACATAGATGAGCTAACATTTCGGGGTATCCTGACCAAAGGTATTTTTTAATTAAACTATATGCGTCCTAATTAAGTTTTACTTTCTAAAATACTAGCAATTTGCTCTCGTAGCTTCGCTTAGGAATTAGGAATAAAGTGGATCTATCTAGAAATTGTATAATGTTGAAAACTGAAAATCAAGAAATTAAGTCAATTGGAGAAAGATCAAATTTTGCTTAGTCCTTTAAAACATATGAAGATCCAATTTGAAAACTCATTTACTAATCTTTATAGTAGAGAAATGATGAACAAAAACCATTTCTAAATCAAACAATTCCTTTGTTTGTTTTACAAATTTCTAGCTCTTATTGCAATACCCCTCGTAAGAGTATATAAAACGTGCCTAGTTTGTTTACCTTAGAGACAGCCTAGGTCAACTATAATTCATACTACGAGTAATAGCTAAAGCCACTAGTCATAGCCACTACTTCCATGAGTCATGAAGCGTGCCATCCGCGGGCGTGAATTACCAAGAAGTAAGGTTGGTCGCACTTATCATTGTAATCATAACAGAAATATGCATTAATTCTATGCATATTTATTCGAAAATCTTGGCGAATGAATCAGCTTTTCGAACTGGGTAATTTAAAGGGGGGTTGAAATCCATAACCCCCTGTGAGAAAATTGTATTCTCAGCCATAAAAATAGAACAGATCACCCTAATCTCAAACTAAAATAGATTTTCCCAATTGAAGCTACGCCCATACTAAAGTATAAGACATTACTCGCACTATATAAAACCCGTCAGCGTTGCCAACAGTCTGTCTAGCTGGGTAATTTTATGCATTGCTAACGAGCAGCGCCACGTCGATATAAAACTCACTTGCAAGTGGAATTTCAAAACAGAAGCAACTTGAACATGAAAGCGATTGTAAGTATCAATGACTTGGTGATTAGCTCAATCCACGAGGAGGATATTAAGAAAGCGATTATGCATTACAGTTTCTAGTTTGCACACTCCTGGCCTGCGTTATTGTATTATTAAAGCTGAGTCTGAGAGGAGCAAAATTGGATAACCAGAACACAACCAGCTCAACGTCCGATGTAGTCTTGCAGAAGGAAACTTATGACATTAAGGAATGGTTCAAGGATACATGGAAGCACAGGCCAAAGGACTTTAGTTTGAATATCATCACCGAACCTGAGGATGACAGATCAAAGGCTAGACTCAAAAGGCTGCTCGCTATTCTCAAAAGAAAACCAGCACAGGATCACCAAATAGCACCTACCACTTCTCCGTCTGAAGATCACAATGCCAAAATTCCAACAGAAAGAACCAGTGAAGAGTCAACGACCATCATCGATTGTAACTTAATTTTGGAGGAGGATTGCGAGCCACTTGGTTTTGGACCAAGGCTTAGTGCAACTCTGCTGAAGATTCTTGCACGATAATGACTGATATAAGCCAGAGAATATTAATTATTATTTATTAGTATTGTTAAGTTTTATAAAATACAATAAATAACAAATACTAAACATAAATTAGATTCGATTTAATTTCTTTTACACGCAACAAGTATCCCAGACTGTATTAAATGATCTGAACTAGTTTTTATAACGTCTAATAAGTGTGTGTCAACAGTCTGTGATGTTTTCACACGCCATTTCATTAACGTTTTTATAAACGATTTTATAATTTGACAACTTGAAAGGGGTTTAATATAAAATCCACTGCATGATAGTTCAAGTAACAGTATCAAAGTGAAAATGCAAACGTTAGTAAGTCTTGAAAAGAATTTTGTTCCTTAAGAAATGTACATACGTTATCCTCTGTCTTAAGATTATAGTTCTCATTCTTGTGCTGGTTGCTTTGGCTGAAAATGTTACACACGCTGTTAATGAAGATGAACCCAACTATGGAAAAACAAATGAAACATCTTTCACATTTTTAAAAGTTCTCAAACGATCCCCTGATCAAGATACATCAAGGGCTTTACTAACGCCATCCATTGAAGGACCTACAGATAATAAGAATACACCAATGCTGTGCTCTTATTTTTTTGGAAAGCAATGTGATGGCGATATACCAATTACATTGCTTAGTTCAACCGTATTAAAAGTGCTAACTCAAAAGGAACCATAAGTTGCGATATTTACAATTGTAACCTTTAATACACTGTAAAATACTAAGGCTTACTTTTTCTAAATGCCTCAAAGTACACATCAAAATGCATCTAGCTGTCTGAACCCGTTTTTTTTTTTAATATCTCTATACTAAGTGGGAAATTTGATGAATTAATAACTAGCACCGGTATGGATATAAAGCTGGTAGCTGCTAAGCGAATATCGATCAGTTACAAACTAAAAATGTTGTCGATTGTAAGTACTTGGAACTTTTAAATGAACTCACCTAACCTACAACATAATTTTTAGAATATACTCCTGCTCCTTGTGTCGGTAGGCATAGCTAGCACCTATGGACAGCCTTTAAAAACTACCAATACAAGTCTCCCAATGACTTCGGAATCACCTCTAATGGAAGCACAATCCAAACAAATCCAGGAAGCAGAGGATATACCAATTAAAAAGAACACACATGTTGTAACCCTTTTCAAAGCCATTTTTCCTGATCATGCCCTTAAAGCTGATTCTTCAGAAGTTACATCATCATCTACCACCACTAATTCGAATTTTAAAGAATCTGCGTTCTTTGAAGGCCTGAAGGAAATCTCAACAGAAGATTCAACCGCCATCCCATTGGATTGTGAGGACTATGAAGATACAGATGAAGATGAGGACCCTGAGGGACTGGGACCTCGACTCAGTGCAACCTTATTAAAAGTACTTACATTTTAAAGTAAAACTTATATTAAACTGTATATGATTTTTAAATACGCCAATAAGTATGTTTCAATAGTCAGCTAAAAAATAACTTTATATGCGAGTGGGTAACTTAATGAATCTATAACTAGCAACCGGGTTCAATATAAAATGGACTGTCAGAGCGAGTTCAAGCTTCAGTATCACTGCAAAAATGCAACCGAGTGTGAGTGTTATAGTAAACCGGATGGGATTGTAAATAACAATAATCCAATTCAATCCTATATCTCGTACATACAGATTCTGTTTCTGCTGCTGGGCTGGCTAGCTGTTGTCAACTCTTTTGGTCTAGACCTGCGATTTCTAAACCCCTTGAGGACCTCAGATGATAAAAATGAGCAGGCGTTACCACCGGTGATACCAAATATGTGCAAACCCACGGAACCCAGGACTTTAATTAGGAATGCCCGAGAGGCTCAGCTAATGCGAAACGACTTTGTACCATTTCCAACTCTGGCACCCACAAATAATCCAGGAAGTGAACTCAGCACTAGGCGATTAGTTCCCTTTCCAACTTTGGCACCCACAACCACCTCAACGACCACAGAAACCAGCAGAAGCCCAGGCGATAGACAGGAAGCTCCTTCAAATGATTGCGATCCTCTTCCTTTAGGAATTGCCACTCGATTGTCAGGACAACTTTTGAAAATTCTTACTATATTGGGCTAAAAATAAATACAATTTAAACAATTCCTTCGAAATATTATAGTAATGAAGAGAAACACGAACAAAATAAAACAGAGCATGGTAAATACAACATTTATGCACTAGTCTTAGCCAGGTATAAACCCCGAAAACTTATAGATTTCCCGCATTTCCCAGAGATTTTCCCTCAAGGTTTTGATGACACAGACCCCCCCAAAGACTAAACGCGGCCTGATGGGGGCAATTACTGTCAATCAGCATCGTTGAGGGGGCAATTATTAAATCCAGTCAATAATAAAGCCCAATACCGATGGAAACAGTCACGGCTCGAATGGATTAAACCCGTTTTGGGGCGTTTGCTGACACAGCCTGTCAGAAAAGTCTGAGCTATCATAAATATCTCTCCCTCTCTCGAGATCTGTCTGAAGAATAAGTAGTGCGGAATCGCCCGATCGAAACTCTCAGTTGCAATGCTACCGACCGGTCTAACTTGTTCCGCAGTAATGGATATTGCACTTGCAAGAACACTGCATATCTAGCCACTATAAATACGTATCGTAATCGCATCTGGGATTTCATTCATTCAGTGCTTTGCAACAACTTGAACTAGAATGATCAGAGCCACTAAGGTGAGTGCAGCAGACAGGCCAGACAGGTGCCTGGGAAGAAAGCCATCGGATAAACAAACAAATTGTGAAATAATTTTAGTGCCTGTGGGTGATCGTATTCCTTGTATTGTTTATCCACCGGAACCGTGCGGCCACGAACGTGCTCTATGAGTTTCAGTGAGTGTTGACTTTGGATTCGAATTATTAAGTCGAATACATATTTTAATGACTTTCCGAAACCAAACACAGCATTCGCGAGGCCTCCAGAGAGCGGGAGGAGAAGGGAGTGCTCAAGGACGCCTCCGAAGATTCACGCGCGGAACCCGAACTGATCGTCACTGGCAAACGCACCTCCGGAGTGGTCCTGCCCTTCAATAATATCAGCTATGTGTACATGGAAACGGCCACCTATGTGGCGGATAACAGCGGCTACCATGTCAAGTACAACTTCACTTTGGAGCCCCTCGAAGGAGGACCCCGTCTCAACGGGCAAACCCTCAAGTCCACCGTCGGTTGAGGCGATTCACCAAGTATTCCCCCAGAGACTTAGAAGTAGCTGTAGCAAATACTGCATTATTTATTAGAACTCACTGTCTCAGTGCAGGCTGAAAGTGTCCAGTTCCCCCAGCAAACAATAAACGGAAACTTTGAAAAGCAAGTTTGAGGCGGAAAGTTAATGGATTCTAGCCAGATGACAGTGCCGTGATGGAAACTAAGTTATGGCTCTCTCGGTTTTGGCTTTGTGCCTAAAACGCCACTGAACCAATATAATTTACGAGTGCAGATATAATTTATGTGTTGGATATACTATATAACAGTTGCGGTCAATACTGGAACTTACTGATTTAAACCGATTATTAGTAGATATTCAAGTAATTTTAAATTTTAAAGAAAATTAAATACATCTTTGATCGTACATTAAGTTACTTTAGGAAACAAATGTACTTGTAATATAGATACGACCGCAATTGTAGTTAGATTTTTTAAGAAAAGACAATCCCTTACCGTGTGTGAAGTTTCCTTGATGGCCGTTGTCTGGTTGCTGATGATTGCTGGCTGGCAATTTCTATTCAATTTCCGTGGTAAAAATGTTTTAGAAATCTAGCCTGAGGAAAGTTTCAATCTGCAACGAGAATTGGAATATAAGGGGAATAATTAGAGCCGAGGCATAAACAATTAAAGCGAGAGAAAAAACAAACACAAATTATAATTAAACAGTGTACTACTACAGGATGACGATGAGTGGGAGGCGCGATCCCCAACCTTAAGCCCGGAAAAGTCATTTGCTCATTAGCCTCACATTTATACGAAAGAGTGGGAACTGAGAGCGGCTACCTTGAGGGTCAAGTGCGCGAGAGCGAGATGAAAATGAGCACTGGAATTAGAATTTTAGGTCAGTCGCGTAATTGAGAGGCTGAGCAAATACACTGCAGCGGTTAATGGGACTAATTAACCAATCAAGCGGTGGCGGTGGCGATGACGATAAGCCTCCGTTCAAGTCAAAAATCGACGCATCTCTCGATTCTCGCTCAGTTTCGTTTCGGCAATCACTCGAACCACACAAGGCACATCACTCGGAATTGCTAAAACCGCGTATAGTTATGGCACGCCAACCACTGAGACTCCTGCTGGGAGTCCTACTGACTGCCATTGGCCTTGCCAATGCCGCCGTGCTGAATTCTGGGACCGCCAACTACACCATCGACATCCTGCGCCTGGCCAAGGCGGCGCACATCAAGGCCTACATGAGCGAGAACAAGGAGGAGCCCTGCCAGAACTTCTACAACTTTGCCTGTGGCAACTGGCCACGCCTGCACCCGGCCCAAATCTCTAGGCAGAAGACCAACTACCTGGAGGAACTCCAGGAGCTGTACATCCGCAAGAGCGCTGATATGCTGAAGGGTGCCACGCGTGGACCCGAGAACAGCGCTGATCGCCAGCTAAAGAACTTTTTTGGCTCGTGCCGGCGGCAGGCGAACGACACGCAATCCGCATTAAAGACCCTTTTCGAGGTTGCGGACTTTAGGGGAGGCTGGCCGGAGATTAGGGTTGGCTCCTGGTACATACACGAGTACGAGTGGCTGCAGGTGGCGGCCAATCTTAAGCGCAAGCTGGGCGTGGACATCTTTATCGGCCTGGAGGTGGTCCTGGACTACAAGGAGGAAAAGATGCACCGTCTGAAGATAGGAGCTCCCAAGTTTCCCATGCCCCGACGCCACTACTTGGATGACCACTTCGAAGGCACTCGGGAATTATACGAACGTTCCATTATGAATAAGCTGAAGCTTTACTTCCCCGAGCAACCTGATCGCTGGCTGAAGGAGGTAGCCGAGCAGGTGCTACATGTCGAACAGCAGCTGGCCAAGGGTCTGCCCCACAATGCCGCCCTCACGCTGGAGCAAACCACTCGGCAGAGGACGGCCAATGAAATGAAGGCCGCCTACGGCAAATACGTGGATGTGACTCGCTACCTGCAGGTGATCTTTAACGACAACCTATATATGGACTTGTACGAGACGCCAGAGGACTATCTATCCAACTTGGTGGACGTGATCCGGACAACGCACAAGCTGCAGCTGGCCAACTACACTATGTGGAAAGCCCTGGAAGCCCTGGACGGCGCTCGTGTGCCGCAATCCCAGTCCCCGGATATCTGGTGCATCCAGCTGGCCCAGCGCTACTTCCCCCAGCAGCTGGAGAGCCTGTTCCACCGTAACTACAACCACATGCAGATGATTAACGAGCTGCAGTCCACCTGGTCGGACATCAAGCGTGTGTTCCGAGAGGACCTGCAGGCCTCCGAAAGGCTGCACTGGCTCTCGCTGGAGACACGGCAGAAGGCAATCAGCAAGCTGGAGGCCCTGAAGCTGCAGTTCCGCACCCACGACGACAGCCAGCTGATCCGCCAGGTCCACGGACTCAACCTGCACGCGGATAGCTTCTACCCGAATCTGGTGGCAGTGCTCCAGTGGCACACACAGCGCGCCTTGGCCAAGCTGATGGAGGAACCGGTGACCGAAGACGAGGTTTACAAGCTTCCGCACTACGAGCTGCAAAAAAACCGTATCCAGGTGCCCATCACTTTCCTGCAGGCTCGTTTCTTCTGGGATCCCGCCTATCCGAATGCCCTAAAGTACGCCACTCTAGGTGTGCTCCTAGCCCGCCAGATGCTGCACGGATTCGATGGCGTTGGCCGGCGATATGATGCCTATGGTTACCAAAACAATTGGTGGGACGGCATATCGGAGAGCTCGTACTCGCGGCGCTCGCAGTGCTTCCTAGAGCAGTACGCCATTTTTGTCCAGTACAAGGAGAAGCCAGTGCAGGACAAGGAACTGCTCCGCCGGGTGGTGGCCGACAATGGAGCTTTGGATATTGCCTATCGCGCCTACCAACAGTGGCTGAAGAACGCGGCCGAAACCCCGGTTATATATCAGCGAGAGCAGTTGCCGCTCTTGGACCGCAACCACAATCAGTTATTCTACCTGGGCTACGCACAGCTGTACTGCTCCGATTACCCGGACACCGTGGACCGATTCGATGAGCTGCCGGAGCAGTTGCGCATCAACACAGCCCTGTCCAACTCACAGCAGTTCACCAATGCCTATGGCTGCACCCGCGAGGACAATCTGAATGCCCGCTTTAAGTGCACCCTCTACTGAGAGGAGTCCCGATGCCCTCCAAACTCCATACTATATGTATTCTACCAGTCTACCCAATAAAAGGTTTTCCTGCACTTGTCATTTATTGCCTCGAGTTTTTGTTGATCTTTTGGGTTAATTCTTAAGATTTAGACTCTTTACTTGGAATCTAAAACGGATGACGACGGATTCCTTTATATTGAAAGGAATAAAAGGTTCTTTCAAAACTAATACCATCGTTTTTGATTTGGTTTGATTTATTTTATATCCTGACTTTACAAGTATAACACTTATAAATTAATGCGCCAGACACAAAGGGATAACCATTATTAATTATTAAAAACATTTCTTTCCCGCAGTTGTTTCCTAATTTAAAACGGCACATTGAAAGTTTATTAATTTAAGATTATCTTTATTGTTATTTCCGAAAAAAAAACAACGAATTTGATAAGATTCCTGTAGAGTATAAAAGCGCATTTTGAAAAAACAAAAAAAAAACATTGCTATATAATATTGGATTATTAATGCAATCATTCTTTTGGAATTTACTATGTCATCGGCTTATGCAGAGAAAGAAACAAACAAAAAATTATTAATTGTTATATTTCCTCTCTTTCTCCCTGTTTTTATTCTAAATTGACAACTTAACTTTTCAATAAATGTTTAAGAGAGTATACCAGAACCTATTGCGTAAGATGATGGATGACTCAAGCGAGATTCTGTCATGTTTAAAAGGGTTCCAAGCCAACGAATCACTCTCTACGCCTTTTCCGTCCGATAACCTCAATTGACCCCGACCATATCAACCGCCTCTCTCTCTCTCTATTTCTCTCTCTGTGTGAGCTGCCTCGAAACCGCGAGCCAGATTGCCACTGCCTGTGCGGCAGGCAGTCGATAGCTTCACCGAGCTCCGGCAACATGTCGGACACAACTTCGATGAGACTGCTCCTGTGGTTGGGGCTGCTCTGGCTGGCAGTTCTCCAGCAGATTGTCCCGGCTTCTGGGGAGGATGCACCGGCTTTTCAGCGCATCTACCAAACGGAAAAGACGGTGAGACGAACCAAAGGTCAGGAGATGCGCAGCTATGTAAACAATAGCATCGATCCCTGTGTGGACTTTTATGCGTATGCCTGTGGCAATTGGCGATCGATATCCACGCCCCAGGAGCAACATGATCAGCAGATAGACAGGGAACTCCTCCTGCTCATACAGGAGAGCGTCGTGCGAGAGGACAGCCCCCTAGCGCGACAAGCTAAGGAGTTCTTCAAGTCCTGCCTGGCGGCACAGGCTGAGCAGAGCCAGCAGCAGCAGCAGTTCCTCAGCGAATTTATCAACCAAAACGGTGGCTTCCCAGCGGTTCCTGGATCTCAGTGGGCAGTGCACCACCACGATTACGACTGGCTTAGGGTTCTAGGTGGACTGCGACGTCGCTACGGAATGGACATCCTCATCGGACTCCGGGTGGGATATAACTATGAAAGCATCTTTGAAAACAGCCTGTACCTGAGCGAGCCCAGCACTCTGATTCCCCGGGAACTGTGCATCCAAAATCGCTCGGACATCAGGGACTCAATCTATGCACCTTTGGAGCGCCGAGTGGCCCGTGAACTGACTACCTGGCTGGCCTTGGGCAATGAGGAATCCGCCCGCCTGGCCGCTGACATTCTCACCTTTGAGCACGAGCTTTGCGGCAGTATGAGAGGTGGCTCCTTGAACCCCTGGGACGCCGAGAAGCAGTTGTACGAGGCGAACTACACCCGCAAGACTCTGTCCGAGCTCGGCCAGATATTTGACCTAAACCTGGAATCCTATGTGACCGCCAGCTATGATCAGGTTATCTTCAAGCCCGTCTACATGGCTGCTCCGGAATACTATTGCCAGCTAAAGCGCACAGTGGCTGCTCACAATATGAGTCTGGTGGCCAATTATATTATGTACCGAGCGATATCCGCTCTTAATTTTCCCATGGATGAACGACCTAAGATGAGGAAAGGATTGTGCTTGGAGCGCATCAAGGAACTGATGCCCAGCGCTTTGGGAGAACTGTATGCTCGGCAGTTTGGCGCTGATGATACGAGGAAAGACCTGGACAGGCTGTTTGAGATACTACAAATGGCTCTGAGGAAAAGTCTGAGTGCTGAATGGTTGGAGGATGTCAGTCGACGGGTGGCCCAGAGGAAGCTTCAAGATCTAAAGCTGCAATTGCCCAGCTACGAGCACCCTTCTGCCTTGAAGCTGCAGCTGGAGCGCGCCAACTATTGGAGCAATCTGCGTCAACTCTTGGAAGCTGTTCAGTCGCAGCGAATGAATCAGCTCTTCGAGGAGTTCCCCCTCACACCCCACGATCCCGTAGAGGCTTTTGAAGCCAGGGTTCGCCTCCGACCGGTGCAGCGCCGCTTGGATATGGGATTGGCCCTGCTCCAGCCGCCAGCCTACAACCATCACTATGGCCACCCCTTCCGCTATGCCACTCTGGGCTTGAAGCTGGCTAGGCAGCTGGTGACAGCTTTCGATGATCTCCACTGGTCGGTGGGGTTGCTTGAGCGCGATAACTGGGATGGCGAAACCGCCTGGAAGTACCATCTACGAAGTGACTGCTTCAGCCGCCAGGTAGAACACTATTTAAGAGCTAACTTAACCGCCACCAGACAGCTGATCAAGGACAGTGCAGCCCTGAACGTTGCCTTTCAGGCCTATCTCACCTGGCTGGGATTTCAGGAGCCCAACAACGACTTGGACATGCTACTCAATGAGACACTGCCGGGAGTGAATTACACAAATACCGCTCTCTTCTTCGTGGCCTACGCCCAGCAGTACTGCGATCTGGAGGAGTTTCGTCCTAAAGACGACCAGATGGCAATCGGAGGATGGCTATACAGTGCCCGACAAAATCACTCCTGGACGCGGCTCCGAGTGAACGGGCCTTTAAGGAATTCGGCAGAGTTTGCTAGAGACTTTCGGTGCCCGATTGGGTCGCCAATGAATCCCGCCACCAAGTGCAGTATATACTAAAAAGATAACAATATAAATATATCCTGTTCCTAAAGCATTTACAAATAAATCCTACGACTTTTCCTATTAATTTATTGAAAGTTTTTCTAAGGAAAGAAATGTCTAAAATCACTCGGCTAGTTTTCCTGTTGCTAGTTAATATACAAACACATTGCGAAATGATTATATTTCTGGGAAAGACTATACCCCCTTCTTCTCGGACGGCGGAATTACAACATTCGTTGATAGGAGGAAAACCTTGTCACCAAGGGATTCGTGTTGATTTCCCATCAATGCCAAGTTCTCGGCTCGTGAGGCCAGGTTTGTTTACTTCTCTCGCGGATTTCAAAGCCCCGCTGGGTGCGATAACCTCCAGGGACTGAGAGCGAACTTGACCCAATTCTCGCAGGTTCAAGTCCCAGCTTGTGGAAGCTTCCGATCCGTCGCTTATCAAGCCTCGAAACACCGCAGCTCAGTCGATTTTTTAACGCCAAGATGGGAGCTAGCAGAAGCGCTTGTATGAGTGTGCTCCTCAAGTGGCTGATCCTCTACGGAATCGAGCATTCCGTCGTGACTGGAGCCCGGTACAATAGCATTAACAGTATGACTCGAATGCAAATGCAGGGTGGAGCCAAGCCGGATACCAGAGAGGAGCACATGGCCCGCCAACTGATGGCCTCGGACATGCAAAAGTACATGAACCAAAGCGCCGATCCCTGCACGGATTTCTTCGAGTACGCCTGCGGTCACTGGGGAGACTACCAGAAGCGGCAGCTGCGTCTTGGGGAGCTGTACACCGCCCAGCAAGTAATGGAGACCAGGATCTCGGACCAGTTGCAGCAGCTGCTCACACAACCACTGCCGCCGCAGCGTCACCCAAACGGCTACAGTGAACCCAGTATGGCGAATGTGAGGAAAGCTCGAGCCTTCTATGAATCCTGCGTGGCCGTAGAGGCGAATGCTGGAGAAAGGCGTCGCTTTCTCACGAAGATTCTGAAAGAGAATGGCGGACTGCGCAATGTTCCAAACTCCAACTGGCAGCAGAACCGCCATTGGGTTCATACTCTGGCTGATGTGAAGAGGAGATACGGATTGGACATTCTGCTGGGACTGGAAATCGATCTGAACCTGCAGAATATGCAGGGGAATAGCATATATTTCGGAGAGCCCAAGCTCACGCTAATTCCCGAGGAGCACTGCAATGCGGTGACCGCCAAGGGGGCACAAGTGACGGACGAGGTCTACAAGCGGGTCCAACAGCAGGTGGCTGAGAACATACGGGATTGGTTCGGGGTGGACACAGGAGAGGCTGACCGCTTTGCCAGAGACATTGTGCGTTTCGAATTTCAACTCTGCAAGAGATTGAGGGAGCAGGATATTCAAATGTCCGAGGAGGAGTTTCCGCCGCCCATTGCCGGCCAAATTTTAGGAGCTCGCTCGCGAACAGGCCAGAATCGATTACACCGCCAAAGGGGAGGGACGAATCTCAACGAACTGACCAATGAAATGGGGAATGTGTTGGACTTTAAGATGTTTGTAGAGCTAGTCCTGGAGAATCCATATGCGAATTCAGTATACCTGCGTTCCCCGGAATACATAAAGCATTTGATACAAACAGTGAAGATCACCAACCGACTGACTATTGGTGGCTACATTATATACGTAGCACTCAACGAACTCAACCAGCCTCCGGAGGAACCTCCTTCACAGCGCGCTCGCCAGTGCGCCCAAATAACGCAGCGCCTCTTTCCCCAAGTTCTGGGCGAGATGTTCCAGCGCCAGGTGCAGCGAGATAATGCCAAACATGATCTGGACGCAGTTTTTCGCGATGTAATCAAGGCACTCGAGCAGCAGATGCGTGTGGAATGGCTGGACGAGAACGATCGAAGGGCGGTGAGGACCAGACTCTCCCAGTATCGCGCCCTGCTTCCGGACTACCAGAGTTTGGACCTCTCCGACTTGCAGTTTCAGAAACAGGACGACTACTGGCGTCGCTTGGAGATTGTGCTCAAATATCGCTCCAGACGGCAGTTTGAAAGCTTAAACGGTAACGATTTTGGCCAGGACTTGCATGGCATCCTGGATGCCTTCGAGGTGCGGACAGCGTTGGCTCCCCGCCAGCAGGCAGTTCTAGTTGGATGGGGACTCCTCCAACCTCCCTACTACAATTACTACTATCCCAGGGCGCTGAAATACGCCTTGTTGGGTCAGCGTTTGGCCAGTGCCTTGGTCCAGGCTTTCGACGACGAGGGATGGAACCGTCACCCACAAGCCACCTCCCCGTGGAATGAGCTGACCATGGCGGGATATCGGAACGTCAGCGAATGCCAGCGGGCTCAGTACAGTAGCTATTTGTACAATGAACCAGGAGAGTTCCGGAATGTCACAAGGCTTAGGGAAATCATAGCCGAGAGCAGTGGTCTCAACATTGCCTTCAAGGCCTATTTGGAGTGGCTGGAGCTGCAGGACTACAGGCTGGGTCCCCTTCTCCAAAAGGAAACTCTTCCCCAGCTGAACTTCAGCAACACGCAGCTCTTCTTTCTCTACTTTGCACAGTCACGGTGCTGGGCGAAGGACAACCAGGAAGGCATCCTGGACTCGATGCCTCTGATGCAACACACACCGGAGCGTTGGGACGTGAATGGACCACTGAGCAACAATGCGGAGTTCGGACGAGAGTTTGGTTGTGCTCTGGGCACGCCGATGAATAGCGGAGACAAGTGCTTGGTTTACTGATGCCAATGAAAAAAAAAAAAACTAGAAAATAAATATGATACAACTGGAGCTATTGACTTATTATTGGCGGTAAACTATTAGTTTCCTTGAAAGTGAAAATCAATTTTTATTGAACTTAGGCTATCTCCAAGCGACTGTTTTTGTTTATCTCCCAATGCCAAGTTCTAGGCTTGTTTACTTCTCCCGCTAATTTCCGAGCTGCGGCGATAAGCCGTAGGTGATGAGAACGCTATAGACCAGATGCTCTCAGGTCTGTCTATCATCAAACCTCTGAGCTGCGCATTTTAGTCTATTCCTAAACGCCAAGATGAGATCTTCGAGAATCACTGAGTGGAGTGCGCTTCTAACACTGCTATTGTATGGCATCCAGCTTTTCGGGGTGACTGGAGTCCCCCCGAGAAACAAGCCGGGTTATCGAGACGAGCAAATAGTGCGCCAACGGATGTCCTCGGATATGCAAAGGTATATGAACCTGAGTGCGGATCCCTGCACGGATTTCTTTGAGTTCGCCTGCGGCAACTGGGGAGAGTATCACAGCCTGTACACCGCCCAAGAACTAATGGAGAACCGTATCTCGGAACAGTTGCAGCAGCTTCTCACGGAACCGTTGCCACCGCAGCATCATCCAAACGGCTACAGTGGCCAAAGTTTAGCGAATGTGAGGAAAGTTCGTGCATTTTACGAATCCTGTGTAGCCGTGGAGGGAAATGCTTCCGAACGACGCCGCTTCCTGATGAAGATCCTCCAGGACAATGGAGGATTGCGCAATGTTGAGAACTCCCATTGGCAACATAACCGCCAGTGGCTACAAACTCTTGCCGAATTGAGAAGGAAATACGGATTGGATATACTTTTGGGACTGGAAATCGACCAGAGCCTGCAGCAGGCGAAGAGTAACAGCATATACTTTGGGGAGCCCAAGCTCACCATTATTCCGGAAGAGCACTGTAATGCTTTTGTCACCCACGGAGTTCGGGTGAAGGATGAGATATATGAGAAGGTGCAGGAACAGGTGGCGGAAAACATGCAGGATTGGTTTGCCATGGACTCTGGTGAGGCGTGTCGTTTTGGGGGAGACATAGTGCGTTTTGAATTTGAACTCTGCAAGGGAATACGAGTGGAAGATATTCAAGAGCCCGAAGATGAATTGCCCAGAGCACTTTCCCTTTACGGAGCTCGGTCTCGAACTGCTCAGAGACAATTAAACCGACGAAAGGAGGGAATGACCCTCATCGATCTCACCAACGAAATGGGTAATCTGTTGGATTTTAAATTATTTGTGGAGATAATCTTGGAGAACCTATACACGGGTCAAGTCTACCTTAAGTCACCGGAATATATAAAGCATCTTATAAGGACTGTGAGGTCCAACAACCACATAACTCTTAGTTGGTACATTATCTACGTAGCACTCAACGAGCTCAACCAGCCACCGGAAGAACCTCCTTCGCAGCGCGCTCGCCAGTGCGTCCAAATCACGCAGCATCTCTTTCCCCAAATTCTGGGCGAGATGTTCCAGCGTCAGGTGCAGCGAGACAATGCCAAACATGACGTAGATGCAGTTTTTAGTGATGTGGTCAAAGCTTTTGAGCAGCAAATGCATGCGGAGTGGCTAGAAGAGAGCGATCGAAGGGCGGCCAGGACCAGGCTGTCGCAATATCGAGTTATTTTTCCAAATTACAAGAATTTGGATCTCTCCGACTTGCAGTTCCACAAACGGCAGGACTACTGGAGCCGTTTAGAGAATGTTCTTAAATATCGATCCGACCAGCAGTTTGAAAGATTAAGGGAACTTGATAATGGTCCGAGCTTGGATGGTCTCTTAGATGCCTTCGAAGTACGTACTTCGTTGTCTGTACGCCAGCAGGCCATTCTAGTTGGATGGGGTCTACTCCAGCATCCTTACTACAACTACTACTATCCCAAAGCCCTCAAATACGCCTTGTTGGGTCAGCGTTTGGCCAGTACCTTGGTCCAGGCTTTTGTCGACGAGGGATTGAACCAGTGGAATGAGCTGACCTTGGCGGGATATCGAAACGCCAGCGAATGCCAGCGGGCCCAGTACAGTAACTACTTGTACAATGAACCAGGAGAGTTCCGGAGCGACACAAGGCTTAGGGAAATTATAGCAGAGGGCAGTGGTCTCAACATTGCTTTCAAGGCCTATTTGGAATGGTTGGAGCAGCAGGACTACAGACCAAATCCAATCCTGATGAAGGAAACTCTTCCCCAGCTGAACTTCAACAACACGCAGTTGTTCTTTCTCTACTTTGCGCAGTCACGGTGCTCGGCGAAGGACAACCAGGAAGCCATCCTGAACTCGATGCCCCTGATGCAACACACACCGGAGCGTTGGGACGTGAATGGGCCACTGAGCAACAATGCGGAGTTCGGACGGGAGTTTGGCTGTGCTCTGGGCACACCGATGAACAACGGGGATAAGTGTTTGGTTTACTAATGACCATGCAACGGAAATAAAATACTTGAAAAGTAAGTCAAAAGTGGAGTTATTGATTGGATTGTAGGAGGCTTCGGTGTAAGCAGTTTCTTCATTTTAAGCTAAGAAATAACCCAAGCTATTTTTTTTAATTCTGAAAGTCTGTTTCGCTGGGATAGGGGTTAAGAGACCAGTTTTTAAAGACTCATTAAGCTCGATCGATTACTTAAACTGCAAGCACAGATTTCTTTAAATATCGAAACTCTTGAACATAGCTCGACGTGTCTGCAGCCTGGGCCGGGTTTTAGGCACTCGAGCACGCAGCGCTCGTTCCAAGCATTTTCTGTAAGAGATATGGCCGCTTTTTAATACCCAACCATTGCATGTGGGCAGATCTCTTGACCTTGAACCGTCAATCGATTGCTCGTGGCCATATGGGATGCGGATGCGGGACGCACGCATTTCCGCTCTGTGTAAAATTAAGCTTACCTGCAACGACAGAAAATTACAAGAAAATTATTAGCATCTGGCAACAAATAAAATAAACTTAAATTTAACATTCAAATTGTTAAATGATAACTGAAAAATAAATATATATAAACTACATATTGGTGTACAATCAAGCTTAATTAACCTTTACTGATCTCAGATACAACCACCCCCATTTGCATTGTACTCAAGAGATAATTTATTCAGATAGTCATAATAAAATTTTCTCTTGAGATTTTAGTTTGCAGAACTATTTTTTAGTGCATTCTATTTGCTGGATATAGCAGTTAGGCATCTCACTGATTTCAAATGGAACGGAAGTGCACCATGGCCAGTGCATAATATTCTGTAAGCTCTTGGAGCGTATCATCAATTGCTGTTGTGCGAAAATGGCATACAATTTGGCGATTCGATGCGTCATGGGATTGTAAAAAAAACACCATCGCTTTAAATAATGGTGGAAGTTAGTGTGTAATCGCTTAAAAGACAAAAAACACTAGACAAAAAAAAAAGAGAAAACAAAAACCTAATAAAAAAGACCCAGCAAAGTAATTTTCAATTCACATTCGTAGGAAAAAGATGCCATGGCCTCGGGTATATCATTATGGCCGCCACAAACAAATGGGAAAAATGTTCGCACAACGGCTATAAAGTGACGCGGAATTCCAGGCAAATGTCTTATGGCACTCCGACTCCCGCGGCACCTTTAAGTATCTCGCTTCCCCCACAATTATCAGACATTGTCGAGACGAGAGGAGCCATTAAATTGGCGTCGTCGGCTCCGTTTGTTGGTAGCTAATCAGCGAAAAGAGAAAGAAACTGCATGAAACGGAAGCTTTGGGAAAGCCAATAAGCAATAATTAACAGATAATCCATAAAAAATAACGATGCAAAGGGGCTTTGCATAGACAATTAAAGGGACAATGGGTATTCCTACCGAGAATCGCATTTAAGCAGAACAGAATAGGCACGCCTACGCCTATAAGCGGATTTCACACGAGGTGTGGCTCCCTATAGGATCCTTTACCTTTTACAAGTCCGGTTTTGCTTCTCTGAAAGCGGCTTAATGAAGCTTTATCTACCTACACAAAGGCGGAGATTGTAGAGTCCCATATGCATACATGCTTGCATTAGTTATGCAACATATATTTCCACAATATCATCATATGCATTCCCCCTTAGGGGCTATAAATTTGACAAAGCTTACAAAGGCTTCGACTTCAGAGGAAGACAATCCCAAACTCAAATGAAAATGTGAGAAAAATCGACAAAAAAATGCAGTGGACAAAAACGAAACCAGAAATAAACTGAGCACACGAGTCAATTTGATTAATCAACTTTACAAAGTCCCCAATAAATCAAGCACAAGTATTTAAACAAGACAGACGCCAAGCAAATGACCCAGTTTCCTGGCCCCTATCTATGTATTCTGTCTGTGTGGCGGGTCTTCGAGTGGCATTACCAATCTATGCCAAGTGACTCCAAAAGAGCAGCACTGCCCCGAATCCCCCGGGCACGTTGGCTTGCCTGTTCTTGATAGTGTGCGTTTGAGGACCGATTCAATATTTCATTCACACATTTTTAACCCAAATTCGAAAATGTCTTTACATTAGTTTCCATAAAAACAAACAACAGCAGCGGGCGGGATGAGTGGAAATAGCCTAACTAAGTGGTTCTACACATGTCGAGCGGCATTCCAACAAATTGATCTTGAATGTGGCCAACTCACCAGGCCAAACATAGATCAATGGATGGCCAGCAGGTGTGGCATTCCGTCGGCCGGAAAGTAGAGAAAAACCGCTTGCAGACAGTAAAAGTGCTTTTGTAATTCAAAACTGTTTACGCTGGGACCGGGACAGCCGAGGGGCAAAAACAAGAGCGAAGCTTGGAGAACGTGCACATATGTACATATGTATCTCGTCGACACATATTGCTTCAGAGTTATTATTATATCTCTGCGGCAACTTCGCATGTGGGCGGCGACGCCTCTGGGCTGTCATATATGGCCTCCATTTATTCACCGTGCAATATGTACGGGTTATAAATACTTTACATGCGACTTTGGCAAGCCATAAGTAATGAAATTTATTTCTCATTCAATTGAATTCTTTCTCGACGAGGGGCGCCCATATTTAGTTTTGTCCAAAACAATTTGTCATTATTCTAAGGCATTACATATGAGAGGCGGCACCATGGGACTGAATAGAGAAAAATGTGATTAAAATTGATCAATCAATGGGATATTTGATCATTTTTTAGGTTCCGAAAAGTGGTTTTAAAAGCAACATATTCCAGGGTACCAAAAAATTCTCCGACACAGTATTCCACCAAGGGAGACTTTCTTTAATGGGGTATCTTTGTTATCTTTATATACAGAATAATCTGTAAAGAATTTGGTTTATGTTGGTTTAAAAAACACTTGATATGCCTGTCGGTTTAACAAGATTCTTATCGCCTCTATGGGCAACTTAAATAATATTAAAATTCAAGAGATTTCTGTGAGGTAACTACACTCAAAAACAAGTTGATTTCTCTCTAATATAATCATATTTTTAGTTCTAGCTAAACAATAAATGAGTAAAAAGCTTTAAAAAGAACATATGAACTTGGTTCCCAGTGCACATGATTCACCAAGTATGAAACAGACATGGCAACAGCTTTTCTTGCGGTGTGGCAAGCAATCTGATTAGTACTGAAACTCCATAAATATTGCATACGTGTTCAATTAACAGAAGGCATCGCACTGCACTCCTTGGGGGTGATCCAAAAGGGTCGACACCCATAAATAAAAGCCAAACCTAAGGGGTTTCCTTGCAGAAACTTTCCCGGCAACCCCGAGGATGGTCACCGCATGGAACAACCCTCTTTCACCAGCTAGCAGCTGTTGTGCTTTCGAAAAGGCATTTGCGACCGTTTGGGCCGCTTCAAAACTAAATCTTGGGGAACGCGGGCCAGTGACTCAGTGGCGGGCAATTGGGGAACGGAATCAATTGCACACAGCCCGCAGAAAAAAACGGATATCTGCGGGTAAAGGTAGCGTGTCAAGGAAACGGCGCTGGAAGACAACCTCACACCACCACCAACACCACCCCCGAAATTCTGGCTGAGAAACAGCTGAGAGGCGGAAAAGAGAGCAGTTCTCGTGCTCGCTCTCGTTGTAAAAATCGATTTTCCAAAACAAACTCAAACTGGTGGCCGCCTTGGGCAGATAAATTCGCTGATGAAAACGCCAATTACCTTTTCAAAACATAAATCTTCGTCAATCCAAGGTGGAAAATCCCTTGTATCAAGTATATTATAAACTGTATCTGTCGGATACTTTCGCAGGCCTTGTTCCAGCGTCAAAGCGTAAACAATTGATAATTTTATTAAGCACAAAAAACACAAGGCAGGCCAGCCACCGAGCCAAACTAAATTCTCACACAAAAATGATTTCGAAATGCACTTCACGCACTAAACTGGAAATGGAAAGGCACACGGCCCTTTCCCTTCGCGAGATGGCATTCGGGCCAAGTGGGTGTGGTGAGTTTCCCTTGCCTCTGGCCCAGGACTTATCGATTTGGCAATTAGTCGCGTGCAAAAGTGCAAAGCAAATCCACGACGACTTTCAGCTTTACAACTGCTTTATCGTACGCGACTCCGAACAAAGCGACTTGGGAAACGCAGAAATAAAGAATTCAAATTCAAATTCCACGGGGGGATACACACGATAAGGCGATTTCCTCCGACCGAGTAGCACGAAACCACGAGTAGTCACTCCACTCTGGGTAGCGAGCAGCAGCGTCGTCGACCGTCGATGGCGATGTGTGGCGCCGCTGTGTAGCTCGGTTGGGCGCTCCGCTCATGCTCATGCTCTCACGCTCTCACTCCGCCAGTTATGCTGGCGCTGTCCGCGCAGCATAGGCAGTGGCAGCGGCAGAACGCCAGCGGCGGGCCCCCGATTTTCAGACACAGAAAGAAACATCGTAAAGTGGGGGTATTACCAACTAATTCTGGTACAAAAGCTACTATATATTCACAAAAAATATTAAGCAATAAATAAAAGACCATAAATTGTATAACATAATATCGAAAAATATGAAAGTACATATTTTCAATAATGTCTAATACAGTATCAAAGAGAAATGTCTTTAGTGAGTCTTATCTACAAATCCCAAAAGTCGTACAAAACGACACAAAAAGAAACAAACAAAATCTTTAGACAACCTATAACGATAGGAAGAATAAATATTTATAATAAATATTAGCAATTTTAGGTAGCAGCAATGATACTAAACTATGAGAAAAATATATTTAAATATATTTTAGTTTAATTTAGCTCTTTAAATAATTAATTCATCACTCCAAATTGGAAATGTTAGGCGGAAATTATGTATGCAATTTCTACGGAAGTTTGGCCGACATTTAAATTTTTAATTAAAAAACCAATTTATATTTCCTAATCGGCAATGGCTCTCCTTTTTTTTTTTGTAAGTAAAAAGAGAAAATGCGTTTTTGTAAAACAATCGGAATCAAGAGAGTCTGAAGAATATAGTTCCTAAGAATTGTATTTTTAAAAACTTTGTAATTACTGATATGTTCCTATAGTAAAAGATTCCCACTTCAATAATATAAAATTAATTCATCAGAGTTTACTCGTTTACAGGAAAAGTCACTCACAATTATAGACAACATTTTCAGCTTTCTAGATATAATACCCTAAAAGAGTCTTGGTTTTACTATCCTATAAAAATTAAACACTTAAAAGAGCTGTCTGCTTTATAGAGTTCCAAAGTGCACTGAGCAGTGAAATAAGAGACCCTCTGTTAGGGTATCCTATGCAGCAATGTCCGGCTGGAAATCCACTGAGCGATACTCAGATTTTCAGAGAGAGCCTCTGCAACTCAGCAAAACTGGAGCACTGTGCTCCGGCTGATAGCCGACGGCAGCATGACACACAGCCTATGACTAGAGCCCGAGTATTTAGCTCTACGCTGTGGTGTGCGTGATGATAAGCGGACGGAAAATCGAATCGTGCGCTCTCCGATCAATAACCGAAAAGTAAACAAGTCGAGGGGAGAACAAAGTAAACCCAAAGCAACGATCGGTCACGCATGCGCCCGAATACAACGAATTACCAATCGTGCTTTGGCCCACTGGCCACTGTGGAGGAACTGGTTTCCTGGGGGGTTGACATTTCCAAGACGATCCGCATTCTATGCAGATTAGCCTCGCCGCTAAACGCAACGATTTTTCCAACTACTAGCGCATAGAACCCGTTCCGAGGTTAATGACACAATCAGACATAGTTGCAGTCATTACCTAACATTCGCGCACAGATGAGCTAATGATCTAGTGGCGGTCAATCAGCAAACACGCAATATGGTAACCAACCAATTTACGGACTGGCAGTTCCAAGATGAGAAAAGAATACCGAAAAAGCCAACTCAACTGGACATGCAATGCGCAGCGAATTAAGATATATAATTTTCACGGTAGCCAACTTTCAATTATCATCGAAAGAAAGTGTGCCCAATTGAATTAACAAGACGGGGCAAATGGGAAATTTCTTAAGACAATTTGTCTCCGAGGTGAAAACTTTATTGTTGAAATACGATGAAGTTTTGAAACTTCTATAATTATACTTTAAAGTTTATTCCAAAGTATCTCCTACAGCCCTGGCAAGCGAAAACACACCTCAAGGTACAAGTTACCGCTCTGGAAAAGTGGTTTTCCAATGCGCAGGCGCACTGGCAGCCAGGAAGTGATGGTAAATGGAGAGCGGGAGAAAATGGGAGAGAGAGAGAGCAGAGCATAATGAAAATGTGTTACAGCCATTTGGCGGACATAAAGGTAGGGAATCTGCATAAACTGCCTACGCCAAGTTTTGATGAATCATTTTGGTTGGGTTAGGCATGCAACCCGGTGGCGGAATGGGAGTGAGGATGGGAGTGGGAGTTAAACTGGGTGGTTTTGGGCAGGGGTTGAGTCATTGCCTGCCCGAAGGAATACATAATTCATTGTGCCAGACTGCGTGCCTGCTTCCTAATGGCAGCTGTTAAAGGTGGACGAACACTGGCCAGCAGTTGCAGACCAACTGGCAGAAGCCAACTGGTAAACAGGCAACACTTTTATCAACACGATATCTTCATGATATTAGAATTTATAACGACTTCCGGCATTACACAAACGAGAAAGGTTGCCCAAATGGAAATCAATCGAGGGTCATTAGAGGCCTAAGAACTCCGTGCACGGGGTTCCACGCCATTGAAATGGAAATGAGTTGTAGTTTTTCTCCCAAGAATCAAGGGGAGCAGCCGCCGCCATTGATTGGAAAAGCGTACGCCAAGACCCGGCTGAGGTCGAACCCAATCGTATCGATACGTCTCAATGCGCAGAGATTTACGTGTGACTTCAGAGTCCAAAGCTTGATTATGACGCTATGTATATAAACAAAGCGAAGCTTTTTGTCAGCGTCAAGCTCGGATTACGGTTGATGTTTTTTATTTTTTGTTTTTTTTTCTGTATTTCTGTATTTCAATACGGCGTTCGAAACGAGTTTAACGAAAAGACAACAAAGGTAACCGAGTTATTTCTTAGTCACTGAAATATACAACTGCAGGCAAACTTCCTACATCGGGTTTGTCCTAATTTAAGCTGTTAATATAATTAAGATTTGACATATTTAGGCAGATATCCAGAAACTGAGAGATGTTATATATTTATTTTAATAAGAAGATAAGCTGTTTGACAGCAGATTTGATTTAAAATAATAGATATTTTTATAAATTAAAGTAGAGACCATAAAGTCAATTGATATCACTAAAATTTAAACTTTTAATGAACATTAAAGGTGATCTTTATGAAGTTATCCTACGTATTTTCTTCAATAGAAACTTGAATGTGATGCCCAAGATACTCCTGCCGCGAACCTCGCTCATGGCTAGCGATAATTATCAAGTTAATAACTCGACACTAATTAGTCAGGTGCTCGCAATGGGCTTCAAGGGGGTTGGAGGAAGGGGCGGCTTTAGTACGAACCTAGGTCGCGGCCCAACATAAAAACAAGCAACATTTTGACGCGGTCCGATGTGAAAACGAAAGCGATACGATTTTCGGCGAGGAAAATCCAATCCGGTGGCGACGAGAAACCCATTTGGAATGGCAATGGGACGGAATAGAGGAAACTGGAGCTCGAAAGCGATCCAAATGCCAGCGAATGGGTAAATTAAATCACAGCACCAGCATCAGCATCAGGCGGCAGCAAATCAACTTAATGACGACGGCTGGCAACTTTTCCAACGGTTTTATCTGGCGAGGCGATCGCGAGGTGAAATGAATTTAAGTTGCTTTTGCAGCAGTAGCCGCCACAATGAGCGGCAACAACAATATGCCTGGATAAAAAATCGATGAGTGCTCAATTAACTGTTATTCGCACACACACAGCCAAGCGCCCACGTAGTACGCCCACACACACACACACATATACTCGCAAAAACAATAAATATTACGCACAGATGCAGATGAAATTACCTTTTTCAGCTGAGTTTTGTTGCCTTTTGGCAATTGTCTCTCAACAAAACAACATTCGTGGGTATTTGGAGCTTGTGTGTGTGTTTTTCTTTCGCCTCCTCCTTTTCCGCAAGTGCCACTCCCACTCTGATTGGCGCTTGCAGTTTTCCTTTCGGTGGTAGGGCTGGGCGTTCGTTGCCAAAATTACTCTTCACCACACTGCCTTTTACAATTTACTTTTGCCTCGTACATTCGCAGTTATGTCAACTCCTTCCGCGGCGTCTTTTGTTGTTGTGGGTTTTGCAAATGTATTTCGTGTAAATTATGTGCAGTGTGGTTGTTGTTGCTGCAGGTGGTTAAACACTCGCGTTCGTTGGGTCTACGTGGTTTCGTATGCACTGGGTGCCGCACGCATAATTTGCGGACTGCAAATCGTCGTTTTCTTAATTTTTCGTTAGTAATTTGGCTATTAATTGGTTTTAACACGGAGAAAACTTTCGACGTTTCTTGTTGGTTTTCTGATAGTGTTACCCTCGTTTTCTTTTTTTTTGGTCGATAAAAAAAGGCGGATTTCCCCGTCCACAGCCTATGGTCCTACTTAGATTTCCGTGTGACCAGCTGGAAATGTGTTATCGATAAAAATAAAAGAGTAAAAACTGCTTAAATTTGTTTACCTGAACAAAATGATCATAAAAAGTTTAATTTTAGCTTTATTAGTAAGTTTTGGACGAGAAGCAGCTACAGAAGATGAGGGTCTGTGTAGCCCCGACCAGAAATCCTGCATCCAAAGTGAATCCGTTGACGAAAACAAGGATGAATGTGAGCAACTTGTTGCCGGCTTTGCATTTATTTTTAACTCAATCGCCACCATTTAGTTAGCTTTCAGATCCGCCGGCAGATCGATAAGGCCATGGCCGGGTATAAGCCCTGCAGCAGCGATGCAGAGGATGCCAGTTGCACCTGCCACACGGCTGTCCTGAAGCGGGATCTGGCACCCTACAAGTCAACAGGTGTCACCCGGCAAATGATCGAAAGTTCGACGAAGTACGGCACCAAATACAAGGTGTATGGGCATCGCTTGTACCGTGATCCGAGCTGCATGTTTCCTGCCCGCTGCCAGGGCATCGAGCACTTCCTCCTGCCGCTGGTGGCGACGCTACCCAACATGGACTTGGTGATAAACACTAGGGATTACCCGCAACTGAACTCCGCCTGGGGCAACAGTGCCAGAGGTCCAGTGTTCTCGTTTTCCAAGACGAAGGACTACCGCGACATCATGTATCCAGCGTGGACCTTCTGGGCCGGAGGACCGGCGACCAAGCTGCATCCCCGGGGCATTGGACGCTGGGATCAGATGCGCGATAAGCTAGAAAAGCGAGCAGCTGCGATTCCCTGGTCACAGAAGCGGGAACTCGGCTTCTTTCGTGGCTCACGCACCTCGGATGAGCGAGATTCCCTTATCCTCCTCTCACGGCGAAGTCCGGAACTGGTAGAAGCTCAATACACCAAAAACCAGGGCTGGAAATCACCCAAGGACACACTAGATGCGCCGGCAGCCGACGAGGTGTCCTTTGAGGATCACTGCAAGTACAAGTACTTGTTCAATTTCCGCGGAGTGGCTGCCAGTTTCCGGCTTAAGCACTTGTTCCTCTGCAAGTCGCTAGTCTTCCACGTGGGCGATGAGTGGCAGGAGTTTTTCTACGATCAACTGAAGCCATGGGTTCACTACGTCCCGCTTAAGAGCTACCCTAGCCAGCAGGAATACGAGGAAATTCTTTTGTTCTTCAAGAGAAACGATGCCCTGGCGCAGGAAATCGCTCAGCGAGGATACGACTTCATCTGGCAGCATCTACGCATGAAGGACATCAAGTGCTACTGGCGAAAGCTGCTCAAGAGCTATGTAAAGCTGCTCAACTATGAGGTGCAGCCAGAAGATCACCTAATCCATATTGGAAACGGCAAGGATGAACTGTAACAGATTCACAAAGTTTGAGGTCCGTTTTGTGATTCCACTAATTTATTACCAGCATTCCGATAATCAAACATTTTTATCAGCTCAGAATCTCCCATAAACAAACACTCATTATTAAACAATGGCCTATAATTCGTAAATTATGGAATAAGTAAGGTTACAATGAAGTATTTTAGAGGTTGTTACCTTTAGAAAACAGACATTTGTATTATGACTCAAAGTTCTATTAAAAGTATTTGGAAAAACATGTAAAATTAACCAAATTTGACGATGACGACCCTGCAAGGGAGACTTCTCTTCGTGGCAGCCCTGCTCATGTGTTGTGCTTGGCAAACCCTCTCCGCCGTCGAGGACAAGTGCTCCGCACTATCGCAATACCATGACCCCAAGTGTAAGGAATTTCCTGTATGTACTTGGATATTGTTGATTATTTTGAATCTCCAGTTAGCTACGACTTTGTTCCGTATATCTATCGACCATGTGAGCCAGGTGATCTGCAGTGTCTCTGCCATGTCCAGGCTATCCGAAAGAACTTGGAGCCGTACAAGGGCAACGGCATCATAGTGGATATGATGATTCTGCAGTATTACCCTCACGGCTTGGGCCGCTGTATACCCTGGAGTGCGAAGCGCTCAAAGGGCTTCTATCGGGGTTTACGATCTTCCCCCGAGCGTGATAATCTGGTGATGGTGCCTTGCACGTCTCCCGATTTGGTAGATTCCCAGTACCCGTTGCATGTGGCGGGAGAATCCGGTTCGCCTACGCACGAAGTTGATCTCTCCGAAGAGATGCCTTTCTTCGAGCACCGCCAGTACAAGTACCTATTCAACTTCCACGGCGTCCTGCTCTGTCGCTCGCTGGTGATCCACCTGGGCGACCAGTGGCAGGAGCTCTTCTACAACCAACTGATACCTTGGGTGCACTACGTTTCGGTAGCCAGCGATGCCGGAGTGGAGGAGCTGGCGGATCTAATGCTCTATCTGCGGGAGGAGATTGACGAAAAAGGCCATGAGTTTGTTTGGCTGTATTTGCGAATGAATGACGTGCAGTGCTACTGCTGGAAGTTGCTCCAAGAATACGTCAAGCTGTTGACCTACCAGGTTCATCAAAAGCGGGACTTCGTGGAGGTATCAAACAAGAGAGCTGTCCAAGTGCATCGCGGGTAGTTCAGTCAAAAGTTAATATTTAAATTTTAACGGAAAATTACATTTTTATAAAAAAATTCAAATTCTAGTGTGACCTTACTAACCGGTGGTTAATGGTTACGTCGCTACGTAACAGCTGTTGCGTGTTTTTAATTTATTTCTTAAATATTGTTATCATTAGCTTTATGTGGATTCCGTGTCATGGCAGCGCAGCTAAATCCCTTCCGCAATGCCTTCCGGCTGCCGGCCACACAGCGCGTCAACTGGTTTCCGGGCCACATGACCAAGGGCATGCGGCAAATCCAACAAAAACTCCGAACTGTGGACTGTATTGTGGAAATCCATGATGCACGCATTCCGCTGGCGGGCAGAAACTCTCAGTTCTTTGACACCATAACGGGTAGGTTAATCTAATGTCTTTCTTACCAAAAGAAACCTCCTAATTCCCCTTGGTTTACCAGGAAGTGGCGTTAAACCGCACATTCTGGTCTTGAACAAAGTCGATCTCCTGGGAGCGAAGCAGCAGAGAAGTGTGCTGCAGCAGCTGAGGTCGCAACAGCCCGGACTCAAGCACATTCTGTTCACCAACTGCAAGGATCAGCGGAACCATGGCGTTCTCGACATCCTTCCCCTGGCCACGCGTCTTGTGGGCGAGAGCAGTCGCTTCAATCGCACCCAGGCCGCTGAACACAACATCATGATCATCGGGGTGCCCAATGTGGGCAAGAGCTCCATCATCAACGTGCTACGGAATGTGCACCTGAAAAAGAAGAGTGCCGCCCGAGTGGGAGCAGAGGCGGGAATAACCCGTGCCGTCGGGGAACGCATCAAGATCCAGGAGAATCCCCCAGTCTACATGATCGACACACCCGGTATCCTGCAGCCATCTATCAAAGACGACGAGATGGGCATGAAACTGGCTCTGGTCGGCTGCCTGCCGGATCACATCGTGGGCGAGGATCTCATAGCGGACTACCTGCTCTACTGGCTGAACCGCCACCGGCGCTACGACTATGTGGAAATGCTGTCCCTCAGCTCCGGACCCAGCGACAACATCAGCGCCGTGCTGGCGGAGTACGCCCACCGCGAGGAGCTGTTTCACAAGGTCAAACAGTACGACGGACGAGTAGAGGTGATGACCAATTTATTGGCGGCGGCGCGAAAGTTTATACACTTCTTTCGCACCGGCCAGCTGGGCAACATTAATCTGGACGAGCCCATTGGTTTTCGATAGCTTTACGTAAAAGTAACTTAGGGGCTAAGAGTAAATATTGAACGGTTGAGTCCGATTGCGTCCTTATTGGGTTTCCGTCAGGGGCACATCAATACCGATGTGACCGACACCGGGCACCGGAATAGAGTACGAAACCCCCACGGGTCCCAGGTCAGTGTCGTCGGCGAGATCCATGGGCGTGTGATGCTGTGGCACCTGGTCGACGGGCATGGCCAGGCTGTACTGCTCAGCCGTCTGATCGTGATCTTGGCCCACCTCTTGGTGAACTTCCACGGGAACGCTGCTAACGGGCGGATAACTCGTCCGCGAGGCCACCAGTCGTAGCTCCTCCGGCACCCCCTTCATCCGCTTCGCTATGTGGCGCGTGTACGGTGCCATCTTCTGGTAGTATGCAATCAGCATCTGCGGATCCTTTTCCGATAGCTGGCTGCCGGGCACCAGGTCGAACTCATCGCAGTACTGCCAGCGCACAAGGTACTTGATGCCGCCGGTGACATCCGTGGCGCCCACTATCTCCGCCAGCTCCAGACCGCGCTCGTATCCGCGCGGCTTCTGGATCTCCTCGCACTTTGGCTTCTTCTCGCCGCGTTTCTTCGACTTGGCCCGCGACTCCTCGAATCGCTGGATCATCGTCGGGCAGTCGCAGTTCTCCTCCGGCTCCCAGGTGTTATCCGTCGACGGGAAGCCGCGCCACTTGATGAAGTACTCCACCTTGCCATCACTGGTGATGCGCTTGTCCATGATGCGCTCCACGACAAAATTTGTCTCGTTTTTAACCATTTTTCTAGTTTTCTACAAATTTGTCGAATTGTTTACAATTTTTTATGTGTACGGCTTGGTTTTTTATGCGGGAAATATGTACACACTGGCAAAATTTAAAGAAAAAATCGACTAGTCGATACTATCGATACATCGATGTCTTTTCCAGGATCTTCTTTTTTAACGAGTTGGCAGTCCCTCTTTCGAAAGCACGCGCTGTACTCGAATTAAGGTGTCAGATTCCCCAAAAATACTCTAAATATAAGGCAAAACGATGGCGTTTAGCCCAGGGGAATTGTCCGATTGGAATCCCATGTCCGAGGACTTTATTACTGATTACATCAATGGTGAGGGCCAAAATACGATGGAGGAGGCTCCAGTCCCCGTCGGAAACCAGTCAGTCAAGGATGCCCTTGCGGCGGAAGCAAAGGCCCGCAACGCAAAGCAGCAGAAATACCCATATCTGGTTGTGAAGAAAACCTCAAAACTTGTGACGGAAAATATGCTTATAAATTTCTTTGGGAGAGATCTCATCCAGGACCAGGAATATCGCCCAATGTCGCGAGTTTACTTTGTCTACTTTAAGAACCTTGGGTAGGTTGCAATATGAAATGGTGTAGTTAAGACTCATTTACTCATAACCCTATTGCAGTTCACTGGAAGCTGCGCAATCGAAGGTGGAGTGCTACCCATCCTTGCTCGAATGCCATCGCGGTCGCCAAAAGCCGCCGCAGCAGGAATTCCCACCTGTGCTGAATGACAACATATCAACAGCAGCTGCAGATCCAGTGCCAATCCCCTCAATCCGTGAGCGAACCGACGTGAATCTCTCCTCGCGAGATATATACACCTCCGCTGGCTGTCAAAAACATCCGGTCTTTATCCAGCCTCCGCTGCTGACCAAGGCGGATTACGCCGCCAAGGGCTCACTGTTGGCCATCAACGATCCCGATCGACGCTATCTGAATGTCAAGGATGAGTTCGCCTTGGAGCGGCATGGCGCCTATGTGGTCAGAGAGGAGCGGGTAGATAGTGTTCTTATCAGTCTTTCAGGAAGATCCCGATCTATGTAGGTATTCCAACTTCCGCTTTTCTGTATAATCTCTTATCTCTACAATTCCTTAGACCCCTTGTCGAAAAGCTAAACACGAAGGAGAATGACAAAGACCTCAACCAAATGATCGAAAAAATGGGGCTGCGCAAGTGCGTGACCTGTGAAAATTGGACGGACGTGTCCTGCAAGGTCTGCAGTACGCCCTTCTGCCACGAGGAATGCTTCGATTATGTACGCAAGGAGCACAAGGAGAGCTGCGGTACCGGCAAAGAACTCCAGCTTGGCGAAACAGTTGGAAATAGACGCAAGTTCCCAGAGCCTAAAATGCCACCCTCAGGATCCAAGGTTAAAATCACCGCTTTCCAACAGACAAATGTCTGCTATGTGCGCTCCACTGCGCGCCAGGACGATGTTGCCTATTTTGGCGTCCTTACTGAGGTACTGATAAAGGGAAAAGCGGCGGTCAGGCTTGAGAATCTGCCAAAATCCGGACAGATGGTTCTCTTTAAGTTTGAGACTGAAATCATCCGAGCCATGGTGCTCTACGTTGACAACAATCTAAAGCGCATATATGTGGTGTGCATTGACTTTGGGAACGTTGAGGTTGTAAAGTTGGAAGACCTCTATCAATGTAGTCCCTATCTCGCGGACTTGCCGTGCTATCCCATTGCTGTGCAGTTGCGCGGAGTTCCCAAGGGCTTCATGAGTCCCAATGCCAGCGCAACGCTGTACCAGCTGAGTGGAATGATTGAGTATAAACTAAAGTACTCGAAGCAGGAGTACGACTCCGCCAAGAATATGCAGATCGCGGTGCTGATCGAGGTCTATAAGAACGGCAACCTGAACCGTCTGCTCAAGACTGTCATATCGCCGACGGTGCCTCCGTTGTCGGACCCGGGTTACAAAGTGGATGTAAGTAAATGCTAACTCAACGCTCTAACTCTCCCTCGATTATCCTGGCTTAGTATCTTCCCCATATATCCTTGCCCATCGGCAAGAACATTGAGTTGGTTGTGATGGACAACACTCTTCTGAATGTCGGCCTCATCTACTGCACGCTCAAGGAACTGGCTTATGAGGTTACCAAAATGCAGCGAGAAATGCAGGCTTATGGCGAATCGGCAAACACATGTTCAGTCTTCGCCCCACTGTAAGATAATCCTAAGTTTAGGCGAGTTTCCGTTTATTAATGAAATTCTCTTGTAGGAAAGATGAATTGTGCGTGGCCAAATACCAGGGAAAGTGGTGCCGGGGTCTTTCGATGGAGCTGGTGGGCGATGGCTACCCTAGCATTTTGTTCCTAGATTACGGCAACATTGTGCCCATCCATGTGAGCGACATACGTCCGTATCCACCGCAGTTTATATTCCCAGTGTTGACCACTGAGCTGGATATAATTGGTAAGTTTTTGATTTAATAAATTTGAATTAAAAACAAGAAAGAAAGCTAACTTTGGCCAGCCAAAGTTTGTATACCCTTGCAGGTAACAATTAAAATATATTATAACTAAGCCAAAAATGCAATAATTTCGATTCGGAAAGCAGTTTTGTGTCAGTTTTCATTATCCTAAAAAAACTGCTTACCTAATTTCAATTTTCAGAAAATCAAAATTTTTTTCAATTTTTGAGAATTTTAATGATGTAACCCCTTATCGAATTTCGCAAAAATGGCCAAAAAAACGATTTCTTCCGGACATGTCTAGAAAGATTCCCCTGTTGATGCTGATCAAGAATATATATGGTTTATGGGGTCGGAAATGATTCCTTGACTTAGAAAAATATTATTTTATATTATAAAATCGGATTTTTTATATTAAAAAACTTCTTGATTTTGTTTAAAATTAAAAATATCATTACTCGGCCAAAAGAGCATTAATTTTAAATCGGAAAACTGTTCTGTGCACGATTTTCCACAGTTAATAAATCTGCATACTTCATTTAAAAATTTTGAAAATTCAATTTTTTATCAAAATCAAAAATCGATTTCTTCCGGACATGTCTAGAAAGATTCCCCTGTTGATGCTGATTAAGAATATATATGGTTTATGGGGTCGGAAACGTCTGCTTCACTGCGTTGCAAACTTCTGACTGAAATTATAATACCCTGCAAGGGTATAAAAATATATATTCACCCATTGTCCCCCCTCCATACAGGTTTTCCAGAAAACCCAACCGTTGAGCAGGTGAGGTACCTCGAGCAGTATCTGATTGTGGGTTCCACAGTCACCTGTAGCGAAATAGTTCGCTGCCAAGAATCCAACAACTTGTCGGTTCGCTTCGATGAGCTGAAACATATTTTTAACTTGAAATAACTTGCCAAGGACACAACATTCCGCATAGACAAGATGTACTGTTGAAGTTTTGAAATAATTCTATGATTTCTATGTTTAAGTTTTGAAGTTATTTTTAATTTTTGAAGTGAAATATATAATTTAAATAATTACATTATTAAATTAATACATTTTTATTGCCTAAATGTCTTATTTTGGGTTAAATAAACACGTTGTAGGCTTTCCAGGCTATCAGAAATACACGCATCCTGAAAATAAATTGGAACAACTAAAGAAACACTAAATAGGAAAACTTGAAACTAAGCTTACTTGGAGAAACTCTTTGGTATATGGCGGTTCCATCAGGGTCCAGTCGGTCGGAATCTGAAATATTTATATAGGCAAACCTTATAGTAAAATTAAGTAAATCAATTCCTAATTAAATACCTTAAGGTCCTGTCTGTAGCTTTGGAGGGCCTGTGTCGCATCACCAGTACGGAGACCTAAGCTCCTATAGAACTCTTGCTCCTCTGGGCAACCTCCAGCTGTAACCAACGTATATATTTTCGTGCCAGCTGCCAGAAAATGATTAGTTGCCTGCCTTGCATTGTGGTTATAAATAATTAGATATTTGCAGCGTAGAGATCGAATCGCTGGCAGTTGGCTTGTGAGTGCCAAGGCGACCTTGGGTGATCCAGCTTTCCCTTCTTGGTTAAACGAAGATACCTGATCCTCATCATCCAGCTGGACATGTTCTATGTCCCAGTTTTGGCAGTAACCCTTTACCAGGCGCAAGCAATCCTGACTATTGGCCACAATGCAGCATTGCTCGCCCCGCTCCACAACCAGATCGTCCAGCATTAGATGCACAAACTCGAACTTGGCCGAGTCGTACAGACCCATTTCTGTCCAAGGGGGCAAACGAGGCTTGAGCAGTTGCATCAGCTCCCAGCTATCAGGCTGGTTATCCCTGGTTTTCAGCAGCACAGGATGGTCGCAGACCTCGTGGACCATGTCCAGGACTATTGATTGTTCCTGACCATGACTATGCTCAGCAAGAAAGTTTAGTGTTTTCTCCTGCAGCTCGGCTGGAGCTAAAAGGCACAAATATTCAATTTGAGTAAATGAGGCAGGATCTGTTGGATTAACTGCCTGTGAGGAACTCTCTGGGTGAATCCTCCGATATGGAGGTGGCAAAGAGTTATTGGTGTCCTGGCTCCAGCTTGCCATTTCCCGTTTGCGTTGGGCTGGACCCTCTTCGATGGTCTTGAAGTCCCCTTGGAGCTCTGTGGGACTTTCCGGCCGCATCCTCTTCTTGAGCACATGTGATCTAAAAGCTAAATTGAACACCGAAGGTGGCACAGAGTCGTCTACGTGGCCATTCTGAGTATCTATCTTCTGGCACCAGTTGGCAATCTCCAGCCTGCGGTGCGCCGCGCACTCTTCAAAGGTCTTGAACTCCTCCTGGACCTCCACATCCCTGCTGCCGATCTGCAGCTGATCGTTCTCCTTGATCTGGCGCGGCTTAAAGCACGTTGCCGAGTCCACAACCATGCCCGAGTCATCCTTGAGAGTCATCTTCGAGCCTGTGACCACTAGTGTTCCGTTGCCAGTCCATGTCTTGTGCTTTTTGGTGGTTTGATTTCGCCAGAGCACATGGTAGATGCGGCTGTCTTTGAGTGGGTTTTCACCAGGCTTCAGTTCTCGGAGGCCTTCATAGCTCTTGGAGGAACCCCATTCAATCTGAGGAGAGTTGCTGGGCCACGAGCAAGGCGGTTCCTCCTGTAGTTCCTGTGAGGAAGGTCGATTTTCAGCCTCTTGTTTGGCGGCCAGGCGCATTGAAGGAGCCTTCGAACGTCGCATTGGAATGACTTTGATAATAAGTTATATATACAAAGATATAATCTGAAAAAATGAACTATAATAAGCCGTATTTAAATGAAATTCCCCTGGAAAACACGAAAAACTCGGCGCAAATAATTTCGAAACAGAAACGCAGTGTGGCCAAAGGTCACTAACTGAATAACGTTCTATAGCAGCAGGGATTTCATGCGACCGCGAAATGGTCACACCAGCATGCTGGAAGCTAACCGGCGCTCCAAATCTAGAGATTTTCGCCGAAATCCTCCCGAGACTCGCGATTCCCCTGTCCCTGGGCCAGAACCGGCACCATGGCGTTCCACTGGTGCGACAACAACCTACACACCACCGTGTTCACGCCGCGCGACTTCCAGGTCGAGCTTCTGGCCGCCGCCTATGAGCGCAACACCATCATTTGCCTGGGCCACCGCAGCTCCAAGGAGTTTATCGCCCTCAAGCTGCTGCAGGAGATCTCGCGCCGCGGTCGCCGTCATGGCAAGGTCAGTGTCTACCTGAGCTGCCAGGTGGGGGACAGTAAGGAGCCCGCCAGCATCTACACTATGCTCACCCACCTGACGGATCTGCGGGTGTGGCAGGAGCAGCCGGACATGCAGGTTCCCGCCGATCACTGCTGGACGGACTACCATGTGTCCATCCTACGGCCCGAGTGCTTTCTGAGCCTGCTCCATGGCGGCGATTTGCCGTTGAGTAGCGTGGATTTAATTGTGCTGGAGGATTGCCACGACAGTGCCGTATATCAGCGGATACTGCCGCTCTTCGAGGAGCACATCCTGCCGGCCGATCCCGAGGACAGACCCCGCATTCTGGGCCTGGCTGGACCGCTTCACAGTGCGGGTTGCGAACTGCAGCAACTCAGCGACATGCTGGCCACTCTGGAGCGAAACGTGCTTTGCCAGATCGAGACGGCCAGCGACATTGTCACGGTGCTGCGTTATTGTTCCCGTCCCCACGAGTACATCGTCCAGTGCGCCCCCTTCGAGATGGACGAGCTCTCGTTTGTGCTGGCCGATGTCCTTAACACGCACAAGTCCTTCCTGATGGACCACCGCTACGACCCCTACGAGATCTACGGGATGGACCAATTTATGGATGAGTTGAAGGGTGAGTAATCGATTTTGCATCGGAATTTAAAATGTTGACGAATCTCTTACCAGACATACCGGACCCCAAGCTGGACCCACTGAACGTGATAGACTCGCTGCTGTCCATGCTGCACGAGATGGGACCTTGGTGCACCCAGCGTGCCGCTCATCACTTTTACCAGAGCAATGAAAAGCTGAAGGTGAAGACTCCGCATGAGCGTCACTACCTGCTCTACTGCCTGGTCAGCACGGCCCTCATCCAGCTGCACGCCCTCTGCGACTACACCTTTCAGCGGCAGCAGGTGCCGGGCGGCGGCGGCGGCGGCGACTCGCGTCCCACCATTGAGCGCTATTCCAGTCCCAAGGTTCGCCGCTTGCTGCAGACGCTGCGCTGCTTCAAGCCAGAGGAGGTCTTCACCCAGACGGACGGTTTGCGGAGGATGCGCCACCAGGTGGACCAGGCTGACTTCAACCGACTGTCGCACGTCCTGGAGAGCAAGTGCCGCGTGGTGGACCAGCTAGAGCATCCGGCGACGGAAACCAGAGCCCTGGTGGCCAATCTGGAACAGATCCTCAGCTCCACGCAGGACAAGCAGCTGCCCAAGGCCTCACAGGCTCGCGCGACGGCCCCGGGCCAGGCGAGAGCAAAGTCCGGTACAGGATCCTCTGGAACCAGCACCCAGCCGCGCCCAAGGCGACGTGTGTACACCAGGCGCCATCACCGTGATCAAAATGACGGAAACGACACGCTCTGTGCTTTGATCTATTGCAACCAGAACCATACGGCGCGCGTGCTTTTCGAGCTGCTGGCGGAGATGGGCAGGCGCGACCCAGATCTCAAGTTCCTACGATGCCAGTACACTACCGATCGGGTGGCTGACCCCGCCACGGAGCCCAAGGAGGCCGAGCTAGAGCACCGGCGGCAGGAGGAGGTCCTCAAGCGATTTCGCATGCATGACTGCAACGTTCTGATCGGCACCTCGGTGCTGGAGGAGGGCATTGATGTGCCCAAGTGCAATCTGGTGGTTCGTTGGGATCCGCCGACCACCTACCGCAGCTATGTTCAGTGTAAGGGACGGGCTCGTGCCGCTCCCGCCTATCATGTCATTCTGGTGGCGCCCAGATACGAGAGTCCTGTCGTTGGCCCCGTCCAGCTGAGTGATCGGAGTCATCGCTTTGTGTGCGGCGCCGCGGGAACAGGCGATGCGATGGAGGGCGACAGCGACTCGGATGACTCGGCGAGGCCAAATTCCTTGGGCTCTGATCCCTTTACTTTTGGTACAGCCCGCGGTACCGTTAAGATCCTCAATCCCGAGGTGTTTAGCAAGCAACCTCCCACGGCCTGCGACATTAAACTGCAGGAGATCCAGGACGAATCTCCTCCGACTACTGCCTTGCTAGACACCAGCAACTCGAGCGACGAGGCGGTCTGCCTGAGCAACACAACGCCGAGTGACAGCAGCGTGGAACACAAGCCCAGGCAGCGCTTCCAGTGCGCATTGCCCAACCCAGAGGAGCAGGAGGAGCAGCCCCAGATCCCACCCGTTGATCTCCTGGCCAGAACCACAAATGATTTGGTCCACCAAATGGCGCAGTATCGTGAGATTGAGCAGATGCTGCTCTCGAAATGTGCCAATACAGAGCCACCGGAGCAGGAGCAGAGCGAGGCAGACCGCTTTAGTGCCTGCCTGGCCGCATACCGACCGCAGCCGCATCTCCTGACCGGAGCCAACGTTGATCTCGGCACCGCCATAGCCTTGGTCAACAAGTACTGCGCCCGCCTGCCCAGCGATACCTTCACTAAGCTGACGCCTCTCTGGCGCTGCGCCCGCAGTGTTCGAGCTGGAGTGGAGTTGTTCCAGTACACCCTCCGGCTGCCCATCAATTCGCCACTGAAGCACGACATTGTGGGTCTGCCGATGCCCACACAGACCCTGGCTCGGCGGCTGGCCGCCCTGCAGGCCTGTGCCGAACTGCACCGAATCGGTGAGCTGGACGATCAACTACAGCCCATTGGCAAGGAGGGATTCCGTGCTTTGGAGGCCGACTGGGAATGCTTCGATCTAGAGCCGGAGGACGAGCAGATCGTCCAGCTGAGCGATGAGCCGCGTCCGGGTACAACGAAGCGGCGTCAGTACTATTACAAGCGGATTGCCTCAGAGTTCTGCGACTGTCGGCCGGAGGCCGGTGCTCCCTGCTACTTGTACTTCATCCAGCTGACCCTGCAATGCCCCATACCCGAGGAGCAGAATACCCGCGGCCGCAAGATCTATCCGCCGGAGGATGCTCAGCAGGGCTTTGGCATCCTGACCACCAAGCGCATTCCCAAGCTGAGCGCTTTTTCGATATTCACCCGTTCCGGCGAAGTGAAGGTTTCCCTTGAGCTGGCCAAGGAGCGGGTGGTGCTGACTGAAGAGCAGATTGCCTGCATCAACGGCTTCCTTAACTATACCTTCACCAATGTGCTGAGGCTGCAGAAGTTCCTCATGCTATTCGATCCCGACTCCACGGAGAATTGTGTGTTCATTGTGCCCACGGTGAAAGGTCCTGGAAGTGGGAAGCATATTGACTGGCAGTTCCTCGAGCTCATCCGGGCCAATGGCAATACCATGCCGAGGGCAGTGCCCGATGAAGAGCGCCAGGCCCAGACGTTCGAGGCCAAGCGCTTCCAGGATGCCGTGGTCATGCCTTGGTATCGCAACCAGGATCAGCCGCAGTACTTTTACGTGGCGGAGATCTGTCCGCATCTCTCGCCGCTCAGCTGCTTCCCCGGGGATAACTATCGCACGTTCAAGCACTACTACCTGGTCAAGTACGGTCTGACCATACAGAATGCCTCGCAGCCGTTACTGGACGTGGATCATACCAGTGCTCGCCTGAACTTCCTGACGCCACGTTACGTTAACCGCAAGGGCGTGGCGTTGCCCACCAGCTCGGAGGAGACAAAAAGGGCGAAGCGCGAGAATCTGGAGCAGAAGCAAATTCTGGTGCCCGAACTGTGCACAGTCCATCCCTTTCCGGCCTCCCTGTGGCGCACTGCAGTGTGCCTGCCCTGCATACTTTATCGCATCAATGGCCTGCTCCTGGCCGACGATATACGGAAGCAGGTCTCTGCGGATCTGGGACTGGGCAGGCAGCAAATCGAAGACGAGGAGTTCGAGTGGCCTATGCTGGACTTTGGCTGGAGCCTGTCAGAGGTGCTGAAGAAGTCGCGTGAGTCCAAGCAAAGGGAATCGGGGAAAGAGGAATTGGTTAATGGCCAGGAAGCGGTTGTCGAGGAAGTCAAGCCAGTCAAGGAGGAGGTTACAGTGGATGCCGATCCGAAGGCGGAAAAGAGTGCCAATGAAATCATCATCGAGGGCGAGCAAAAGCTGCAGGAGGCCGATGACTTTATTGAGATTGGCACCTGGTCAAATGATATGGCTGACGACATAGCCACTTATAGCGAAGATGACGAGGACGAGGCTTTTCATCTTCCCGTTCTGCCTGCCAATGTAAAGTTCTGCACTGGCGATCAGCAAACCCGGTATGGCTCGCCCACCTTCTGGGATGTTAGCAATGCCAATGGGGACTTCAAGAAGTCGGCCAAGCCTAGTCAGCCCCAAAGGGGTGGCAAGAGCAAGGGCAAGGACACGGCCTACAACTACTACGACTCGGATAATTCGCTGGGATCCAGCTACGACGATGAGGACAACGTCGGACCCCACAACAACTACATGCATCACAACTACAGCTCGGATGATGAAGATGCGGCGGAGGATGCAGGGCGTATTGCCTTTACTTCCAAAAACGAGGCGGAAACCATTGAGACTGCTCAGGATGTGGAGAAGCGGCAAAAGCAACTGTCCATCATACAGGCCACCAATGCCAATGAGCGGCAGTATCAGCAGACCAAGAACCTCCTGATAGGCTTCAACTTTGAGCAGCAGCCAAGGGAAGGTTGCCCCAGCGGCAAGTACGAGCAGGCGATAGCCAAGCTGCAGGAAGAGATCGAAAGCTGTGGCATGCTGGTGCCGCACAACCAGGAGTTGCGCTTGAAACGTACCGACTCTTTGGAGACTAAAGTGGGCAAGGATACGACCATGAACCTGCTAAAGCAACTTCTACCCTACGTTGGGGAGCAGCAACTCGAGGAAAGGTTGGGCGATAGAAAGGAACTGCAACTTAAGGATTTAGTCGAACTTAATGCGAATTGGGTCATCCAGAATCCAAAGGAGAGCTACAGTGTCTTGGGATGTGGAGATAGTTTCGACAATTATAATGACCACCATTGTCTAAACTTGGCTGACAAACAGCTGCAGCTGCAGTTTGAACGAAAGGTCAAGAACCCACCCACGCCGGAGAAGACATTCCCATCAGCAGTTCCCTTAACAGGCTTTAGCTTTGATCGCCAGCCGGATCTGGTGGGCCATCCCGGACCCAGTCCCAGCATTATCCTACAGGCTCTCACCATGTCCAATGCCAACGACGGCATCAACTTGGAGCGCCTTGAAACCATTGGCGACTCCTTCCTCAAGTACGCCATCACCACCTACCTGTACATAACCTACGAAAACGTGCATGAGGGCAAGCTGAGTCACCTGCGCTCCAAGCAGGTGGCCAATCTCAATCTGTATCGCCTGGGCAGGCGCAAGCGGCTGGGCGAGTATATGATAGCCACAAAGTTCGAGCCGCACGACAACTGGCTACCGCCTTGCTACTACGTTCCCAAGGAGCTGGAGAAGGCCCTCATCGAGGCCAAGATACCGACGCATCACTGGAAACTGGCTGACCTGCTGGACATCAAAAACCTGAGCAGTGTGCAGATCTGCGAGATGGTCCGTGAGAAGGCTGAAGCCTTGGGTCTTGAGCAGAATGGGCCGCAGAACGGCCAGCAGCTCGACGACTCCAATGACAGCTGCAATGATTTTAGCTGCTTCATTCCGTACAACCTGGTGTCGCAGCACAGCATTCCAGACAAGTCAATTGCTGACTGTGTCGAAGCGTTAATTGGAGCCTATCTCATCGAATGTGGACCCCGCGGAGCTCTTCTCTTCATGGCTTGGCTGGGTGTAAGGGTGCTGCCCTTCACCAAGCAACTGGAGGCGGGGAATGAGGGAGAGCGTCTGCCGGGAAGCAGCAAACCAAATGCCGAAAAAATGGTAACCGTATATGGCGCCTGGCCCACGCCTCGCAGTCCTCTGCTACACTTTGCACCCAACGCAACGGAGGAGCTCGACCAGTTATTGAGTGGCTTTGATGAGTTCGAGGAGAGTCTGGGGTACCGTTTCCGGGATCGCTCTTACCTGCTGCAAGCCATGACGCATGCCAGTTATACGCCCAATCGGCTGACGGACTGCTATCAACGGTTGGAGTTCCTCGGCGATGCAGTGCTGGATTATCTCATTACCCGGCACCTGTACGAGGATCCACGACAGCACTCGCCCGGCGCTCTCACTGATCTGCGTTCTGCACTGGTGAACAACACAATCTTTGCCTCACTTGCCGTTCGGCATGGCTTCCACAAGTTCTTCCGGCATCTCTCGCCCGGCCTCAACGACGTCATAGATCGCTTTGTGCGCATCCAGCAGGAGAATGGACACAGCATCAGTGAAGAGGTAAGGAAAAAGGGTTGGGTATTTGCAACTGCTTTGCTAATTGTTTGTCTCTTTTTTTTTTAGTACTATTTGCTATCTGAGGAGGAGTGTGACGATGCCGAGGACGTGGAGGTGCCCAAGGCCTTGGGAGATGTGTTCGAGTCCATTGCCGGTGCCATTTTCCTGGACTCGAACATGTCTCTGGACGTCGTGTGGCACGTTTATAGCAATATGATGAGCCCGGAAATTGAACAGTTTAGCAATTCAGTGCCAAAGTCGCCCATTCGGGAGCTGCTCGAGCTGGAGCCGGAGACGGCCAAGTTTGGCAAGCCGGAGAAACTGGCCGATGGACGTCGCGTGCGCGTCACCGTCGATGTCTTCTGCAAGGGAACCTTCCGTGGCATCGGGCGTAACTATCGCATTGCCAAATGCACGGCAGCCAAATGCGCACTTCGCCAGCTCAAGAAACAGGGCCTGATAGCCAAAAAAGACTAGGAAGGTGTCTATATCTTCGATGTGTTTCATTAGGCCTAAGTTCGTATTCCACGCAGACTATTGTAAGCTTAAAGTAAGAAAGCGTTTGTATAAAACCGTATCAGATTAAGTTCAAAACATTAAAGTTATTTCGAAACTACTATTATTTATTTATTTTTATGGTATTTAATTATACTCTTGCATGGTATTTAATTCATTAAGCTAACTTAAGCCCTTTTGCCACAACAATTTGTTGAAAAGTGACCCGATTTTCAACGAATTAACCATAACCCCCCTTAAATAACTTCTCAGTCTTGGTAGGGGGAACCACAAATTTTAAATGACTTAATTATAAATTAATTTAAAGCTCTTAGATTTACCACTGCATGAGTTCCTTCATATCACTGACTAAAGGCATTCGTCTGATCACACCTTATCTTTGCGGTTATCGGTTTTAGCACTAAAAAAAAGCTGTTTGCTTAAAAAATCCAAGTGCTCTGATAATGCAATTTCAGTTATATTTGGCGAATTGAAACGAAATGGCCGCTCCGCTGATTCCTTTTGAAGAAATCTCACTGAGAGATGAAAATGTTAGTTCTGGTTGAAAACTTATTTATCTTTTCATTGAAATACAAGTTTACATTTCAGATTATTGGCGCAGGATTCTATGGCAGAGTATACAAAACCGAATGGCTGGGAAGAACAATTGCTGTAAAGGTGATAGGCGTTGGCATGGAAAGCCAACAGATTGAGAGAGAGGTTAACCAGCTATCCAACCTGGAACATGAGAACATCATTAGACTTTATGGTATCTCCATGCACGGCAACATGTTTCACCTGCTGGAGGAGTACGCAGAAGGGGGAGCTTTGTCCACTCTTATCCATTCTGACCTACCGAATTACACCCTGGCCCACGCCTTTAACTGGGCCCACCAAATCGCCAAGGTAAGACAGCTGATAAGAAGTTAGATAAGAGAAATAATGAATGAAATTGTATGTTTCCCAGGGACTAGCTTATCTCCATGCCAGAACTCCAAGAGCGGTCATTCACCGCGATATAAAGCCAAACAATGTTGTGCTGAGCCAACAGGGCCTCAGTCTGAAGATCTGTGACTTTGGGACAGTTGTGAACCTGGCCACCTCGATGACCGCTGACGTGGGCACCTGCCTTTATAAAGCTCCAGAGGTGAGATGTCTCTATTCAGATATAGTGATGAATAAGCTGGCAACTATCATGCAGGTCTTTCAAGGACGTAAATATAACGAAAAGTGCGATGTGCATAGTTGGGCCATTACTTTTTGGGAAATATTATCCCGAGAGAACCCATTTAAACACTGTAGGATCCTTAACTCAGTTGTTTTAGCTGTAATCGGAGGTAAGAAATTATAACATTAATATAGCCCGTACGTCATCCTCAAATTGCAGGTACTCGTCCACCGGTTAGTAGTATAAGGAACGACTGTCCCGAGGATATAATAAATTTAATAACCGCTTGTTGGGACTCGGAGCCGAGCAGGAGATATTCCATGAGACTCGTTGCCAATATCATGAACGGAGCTCTCACAGATGCAGGCCCTTTTGAGCCTTTGAATTATAATCCGTGAAAATGGAGTATGTATCAAGAAAGATGCTCTTCTTAATTTCTCTTTTAAAACTTGAATATTGTTAGCCATAGTCTGGGATATACTGTTTTCGAGCGTCTGCAGCTGTTGATCTATATAATATCGTTGATTCTTCTTTGATACTTGTGTTGAAATCGTTTACGAAATGGTACAGCTGTCAATAATAAACAGATTTATGTGTGAACGTTAACACTAATTTTATTTTCATGAAAACTCTTTCTGAAATATTTACATTGCAACGGATTCTGTACGGGATGTGGAAGGGATAGGATGGGAAGGGAGTTACAGTGACTCTTCCGGATTCTGGAGCCTAATGGTCAATTCAATGCCATATTTGGTAGTATAATTTGCGGAAATACATTGTAGAATATTTTCGTTAGCTGCGGGTATAGGTATGCATATTGGGAATTTATAAAATACGATTTATGCATATGTTTACAGTATATGGATCACTAGCAATACGTTTCGATAACTTGACTTATACTCTTTTTGCTTTTGCTCTATCGAATGTAAATTTCGAAAATGAAATGTTAAAATGTTTTAATAAATATATTCATACGTGTGTTTGTATATAGTTTTGTTTGTTTCCTCTTAAACAAAATGATCCTCGGTTGTTACACAATGGAAAACTGTAACGTTTCGTAGAGTTTCGTTATTGGAGTATAATTGTTTCGTTAGTTTTAATTATATGCATATGTTGCTTGTTCATTTGATCTTTAATAAACGTTACATACTTTAAACTTAGATACAACTATTTATAAACATGCGTGTATGTAAGCATAGTATAATTAATTCAATTGGTTTCGTATAATTGTTCTCTCTTTATACTCGCTATAATTGTTTTTGTTTCGTCATTTTCTTTTTTTCACCGCACGTTCCTGCCTACGATTTGTTCAATGTGTTCATCATATATATTTTAATATATGCATATATAGAGATGTTCAAGCACATACATATATTCCCTTTGTATTGTTTGTAATTTAGGTCGCTTTTAATTTTGGTTGCATTTGCTTTACATCATTTCTTCGGCTTGTAATTGAAGTGTTCTCGTAAATAACAGAGGCGAACGAAACACAAAGTGCAAAGTAGGCGACAAGATGATCTGATTGTGAGATGTAATGGACGAAACATGAATTAGTATTTGCTAAACTCTAAAAGTGACTTGAAATTCAAAAACGGATGGCGTAATTATAGTCGTTGCGTTATCGCCAATACTCATACCTTATGCTGGCTTTGCAAGTTCCAAAAACTTGTTAAATAAATATATAAAATAAATTAAATAAAATTAATCAAAAATAAAAGAATGTCTTTAGTGTTAACAAAAGGTGTCAAAAAAACGATTTATTGTTGTCATTTTTGCATGTGATATGTTTTCGAGTGTGGTAAGAAACCAAATATCAATAAATTATTAGATCATAAGTGTTCACAAAATATAAGGGTAGCATAAAAAACGAATGCGAATGCATACACCTACTAATTGACTTAAAAAATAAGTGATCATTCGAGTACTAGTAAATTAAACTATTTTACAAAAGTTAGAGGGGTTAAAAAGCAGCACATATTCGAATCATGTCGCATATACACTGGGACAAACACATATTAAATGTACAATATTTGAAACACAGAGCACAAACTAAATAGTTGGAAAGCGTAATCGGCATGAAACGATGATAATGATGACTCCATGGCTTAACTAACCATAGATAAGGATCTTCTAATTTGGATCCGGCCTAGTGGGATTCTTCGTTATGTTGGATATTACATGATGAGTACAATGTCTATGAATATACAGCTCAGAGTGAGAGCCCATTACATTACTGTACGATATATTTTCAAATTCGCCCAAAGTGAAAGCCCCTACAGTTGGCTACAATGGAACTCATGGGCGTGGTTAATGCGATTAGCTTTCACAATTTCCAATTTCCAGACGTTCATAAGTGTGCTGCCTGCTTACATGATAGATGTGGGTCGGTTTTGTGGGTTGTCTACGATTACCTTTCGAAACGATACATAATAAACTCATTTGGGGGGAAACCTCATCTAAACAAATGCCGAGTGCTACGAGTTAGTGGGCGGAGTTGGGCTGGCTGATGGGGAAGGATTTTTTTGGTCTGAAATGCTCATGATATACACAATCATAATTATAACATAATCTCATTTTTCAGCTGCAAATTGCAAATTGCAAATTCTGTTCCAGAGTTCTGATTTAAATCGAAATCTATGTGTCTGTCTGTGTGTGTTGGTTGGCTGCTATATACTTATGTCTACAGAACGACGTCAGGCAGGTCGTGCGGCCTTGCCTAGGCGCGCATTTGGTTTTCATGTACGATTTTCCTCTCCTTATAGTAGATCTCCTCCGACTCCTTGTCGCAGAGCAGCAGGACCACGGCTCCGAACAGAAAGATGGCCGCTCCCCAGCCGACGCCGTACGCCCATCCGAACTCCCAGACTCGCCGATTGGCTAACAAAGGGAAAAACAGAAAGGTGAGTCAATGAGCCTATCTTATATATCACATCATAGAGTTAGTTCCTTACCCATAGTTAACTCGCCGGCAAAGCATACGGGATACACGATCAGAGCGGACAGCACGGCTAGCACTGAAATAAACCCGAATCATTAGTACACCTTTGACATTGCCATTGATATCAGTGATTACTTACAGGATACGAGCATCACCAATACCGCTATGCGATAAAACTTATATTTTAGATTGTGGTTCTGCGTCCTAAGCCCAAGACCGGTCAGTACAGTGGCTATGACGTCCGTTATCAGGGTGATAATGCAGAGTGCTGCCGTGGCCTTGATGTATCCTGCGGATAAATACGCTCAATATTAATTTCTTTCCAGTTAGCCCTTTCAACCTATCACGTACCTATATCGCGGGTCCAGTAGCATCCTGGCGGATCCTGTATGTTGAACGGCAGCGGCGTCACCGAATCATCCTCGATGCAGTGCACAAAGAGGCCTTGCCGCCAGTCGGAGGCCATTAGCCAATCTGTGGATGCCAAGGCCATGATCATGAGCACCACCACGATGACGCCGCAGATAAATGCAATCACCTGTGCAATAAAAGTAAGAATGGTAGTCGGAGAAGTCGGATAAGCATTATTTTCGAGTGTACCTTCAGTGGCCGCGTAATTGTGATGGTCTCAATCGTCGTTGTCGGCGCCATTTTCTCCGCTGGTGGACGTAGAACACTATACAAGATAATTATTATTAATGGCGGGGAAGCTAAAGACGCTTTTAATCTCAGCAGAAGCCGCGACCAACACTCACCTTATCGACTACGCAGGCAAAGTGCTGCCAGCAGCTACTAATTGGAATGCGTTTCAATGCGTTTCTTGGTTAGTTTTGCTTAATGGGATGCTGGAAGGGTTTTTGGTTTCGATTTCGTTTTCGTTTTGGGTTGCGGGGGAGGAGAGTAAATGTTACTCTGGTTGGCTTTAACAATCTAATATAAATGCTTCAATTGGCTTTTTATTGCTTTTGGTTTGCGCGTTGTGAGGATTTCCAATGCGTTTCAAATTTCAGTTTGCTGGCGGAAGCAGCGCGTTCAACATCTGGATTACAAAATGGTTTGGGGATCGTTTGTTAGGGAAAGATACAGAGAAAGAGAGAGAGATTGGTGACATTCGATTAAACCAACGGCTGGCGCACAACACGAGTGTGTTCACATCAAAGCAGTTAGAGGTAAGCAGCAGCAACATGCAAAAACAGCTCTCGAGCAACAACATCGACGGGGAAGGACAATGGGAACTACTAGGGCTTTTACGACATTATTCAAATCAAAGTGCGGTCAAACTGGCAATTAAAGTCGCATACAACTGTGAGCAGCAACAAATACTCATTCGAAGTCTATAACTGCTATGTATTTCCATGGGTTTTATGGCTTAGCTTATATAAAACGAATTTTAACAGATTTAATTACCGGTTTAATTCAATATTTATGGCTTAAAAATTACATATACTTTAAAGTGTGTTGCTTAAATAAATGACATCATTTTCATATAACAAATACAAGAATTATTAATTTAGAACCCCTAGCTTTCTATATAATCTTTCTGAAGCACTATTAAATTATAATTTTAGTCAGTTTGGAATTATAAACAAATAAAATCATTAAAAATACAAAATTCAACATTAGCCCTCATTAAGCAACAGTATTTCTATTGTTTTGACCACGCTTGTCTGTACCTACAGTGACGAACTTAATTTTTGGCACAGTTGGCATGTCTGACTTTGGCACCGTTTTTCTCCATTAAATATAGCCATATTTACATGAAACAAATTTTATTTAAATATATTGATCAATTTCCAACAAAATTAACTTAGTTTTATCCTTTTATATCATTCCATTAATTTATAAAAATTAAAAAACTAAAAAAACTCCTACATTTCCCTGAACAAAATTATTGGCACACCTAACCAAAAATATTAAAAAAGTTCAAAATGAAACGGTTTTTAGTATAAATTAATATTTTGTGTCTAAGCTCTTATGTTTTATGACCGTTTGGGGTCGAAAAAAACAAAATTTGGGTGGTTCCCATTCGTATTTTAAGCCACCCCCCGGTAAATGCCACCTTTAGCTCAACCTTTGTTGATATATTGCGCTTTTTAGCAGTCTGTCCAATTCTTCCCACAAATCTTCGATGGGGATTGGATCTGGAGATCGTGGTTGATGTAATAAAGGGTATTTCTTAAAATTTACCAGCCAAATACGCACATAATGAACCGTATTATCTTGCTGAAAAGTGAATGTGACTGGTAAGTTTAACTTATCGGCTCTTTTTTTAAGATATATCTTTAGGATATCTTAAAAATTTTTTTGTCCATTATGCCGTATATGAATTCCAGTTCTCCGGCACCAGCAGCGCACATGTAGCCCCACACAATAACGATATTACCACTATGTTTCAAAGACGTTACAAGTTTCTCGTTTTGGAGTTCCGTACTGGGCTTTCTTCTTACTGTTTTGCAGCCATCCGATTGGAAAATGTTTAATTTTTTTTCATCAGATGGGATAAAATTGTTTTAAAAGTCAACTGCTTGCTTAAATATTTTTTTTGAATAGGCTAAACGCTTATGTTGATTGACTTTTAAAATGAGTTGTTTTCGGCTAGCAACGAGAAACTGTAGTTAGCTACATACAGTGTCCTCCAAACCGAAATAGGATGAATATCTTAACCGAATTAATTTTTAAACTCTTCTACAACCTGCGTTGAAGAGATTTTCGGGTTCACCTTATCCTTCCTGATGATAGTGACCCAGTCCCGGTCGGTCAAAGCCTTAGGTCGTTAAGAGTGCTTAGCATTCTCGCTCTATAAGGCTCTCTTTAACCACTGTACAATGCTCTAAATGGTAAAACGGGATTTATTTATCATTTCCCCAATCCTCAGCATACGATTTGCCCTTATTATGTAAGTACAAAACTATTTTCCGTTGAAATTCGATAGTTTACTTTTGTTTGCCCAACATTTTGGTAAAATTCGCTACTTTGGCTTAGAAAATAGGCGCTTCGACGATTTTAGGTTAAAATTTTATCAATAATCATATTCTAAATAATGATAACGAGGCTTCCCAGATGAAAAAAGTTAACAGATCGATCAAATTTTTACAAAATAATACTCTATGTGCCAAGTGTGCCAATAATTTTGTTCAGGGAAATGTAGGAGTTTTTTTAGTTTTTTAATTTTTATAAATTAATGGAATGATATAAAAGGATAAAACTAAGTTAATTTTGTTGGAAATTGATCAATATATTTAAATAAAATTTATTTCATGTAAATATCGCTATATTTAATGGAGAAAATCGGTGCCAAAGTTAGACATGCCAACTGTGCCAAAAATTAAGTTCGTCACTGTACATATGTATGTCATGGATTAACTGTCGCAATTTTCCGCACAATGCGTTGTTGCCACAGTTGAATGGATTTTGGGATTGTGCTTAAATTAAACAACCGCCTCAAATGAGGCAGACAATAGGTGCGGCAGATCCAACTTGATGCAAACTTTATGACATGCAAATTATCCATTTGCATTCCATTGTTCGCACTGAGATCTCTGCTAATTCGTAAGATCTCTGAGATACAGATACAGATACGAATGCCGAAATAAACAGGCATTTGTATCTGTGCGAAATACAGACGCAGCGTCTAACGGATCTCGCAGATATTTTCTGCGGGCCAGACAGAGATTTAATTTTGTCTTATTTATAGCGGCTAAAAACTAAGCAGAGCAACAAAAACAAATTCATCTCACAGATGAACGATGGGGTCCCGCGCTTCTAAATGCATCTGTGTGTGTGTGAGTGTGTTTGTGTGGGTGAGTGGCATGGCAACAGGATCAGAGAACGGTTAATTGCTACATATATAGAACGTAACGGGCAGGCAAAATTGGGGCAAACGGCCATCATATGCAAAACAACAACAATAACATGGTCAGCAAGGGGAGGGGATATATGTATGTAGTGTGTGTTTGTGTGCAAGTAAAACGGAAGCAAAACAAAATGCGGACAAAAAGTACACGGATGCGAATTGTGATACCTTTCCTTGTAATAGTCCAGAGTTACCGATTCGGAATCAAATTCTGAGTAATCTGGCAGCGACTCGGCATCAAAGGAGCTCATTCCGCTGAGCGTGTAATTGGGCAAGACGTTCATTTTGTTGTTGTAGCCAGCAAGGTTACCCTGGCGCTGTTGTTGCTGCTGCTGTTGCTGCATGGTTGTTTACTTGTTTTTGTTTAAACAATATCGAACACACAGGCACTCGCACACACTTAAACTAAAACACACACGCCCACGAGCTGACGGTGAAAACTACGCTATATTTTTTCTCTATTCCCTTTTCGCTGCCTTTTCACACTCTCGCCGTCTGCTTTGCTTTGCTTCGCACAACTCGCCGATTTCGTTACCCGTGCACTTACAGTCTGCTTGGAGAGCGTGCCACTTTTCCTCATTCACATATTATTTTAGACACTGATCGGTGCTGTCTATATAATTAAAAAACAAAAACGACAAAAATAATAATGTTTTGCTTCCCTCATCACAAATAAGAGTGACCAGAGTGGGCTTGGGACAAATACCAGAATTGATTTACTAGTGTATACATTTTGAGCGGCCACACTAGCGAGCCGCAACAACAAAAAATACCGCAAAACAGTGTGGCCCCTCCTGCAGGCCATGCAAAAAATACGTATATCGATAAACAGAAGGAATCGGCGTCGCGTGGCTGCATATTAGCGAACAAAACAATATAAATATTAGCAATTGTTTCGGTTTATTAAGGAAAACGGTCCGGGACGGATCCGAGGAATCCATGGCCACCGACACGGTGTCCAACGGAGAGAACTACGCGCAGCATCTGTCCGGCGACGACGAGGTAATATGCCCCACATGCGAAGTAAAGATCAAGCGCAGTCAGGTGGCCGATCACTGCCAGATGGAGATGGACCGCCTGCACAATCCCCCAAGCGTTAGCAATCCCGAGGTGGCTCCGGGCCCAGCAGTTGCCCAGTCGGGATCGGGGGGCAGGCAGCCGTGGACCGTGTTTCAGCGAGTGCAGCGCAACCGGCAGGCCCGACAGCGCCAGCGCACAAGGAAGAGGCCCTCTTCGCCAGCGGCGCCACCACCTGCCGGAGCTGCAGCACAAGTGACAACATCAGTTCCCACTGCAGCTCCCGCAGCGCCCACCAGTGCTGCTACACCAGAAACCAGTCAACTTGCCAATTGTCCCGTCTGCAGTCGCAACTTTCCACAGACCGGCATCCAGGAGCACGTGAACCAGTGCCTGCGCAACAGCCGAAGGAATGGGAAGGCCAACGGAGAGCACTCCAGCGATGATTCCGAGGACAGCGACGAATATGAGGAGTACGAATGGGCGGGCCAGAAGCGCATCCGCGTGTCCACTCTCGTGCAGGGCGGCTACTCCGCATTGGGACTCGGCCAGACGATCAAGTACAATGGCAGCCAACAGGCGCAGGACGACGAGGACGAGGATCTCAACGTGGACGAGGACGATACGCACATCTATGGGCCAACGCAGTACGGCGAGGGCGACGTAATTCCAGTAACCAACGAGGAGAACCTTTCTGAGGTGGATGTAACCAGCTATGTGCGCCGGCTCATCTCCTCCAGCGATGGACCCAAGCCCAATCATTCCAGCGAAGCCACCGAAGCAGAAACTGCCTCTACGAACACAGCCAAGCAGGAGCCGACCTGCGAGGAGCCATCCACATCACGTTCAACACGATCCGCCTCCCAGAACCAGCAGCATGTCATCGAGTCATTAAAAGCCAAGCTGCGACTCTACGAGAATCAGGCGCAGGGCAAGTACAAGTGCCTGATCTGCCTCGAAGACTACAAGAATCCCGCCATCTCCGTCTCATGCTGGCACGTCCACTGCGAACAGTGTTGGCTGAAGACACTCGGCGCGCGCAAGCTGTGCCCACAATGCAATTCGATCACCACGCCAAAGGACCTGCGCCGAATCTACCTGTAGTGTGGCATGAACTCCAATCAAACGAATTGTTATCCCAGCTTGCGCCACACTCCCGGCTTTGCGCCCTTTCGCGGCTGTATTTGATAGTCCTATACATAATATTTATAAAGATAACTATGATACGTGACATTACAATAAGCACTAACATGTAACTATTACAATAAACCCCAGACAAGCATCAGTATCTGTTATATATACGTTAAAGTATATGGGAGTTCGCGTAGAAACTATTTCGTCAAAGCTTCGAAACACATAATTCATTAAGATGGAAAGGATATTAAATATATGTTCATTTCGATTTTAATTTTATTTCCAATATTTGAAATCTTATTCCTAATTCAAAATGAAAACTGTAGAAACATGAATGTATGAATGTTTATTTCTGTGAGTACATTAAGAACAAATACAAATATAATTAAACAATATCGAGTTTTGATATAAATTTAAAACCCCTCAAAAGGGTATTATAACTTTTTTCAGCAGTTTGCGACGCAGTGATCCAGCCATATCTGACCGTCCGTCATATATAGACATACTTAAATTAATAAAATTATATGTATCCAGTTCGGAGTGCCGAAATTTGCTGACTTTCTTGTTTTTCAATTATTATTAATAATTCATTTAATTCACCAATAATTTCTTACGGTGTATGGTTAGCTTCAGCAATCGATAACTTCGATAACTTTTTCAAAAGCCTTGAAATTAGAGCGGAGCACGTGTTATTTTTCGTGTCACGAAAAACGCAGAAATGCCAAAACATTGTTAAATATTTATTAAATACTATTTAATAAAAGTGTTCACTGCCTAAAACCTATTAATACAATTGCGCTTATTTGAAAAAGTTTTAACCCGTAAAATCTATGAACATTTCAGAGATCGTTTCGTGTTGACTGGAAAAACATTTACACGCGCCCATCTCTATTCACATTTTCTGTTTTCCTCTCCAGTTTCACCATGTCCGGCTCCGGTAGTATTTCCACCAAAATAATAGACCAATAAGCTAACCCGGTATTCCTTGCAGGCGCGAATCCCTTTGCCCAGTTCAAGGCATCCTTCACCCAGGACGGAACGGTCTATAACTATTTTGATCTTCCCTCCATTGACAGCAAATATGGTAAGTCTCCCCGGTGTGCCAAAAGAAGAGCCCCAGCTAATTGTTATTGTTCCAGATTTGCTGCCCTTTTCCATTCGCGTCCTGCTGGAGTCCGCGGTGCGCAATTGCGACAACTTCCACGTGCTGGAGAAGGACGTGCAGAGCATTCTGGCATGGACACCCTCGTTGAAGCAGGGAGCCAGCGACGTGGAGGTCTCTTTCAAGCCAGCACGAGTTATTTTGCAGGTGTGAAAAACTGGGTTGTACCTCTGGCTCCGCTTTTATTCGTTTTGTTTTGTTTAGGACTTTACTGGTGTGCCCGCCGTTGTGGATTTTGCTGCCATGCGGGATGCGGTTCGCGAACTGGGCGGTAATCCTGAGAAGATAAACCCCATCTGCCCCGCCGATCTGGTCATCGATCATTCCGTACAGGTGGATTTTGCCCGTGCCTCCGACGCTTTGGCCAAAAACCAGTCCCTCGAGTTTGAGCGCAACAAGGAGCGCTTCACATTCCTGAAATGGGGCGCCCGCGCCTTTGACAACATGCTGATTGTGCCACCCGGCTCTGGCATTGTTCATCAGGTTAATCTGGAGTACCTGGCGCGTGTCGTTTTTGAGAGCAACGATGCAGATGACTCAAAGATCCTGTATCCGGACAGCGTCGTCGGAACAGACTCTCATACCACCATGATCAACGGTTTGGGTGTTCTGGGCTGGGGCGTCGGAGGCATCGAAGCAGAGGCCGTAATGTTGGGTCAGTCCATAGCCATGTTGCTGCCCGAAGTGATTGGCTATAGGCTGGAGGGAAAGCTGGGCCCCCTGGCCACTTCTACCGATCTGGTGCTGACCATCACCAAGCATCTGCGCCAGCTGGGCGTGGTGGGAAAGTTCGTGGAGTTCTATGGCCCCGGAGTGGCGGAGTTAAGCATCGCCGACCGAGCCACCATCAGTAACATGTGTCCGGAGTACGGAGCTACAGTTGGCTACTTCCCCATCGACGAGAATACGCTCAGCTATATGCGCCAGACCAGTGAGTTTCTTACATATTCATTTTTAATGATTACTTACTGATTTCCTATGATTTATAGATCGCTCCGAGAAGAAAATTGACATTATTCGACAGTATCTGAAGGCTACGCGTCAGTTGCGCAATTATGCTCTCGAAGATCAGGATCCTAGGTATACTGAGGTAGGTCTACCTTATTTTTTAAACAATTTAACCCCTATTTAATGGCTACTATTTACATTTCCGTTTCAGACAGTCACCCTGGATCTGTCAACGGTGGTCACCTCGGTTTCGGGACCCAAGCGACCACATGATCGTGTGTCCGTTTCCAGCATGTTCCAGGACTTCAAGTCTTGCCTCACAAGTCCCGTGGGATTTAAGGGCTTTGCCGTGCCCTCAGAGGCGTTGGCTGCCAGCGGCGAGTTTCAGTGGGACGATGGCAAGAGCTACAAGATAGGTCACGGCTCGGTTGTGATTGCAGCCATCACGTCCTGCACGAACACCTCGAATCCCTCGGTGATGCTGGGGGCTGGTCTTCTTGCCAAGAATGCTGTACAGAAGGGCTTAAGTATCCTGCCGTACATCAAGACCTCTCTCTCGCCCGGATCCGGTGTGGTCACCTACTATCTGAGGGAGTCGGGAGTGATTCCATATCTGGAGCAACTGGGCTTTGACATCGTTGGCTACGGCTGCATGACTTGCATCGGCAACTCCGGTCCGCTAGATGAGAATGTGGTGAACACCATCGAGAAGAACGGCCTTGTCTGCTGTGGAGTGTTGTCTGGCAACCGTAACTTTGAGGGACGCATCCATCCAAATACCAGAGCTAACTACCTGGCCAGTCCATTACTGGTCATCGCATACGCCATTGCCGGGCGCGTGGACATTGATTTCGAAACAGAGCCACTGGGCGTGGATGAACATGGCAAGGAAGTGTTTCTCCGCGATATCTGGCCCACGCGCAGTCAAATCCAAGAGGTGGAGCACAAGCATGTCATTCCGGCCATGTTCCAGGAGGTGTACAGTGAGTATATGATTCCTTTCTTAGGAACCTTTTTAATATCGATTTCCTTTTAACAGGTAAGATCCAGCTGGGCTCCCAGGACTGGCAGACGCTTGAGGTGTCCGATGGCAAGCTTTATCCCTGGAGTGGAGTATCCACTTACATCAAGAGGCCGCCCTTCTTCGAGGGCATGACCCGGGAGCTACCCAAACTGAATAGCATCGACAAGGCTCGCTGCCTGCTCCTGCTGGGTGACTCTGTGACCACCGATCATATCTCACCGGCGGGCTCCATAGCTCGCAAGTCCCCGGCAGCCCGTTACCTGGCGGAACGAGGTCTGACGCCCCGTGACTTTAACTCGTACGGCTCCAGGCGAGGCAACGATGCGGTAATGGCACGTGGCACCTTCGCCAATATCCGGTTGGTCAACAAGCTGGCCTCCAGAACTGGACCAAACACACTGCATGTACCTAGTGGCGAGGAGATGGACATCTTCGATGCGGCGGAGAGATATCGAGAGGAGGGAACACCACTGGTGCTGGTGGTGGGCAAGGACTATGGCAGCGGTAGCTCCCGCGACTGGGCTGCCAAGGGACCGTTCCTGCTGGGCATTAAGGCGGTGATCGCAGAGTCATACGAGCGCATTCACCGATCCAATCTGGTGGGCATGGGCATAGTCCCGTTGCAGTTCCTGCCCGGACAGAGCGCTGAAACGTTGAAGCTCAGCGGCCGGGAGGTTTTCAACATTGCCCTGCCCGAGGGCGACCTGAAGCCGGGCCAGGTGATCCAGGTCGAGGCCGATGGCAATGTATTTGAGACGACGCTGCGCTTCGACACAGAGGTGGACATTACTTACTACAGGAACGGTGGCATCCTCAACTACATGATCCGCAAGATGCTGGACTAACATTCGTTTCTTATATATTCCATGTGCATTTCTTACCAACTGTTATTTGTTTTGGTGTGATGAAAATACAATTTGACAATTTATAATTTAAATCATTTTAATTTTACAAATGACAAATGAGTTGTTTTAAAATGCCCGCCATTTAAGTTATCGATAGCCAAACTACGTAAGACAAGCAATGCAAAAACGTAACTACTCGCATGATATCGATATATCGTCAATAGTTATTCAGCTAAGCCATCACTTCGCGACGAGTTGGCAGTACCGCTGTACGACATTGAATTACGAAATATCTAGTTTAACACAAAGTGCTATGTACATAACTTATAGAAGCGAATTATCCTCCTTACTACATAAATACAAAAATATATATTTAAATGAGACTTATTTCAAAACATTAATAACAATTATTAAAAACAAATAAAAAGATTTGAAACTATTCCCGCCCTTCTTTCGTAATTTTATCTCCTACTAACGGTCACACTTTTTGTATTTTTGCCTGTACCAAACACGGTCTGTTTTTGCTGCTTCTTTTTGTCTCCCGTCCCGTGGACTTTTCTCCAAAGGGATTTCCAATTCGCAAAAATATAGAAACCCAAATAAGACTACCGATCGCGCGTTCGCGGAGATCCTATCGTTCCGTGGGTGCAAGTGTAACACCAATAGTTCACGACGAAAATACAAAGTAGCGCAGTACAAAAGTTTCCTCCGCTCCACCTCCTCCCAAAGATCTGCGGATCGCAGGAACCAAGAACTGTGGTGCTGGTGCAGGGCCAGGTGCCCCCACGCGTCCGGAGTGCAAGAGGAGGCGTCGCGTCGCCCGGATTATGTCATTTGTTTACGGGCAACTGCCGCAGGCAGAGAAGCGCTTTTGAATGTTGCACCCGAAAGAGGCAGCGAAAACCTGTAAAAATGTAGACTGTGTGCGTGTGTGTGTGCGTTAGTGTTAGTATTAGTGTTAGTGTTAGCGGACCAGTGTTGGTGAGAGTGAGTGTGAGTGGCGCGGATAATGGACGTTTAGTCGTCGTATAAAAATACGCGTAGATATAGGAGATATACACACATACTCGTATATATGCGGACAGGCACGCCGCCGTATCTGCGCCGCAGCACGTCGTTCGAGAGCCCGCGCGCCTCCCCGATGCGGCTGCTCCCCTCCAGAGTCAGCTCTAGCATCGTCTCCGCCTCCGCCTACGATTAGAGCCAATGGCCACGTTCAATGCAAGCGCCAGCAGCAGTGCCGCCGATGTCCTGAGCTCCACTTTGGCCGCCACCTCGGCCACGGCCACGTTCCTGGTGCCCCCAGCGGCCACGCAGGCGGGAGCCATTGCAGTACAGCAGCCAGCGCCTCATCCGCCGCACCTGCAGCTGGATCAGTTTGGAGGCTACGCTACGGGAGCACCGCTGCACCACCATCATCAGCAGACCAACTCGTCTTACACCTTTGTGCAGATAAAGCGGGAGCCCTGTCAGGTGTCTGAGATTAGCTCCAACAACTGCCACCAACAGCAGCAGGCGCATCATCAGCACCAGCAGCAGCACCACCACCAACTCCAGGGCCTGGGTAGCGTGTCTTCGTCCTCGGTCACCGCCTCGGCCACTTCCAAGACCATGTCTTCGTCCACGCTCACCACACTGGTGAAGATCGAGGCCCCCTCGCCAAAGGTGCCCGACCTGGAGAAGTCAACAAGTAAGTTCCACCGCCTGGCAGCCAGCTTGCCTAGATCTGGTCGTAATCAGTTGCCTTGCACTTGCATCCTCTTCTTGCAGGCAATTCCGTGCCCATTGGCATAGCGGTGGCCAGGAAGCGGCCGCAGGAAGCCTTGGTGCCGGCTCTGAGCACCCCGGCCGCGCTGCCGCTGCAGCAATCACTCAGCAAGGACATGAACTGCTTTGGCATACGCGTCGCTGACCTTGGTGAGTGCCAAACTAGTTTCCAGGGATCGCGCAAAGGGGTGGGTGGGCAGGGTATCTAATTCAATTTGAGAGCCCAGATTTGTGTGCCTCTAATGAACGCCTGCCCGTCCGCGTCCCTTGGGGCATCGTTACGCTGCTTATAATGGCAGGACGTGAACGTCGTTCAATTATGCCACTAATAAGATTGCTAGCCAGCCAACAAACGTTGAGCGTCGAAGAATTCCATCAGTAAGTCGAGTCGAGCCAGTCCAAGCCCAGCCAGAAGGCGAGGGTGTCTGGTTCGCCTCGCAAACACGCCGTAAACACCCCGTCAGAGTTGAGAGGGCAAGGAGTCATATGATGCGAGCTGATGGCCTCCTGTTGTGCGGCTGTCGTTGTTGTGACAGCCACCGAATCGACTCGAATCGACTCTTTCCTCCCTTGGCCCGGGGACCCAAGAAGGAAGTGGTGGTAAATCATACGAACTTCTAAAGCGGAAATAAAACGAAAGTGAAACACATTGCGATTCCAGCAGGGTGGCTAAGGTCGACTTCGGGGTGCTCTACTCGCTTACTGGGGTGTGTTTCCTTTTAGAGCTCCTAGATTCCATACTCAAGATTTCACTTAAAACCCAGTAATGCAGAATTAATCAACAATAATTGCGGCAGTGATGGCTTATTATATATTAATAATCTTTTTTTTTATGTTTTTAATTTGTTATTGGGAAATGTTAACAGATGTGAAATATTCTCAGATATTGTTATATGAAAAACCAGATTGATTTAAATCGAAATTCTTAACTAAACTGTCACAAAAGCATTGCAACCCCAAAAATTAATATGTATAGGCGATTGAAAACAATTATTTAAGATGACACAATAAAAAATATTTTAGAATTAAAAGAAAAATTTAAAGTATTAAAGTTTAGCTCCTCAAAAACCTTATTTTCTGCACTTTTAATTTCAAATATTATGAAAACCTGAAGTATAGAAAGTTTTCTGAGACCAGATTTGAGTTCAGTGCATTTCAAAATTACCGGAAAAGTTTATTCTGGATCTTGGTTCTAAATAACTGCCGACCAGTGTAATACAAACTGGGAGAACCTTTTTTTTTTTTAAAAACTGTAAAAGCGTTGGTTTAACAGATGTCAATCCCTTTTATTGTTTAATTTTGTTGATAATGCCGACCTATATTTGCAAGATGAGTTTTTTGATAAATAAATAAATAAATAAATAATCAATAAAGGAAAACATCCCGCTGGCTTTTTAGTATACAGATGTTACAGTCTTCAGTGAAAAAACCTCATTAGTACTTATTTGGCTGACTGATGCAACCCCAGCAATATGCGTGGTTAGTTAGCAGCCTTTTGTAGCTTTAGATCCATCCCTCATGCTGAACTTGTACTTGGGAATTTTACTCTTTAATGTTGTCAGGCTGGAGAGCGGTCACCCCACATACATATGTGTAGTTTTTTTTATTATTTATTTATTACGTATATCCTCTAACCAAAATAGAAGAATGTTAAATCAATATTTTTGAGTGAAAACAATCCCTCAACGGTCGGAGGTAAGAGTATGGTTAAAATAATATATTTAGGTAATAGGAAAAGAAAATTCTTAGATTAGGAATAATAATAGATTTCAAACTTGTTGACTAGGAATTGCTAAACAAATAAGTAAATAAATAGGTCAAAGTTGATATTATATTTAACCGATATATGTAGTTGAGCTGTTTACAATGTTTACAATATTTAAACAAGAGTCAGCTCCAAAAAAGAAATTAAGTATTCTCTACTAAATATAAATAAATCCAACAAGGCATAAACATCACTTTACAACTTTGCTATGAACATTTTTAATTAATGGCTATAAATTTGCAATAACTTGCACGTATTGGCATTCTAAATAGATATAGGAATCCCCTTCTCAAAGTTCCAAGTGCAATCTACGTAAAAGAAATGACTAAACATGGTGAAATAGTGTTGAACTTGAGTAGCAAGTAAAAATATATCCATTATAGCCGAAAAATACTATGCAGCTGATGTAATAGTGGTGGAAGCTAGTGACTTTTATTTTTGAAATGAAACAAAAAACTTTCTCCTTGATAAGTTAAGGGGAATTTCAACTTCCATTCTATGATTAAATGTATTTATTATAAAACCAGTTTGAATCAGTTTATCTATAGAGCCTTTTCATGGGAATTACCAATCGGAAAGTTTGGCTTTAAAATTTTTTGAAATTCCTTTTAAAAGTTGCCAATGTACTTAGATTATTCATGCCTCAGCGCTGAGCACAGGGCATCGTGGGCTTCGGCTTCCTTATCACGCTCCACCGGAGCTCCAGTCAAGGGGGAGGCAGGCAGAGGCAGACCGAGAGCCCAAAGACAGATTACTCATGGACGGTGTGCTGCGCTGGTGGGTGTTTTGTTTTTTTTTTCGACAAACCTATCGAGGGCTGTTGCTCCAGGAAGGCGGTGCTTAGATGTAGATGTCGTTGTAGATGTTGTCAGGGAAATTAAGAAGGGCTGCGGGACGGCAGCAGCCACAAGGGATGCTCCGACTGGTTTTTGGGGATGGGAATTTGGGATATGAGACGGTGAACACAGGAGTGAAGTCGTTTACGGGACAGGACCAAGCAACATGACACGCCAAAGTGGATTTGTACAGGACCATATGGCAGAGTCGCCATCGAATGGCTTTAGTTATTGTTTTTTTCTCCCTTCCGATTTGGGCTGCGGAGTCACGGGCTATTTATAAACGCTGGCTGGGAGAGTACCGCACGGCGCCGAGACAAATCACTTGTCAAAAGATGTGCCTTAATTGCGTTTTTGGAGATGGGATACGGCACACCCGAATTGGTCGAAATAATACATACTTGTCACTGCCCACTGTTCGGGTGGTAAGCAACTGGCGCTCTATCTCTCTTCGCACAGATCCCTTAATGTAATGCAATTACAGTGCCGAGGCTCACGTACACTTTAATCGAATTTTTGTAAAATTATTCAGCCGCAAGCCGGGGGTGGGTTGCTGCTGCTGGAGTCGAATGATTCCGAGTCAGATGTGTGATGATGAGAGGTGAGTGGGGTGGGTGGGCGCGCGACCAATTGCATAGTTCAAGGACACTGCAATATTTCACGTATACATACACATCCTCCGGCCTGCAACAAAAGTAACACGGCAGCGGCAGAAAGTTGATTAAACAGGGTCTGAACGTCGAGCAGATAGGTTGGAACGTTGCCGTTGTTCGTTGGTGTTTGAATCTCGAATTATAATTCCTTTTCTGCTCTTTTTTTTCAGGCGCCACCAGTTGCGGCAATCTGTACTTCACGGGCAACGGTGACCTGATGACCACTGGCACGGCCACCGCCGAGGAGCTGGCCTTAAGTGCCGCGGGCGTTAATCGAGCACCGTCCACCTTCTGGCAGTATCCAAGTGAGTTGAGACCCGTCCAGAGCATGCCACCTGCGCTACCATAAGACCCCAGAGTTCTCTCTACACACTGTCTCCCCCTCTCTCTATTTTGGTTATCTCTTTTCCGTTGCGTTTTTGTAGATGCATTACCCATTGAATCAGTGATTTCCATGTCGCCCGCCACAGTGGGCCTGCAGTACTCGCGGGAGGCCAGCCGCGGACAGGTGGTGCTGCTGCCGGCCGCCCCCACAGCGCTCGGTAAGTCAGCCCGAGGATCGCGCGACGATCTCCATTTCGCACTCCGCATGCCTGCACACTGCCCAGGGCCCTGGACTCCCTCTGGGATCCTGGGCCAATTTGATTTCAATCTCGATTCGCCAAAACAAAACTAATTCATGCTTTTACCACTGCGCTTTTCTCCACCTGCCTTACACCACCCTGCCTCCGACTCCGCCTCCGACTCCGACTCCAAACCCGAACCTCCGACTAAACTGAATCGCTACCACGTCCATGCACAGCAGCCATATCAAATTTTCCCCTCTTAACGCCCACAGATCCGTTCCAGCAGGCAGCGGCTGCCGCGGCCTTCGTCTGGCCCTCCGCCTACATACCCCAGGCGCCGGGTCCCGGCGGTCCCTCAGCCGCTGCTGCCTCGCTGCAGCCGTCGCCCAACCTGACCAACTTGCCCAACTTCATCTTCCCCTCGATGGGCAGCCACCAGGCTCTGGGCAATACGCCCTCGTATGCCTCCACCCTGCAGCTGTATCTGGCCGCCGCAGCCACCGCCACGGGAAGCTCGACGATGTGCCAGCACAGCAATCAGCAGACCAGCACCACCACCACAAACTCCACCATCAATCTGAGCCTAGCCTCGGGTGCGGGTGTCACGAGCAGTGCCAATGCGGCCAGTAGCCTCAGCTCAAGCAGCAGCCTCAGTGCGAGCAGCTCCAGGTTCCTCAGCCTGGCCACAGGTCAGGGTGGGCCCATGGGCTCGCTGCTGCTGCCGCCAACGGGAATGAAGCTGGAGGACTATCAGTCGCAGCCTCTGCCGTTGTCGTTGCCGCCGCTAGTGCCGCTGGAGGCGACGCGCGACAAGGAGCAAGCTTTAAATCTGATGCGCCTGCCCACGCCGCCCACATCGGCCACAATGGAGCCGTCGTCCCTTGGCCATGCAACACCCCACCAGCTCTTCCAGTCGGTACCCATGACGACCTCTACGCCGGCCTTGTTGAATCTATCGATGCACGGCTCAGGTGGACAGCTGCCTGTTGCCACGCCCCTGCCTGCGGTTTGTGACGAAGCGGCGCTGAACTACAAGCTGCACGCACCGCTGACGCCGCAGACCCCGCCCCGTCTGGCGGAGATTTCGGTGCCAGGAAGTACTCCTCTTTCCCTGCCGCAGATGCAGGACGTCAACATACAGACGGATACTCCTGTGTGCAGCGAGGATGAGAGCTTTCCGGGTCCACCGAAGCAGCAGGAGTCGGCAGGGGAAGCCAATCCGATTGCCGCCTCCTTAATCCAGCCGCTGGAACTGACCAAGCCCAGTGAAGCCAGCCATACCCTGCCGAACGAGTGCCATACCCAGACCGAACCCAGTGACATAGTACCCAGTGCCAGCCAGGCGGAGTCAGCGGAGCAGACTCCCCCGGAATCCATAGAAATATCGTCCCAGGCCACGACGCAGGCTGCTCAGACGGCGCCCGAGGACCTGACCGGCCTCGAGCTGCTTTCCAACATCAGCACCAACAGTACTCCGCTGGTGCGGATCAAGCAGGAGCCGGTGGAGCATATTGAGCCGCCTCAGGAGCAGCCTGTTGAAGTGGCACCACAAGAGCCTCTGCCGACCATTCTGCAAATAGAGCCAGCGCCCACGCCGGAGCCGCTGGGAGGCCTTAAGCTGTTGTGCGCTCTCGCCGAACAGCGAATTCAGGAGGAGGAGGAGGTGCAGGGTAGTAGTCTCTTTGCTAGGCCTTCCTCCTCGCGTACGCCCACACCGACGCCTCAAGCTTCTGGGACACCGCCTCCGGCTCTGGATACCAGGCCTTGTTTCGGCTTTGGCCCACCCCAGGGACCACCAGTCTTCCCCTCCTCAACCTCCTCCTTTCAGATGCCATTGAGTTCACCCGGTTTTCCCTCGATGCAGGGCATCGAGCTGCCTTCCACCTCCGTGGCGGCCGCCACTGAGCTTACACCCGTGAAGCGCAAGAAGCACAAACATTCCAAGTCCTCTGGCAGTGATAGCCGGAAGTCGGCGCGCTGCAGCAAAAAGAGCAAGAAGAAGCGCCGCCATAGCAGCAGCCGGCAGCAGCAGCAGGCGACTACAGCTCCGATGGCGGAGGAGGATGTGAACCTGCAGGACGAGCAGCTGCAGTCGGAGCTGCGCAGCGCTCTACATGCCATGGATCCCAGCTATGCGCAGCGCTTTGGCCAAGAGGTGTTTAGCATCATGGACAACAGCATGCGCATGAGGCTGGCCGACATTACGAGGCAGTATCGCAAGAAGAAACGGAAGCTGGACGAGATAAGCAAGCACAAGAAAAAAAAGAAGTGCTCCAAGCAGCAGCAGCAGCCGTTAGTCCAACCAGCGGCGGTTCAGCCAGCACCTGCACTGCAGCAGCCACAAATGACTCTGTCCAGTGTCCTGGGGTAAGTGGAATCAGTATATCCATATTGATGAACTATTAACATAATATCCCATCGCCCTCAAGGACCTCGTCACCTCTACGCGACTACAAGTTCCCAAAGTTCTCGAGCAATAACCTTCAGACGTCCAGCTTCCTGCGATTCCCGGAGAAGACGCACTCCTTCCCACCGCCTCCCCTGCAGCAGAGTCAGCCAGAGCCCAGTCCCTTGCCCACTAGCTGCTCATCGAGTACCTCTTCATTTGTGCGCCTCGAGCCCAGTGCCCTTGATGCGGCCGTTGCTACTGTCCCAACTACCTCAGCATCCTCCTGCTCGCCCTCTTCAAAACAACAAACAGTTGTTTCTGCGGCGCGGAAGCAGCGTAAGATGAAGGCGAGCATCGCAGGCGGCCCTGGAGAGACTACCACAGCCCCAGAGGCCAAGCGACGGGTCAGCGGCATTGATCGGGAGCTGCAGCTGACCAGCGAGCATCTGTATCGCGATGAGACGCGAGTCCTCACCGACATGGGCGGGCTATTCTACGCGGGAGTGATGAAGCCACTTCGTCCGCCGGATGTATACTCGATCACACTGGACGGGGAGCGCGGCAACAAGTCGCACGTAATGTCTCGCGAGGATATACTCAAGGATACGGTGAGTAGAAGGATCTTTTTTGCCTTACATACGACTTAATGAAATCAAACGTATTTTTAGATTCTCGAGGTGGCGCCAAAGAGCGTCGAGAGCGTACCCGTGGGTACGCGTCTGTGCGCTTACTGGAGCCAGCAATACCGATGTCTTTACCCGGGCCGTGCCATCGACTCGGAGCAGGCTGAGGATGGTACGACCAGCAGCAGCAGCAATACGGCAGCAAATGCGGTAACCACGTCGCCGGACTTTGTCAGCGTGGAGTTCGATGACGGGGACAGCGGCAGGATCCGCTTGCAGAACATCCGGCTGCTCCTCAGCGACTATCCCATAGCAGGTTTGTGTCTATTCCGGAGTTTCGTGGGGCGACCTATCCCTGTCATTAGAAACCAGAAACTTTCTAGTGTCTGTGTGCTCCCTTATTTACTTCTTTCTTGTTTTCGTTGCTCCCACCCAACCTTCCCGTCCACACCCTTGGAACAGAGTACAACGATAATCCCCTCTACTCAGTAGGCAAGCAGAAGCGCAGCGCTCTGCGCGGTGCTGAGAGTGGTCCTGGCGGATGCTCGCAGGAGCATTTGAGCGTGCCCGGCTGCGAGGACTCGCATAGTCACCATAGCTTGGGGATGAGTAGCGACAACACCACTTCGCTGGCCGCCACCATGGAGCTGTTCACGCAGCGCAGTGAGAAGAAGCGCCTGAAGAAGAGCCTCAAGAAGATGTCCAAGTCGCAGAACGGCATCAACAGTTCGGCAACGGCTGTCAATGGTGGGGCAGATGCAGCTCCGTCCGGTGAAGGGTGCGCGGCGGGTGCAGATGATGCCGCCCGTAAGCATCACAAGCACAAAAAGCGCAAGAAGCACAAGAAGCATCATCGCAAGAATGGTAGCGAGGAGCCAGAGCCAGAGCAAGTGCAGCAGCAGCAGGAACAGCAGGAATCAGCAGGAACGGCACCGACGCCGAATACAAATCGCGTTAAAATGGAGGTCAAGGTCAAGGCAGAGCAGCTGGAAATGGAGGAGGAGACGGCCTCCAATCTCATGTCAGAGATATCCGATGAGGTAAGTTATTGAAATAACACTTAATGTTTTATATTTAATAATTCATTTAATTTACAGGCCAAGGGCGAGGATCTGGTGGAGCATAACAATTCCAAGGGCAGCAGCAAGATTGCTGCCTTCCTGCCGGAGCGGCAGCTGTGGGGTTGGCATGGCACCGCCTATCGCAAGGCGGGCGTCAAGGGACGCGCCAGAAAGCAATTTTACAAAACAATCAAAAGGGGAAAGGAGACTATCACGGTGGGAACCATAAGCTTTCCTATTATATATCCTTTTTACATAATTTCTTCCTATTTTGAAGGTCGGGGACAGTGCAGTATTTCTATCAACGGGCAGACCAGACCGACCATATATCGGTCGCATTGAGTCCATGTGGGAGACCACAACGGGTAACAAAGTGGTGCGCGTGGCGTGGTTCTATCATCCGGAAGAGACGACCGGCTGCCCAAAGTTAAGATTTCCGGTGAGTAATTCCATTTCAGTGGCCTGAAAATTATAAACTAATCATTTGATATCATTAAAAACGCAGGGTGCTCTGTTTGAATCGCCGCACGAGGATGAAAACGATGTGCAGACAATTTCGCATCGGTGCGAGGTGCTGCAGTTTGGCAGCTACTTCGACAAATTCGGTGCCGATTCGAAGCAATATCAATCCATATACGATAACAATGATACATATTATTTAGCCGGGCACTATAACCCAAGGTTGCAAGTGCTGAAACTACAAGACGATATTCCAACTCTCGAAGAGCTGCAGGATACAAATACTACTACTACTACAACTACAACTAAAACAACTACTACCGAGGATTAAGCGAAACGTGGCGTGGATAGGCATAGTCGTGTTTAGGCATAGTGCATACAAATCTATATATATACAATATATATACACACATTATACATATATTTTATGATACGTGAGAGATGGAGATGAAGCAGAGATATACCTATTATATGTATACAAATATTATTTCAATATATTTTAAATGTATTATGTATTTCGAAAAAAAGAAACAAACACAAAAAAAAGGACATCGGACGAGAAAGATATATAACGAGAGAGAGAGAGAACAAGGAACTAAGCAACAACCTTTAAATTAATGTGTAGTTACGAGACAAGCGCAAGCAATTTTAAGTCTAATTTTTGTAAAAAGAAAAACAAAAGAAAGAGCTAAGAGATGCGCGACAAAGTTGATTTACTCAAAGTTCAGCAAAAATGTATACAAACGAAATGTGTGCTTCTACATCCTACATCCCCTGCGACCATTCGACACCACACACAAGACACAAGCAACCAACCAACCAACCAAGCATCCAACAATCCGCACTTAGAGCCCCCTTCTACAGATACGGATACACTTGTTACTTTACGTGTATACCTACCACATGTTTCAGATTAAATTTAAAACGTGTTTTAATGATTTTAAGCAGGCAACATGCAGCAACTACTACTATAAATGTAACAATTCAATGTGATAGCAAAACAAACCCAGATGTTGATGTGTACAGAGGAGAGAATAAGTATAGATGATAACTAAGAGATCAAGCGAAATGTGTGTGTTGAATATTTACAGCTCGTTTATTCACGAAGAACAGCAAAATATAAAATCAAACCTATCTTTAATTACATCAATAAACTTGCCGGATATATTGAAATCTCAGTCGATGTTTCATTCGAGGTGGAATTACAGTTGGCCTTGGGATTACCTTTCAAATATTAAAACCTAGGACTGGAACATGGTTACAAGTTTAGCTAATTCTATTTCATAATTGTATTCAAAAACACATTACACCATGTGGAAAGTTCAGGCCTTGCTGGTGCATCTCCTCCTGCTCGGATCCATTCTGAGCGTTTACTTTCAGTCCACCGTGTTATCAGGTATGGAACCACAGGTGACTCTCCGTGAGCTGGGCATGCGGCCGCCTGCTGATCGTTTGGTGGTCTTCGTTACCGAAGGCCTACGGGCAGAGTCCCTGCTGGGGGACAACTGCAGTGGGGTGCCAGTCCTGCGAGACCTATTTATGGAGCAGGGCTTGGTCGGTATCTCGATTTCTTCGGCGCCGACGGCAACTCGACCGGGTCACATTTCAATCTTTGCGGGCTTCAATGAGGATCCATCGGCAGCACTCACCAACTTTGGCTGGAATCCCACCATCTTCGATACCGTTTTTAATCGCAGCCGAACAGCTCTGGGATGGATGGACAACAACACTGCCAAAATCTTTACCCACTTGCCGAACGGGGGAGAGCCTCTGCGATTCGAGACCTACTCCAAGCCAGACGTTTCTGGCAGCCTCACAGATGAGTCCGTTTTGGAAATGGTGCGCGACTTCGTGACGAAAACCTACAACGTACGGCCGTTGCGCAATGCCAGTTCGGTGGTTTTCTTTGTTCACCTAGCAGACATGAAGTTCGCCGGTGAGACTTTCACGCCCACCAGCTCCAAATTCAAGGACATGCTTAACTCCACCGAACAAGTTGTCCGGCAGATCTATGATCTCTTTGAAGGCGCTTTCCAAGACAAACGTACGGCCTATCTGCTCACTTCTGATCACGGCATGACCAATAAGGGTAAGTGGCTTTAATTTTTGAAGCTCCAAAGCGTTTCTAACCCAATTAATATTTGTAGGCCATCATGGCAATAACAGTAGGCACGAGGTGGAAACTCCCTTCATACTCTGGGGAAGTGGTGTTAATCGCAAAGCCCCTGAAACTGGACAGCACTTCATTGTCAACGACGAAGGACGTGAACTGCCTCTTTACGAATTGCAACAGACTCAATTGGCGCCACTCATGTCCGCCATTATTGGTCTCCCGCCGCCCAAGAACAACATGGCCCTTCTGCCGCTTGGCTTTGTGGATGCCACCGTTCAGTACGAGCTCCAGGCTATGCACCTGAACACCATGCAGCTGCTGGCCCAGGCCAGTATCCTATTAACGCGACATGAGAGTGGCGTATTTTCCAAGTTCATGCCCAGTTATGAGTACCTTGACTTTGAAGGGATCCATCAGTATTCGCTGAAAATGCTGGGACTGGTCAATAGACAGCGGTATGAGCAGGCCCTGATGATGAGTCAGAAGATGGCGAAGCAGGCTCTGCAGTGCTTGGAGTACTACCACACGTACTATGAGCAGGCCCTGCTCATGGCCACCACCGCCTCCTACATGTTGTGGTTCCTCTGCCTCTTGCTAAAACTCACGCGTGAGTCCATCCACCCCAGGCCAGCTCGCAAGGGACTTGTTACCTGGACCACGCTGCTCATGTGCCTTGCAGGACTGATGATCGTGGTGGCGATGATACTGCAGAATGTCCCCTGCGTAACGGCCTTCTATCTTCTGCTGCCCTACGGAATTCTAATTCTAGCCTTGGGCGAGCTGCCCACCAAAGGTGTCTGGGTCATGAATCTTATCTTCCATCTGTCCGGGATCGTGATGCCTGGTTTTCTTGTGATACTGATGGCTTTCCGCAACAATCACATCGGCGTGCTCTACGGTGCACTGGCGATCCTGAACAATCGGAAGGCATTCCTCAGACCGTCCGTAAAGTTATTTTCCTGGCTAGGTCTCGTCATCCTGCTGAGCGTTCTCCTGGTGTTGAAGCAGAACCCTAGCTTGGATTGGATTACCAATAGCATTACGAGTTATGTGAGCGATAAACACGTGCTGTGCTTCAGCATGGTAGTGTCCCTGGTGCGTCCATTGGTGCTGCAGCACCAACATTCCTTTCGAGTGTGGCTCGTCAACGTTGCCTCTCTGCTGGTTGTGGCATATGGAGTCTACCAGTGCGACGCGGATGAACCCGTTTGCACTTATGTCTATTTGGCCTGTTGGGCTTTCCTGGCCTACGCCCTTCTCTCGATCCCCTACAGTGGAATTAAGGAGCCAAGACGCCGCCTAGAGCTGATCATCTTTAATATGCTGACGGCCCACATAATGCTGACGACATCTTCTGAATCGCTAATTGTCCAAATCATGGTCACCGAGTTTGTGCTGGGCCTGGATATCTACGCAGAAAGCCATGGGCCAAAAAAAGTTAAAGATGGCAATCAGAATGAGAGCAGGGATCAAGAAGGGGAACAGCACGACGGGGGTCAGGATCAAACGGAACCTATAGATCAAGAACCACCTAAAGGTCAAGTTCCGCGGCAGCACCTCCGGCTCTCCTATCGTTATGCCTTCCTCATTCTGTTGTACTTCTACATATCCTTCTTTGGCACTGGACACTGGTTCTTCAATTTCACCTTCAAGAACACCACTTCGCGATTGTTCCTCTCGCACTTCTGTCTGTTTGGAGCTATCGCCTTCAGTCTGCTGAAGATATTCATACCGTCGATCATCATAATCTCAAGCATTTACGCTCTGGTAACCTTTGGTCGCAAGAAAGCACGCTCCATCTTCATCTGCCTTTTCCTAATGACCGAGGCCATGAGCCTGTTCTTCTGCTACTTTGTACAGAATCGCGGTTCCTGGCAGAAAGTTCGCGAGTCATTGGATTGCCTCCTGGTTACACATATCTTTTCTATTTTGTTGCTTGTTTGTGCCTGGATTGCCAAAGGATTTCTCATCAATACCACTTATGAGAAGCCCCCGAGCCCCAGGCCAATAACTGTAATCGCAAATGTTACGTCGCTAAGTGAAGATAGCCAGGCGTAGTTTATTTCGGAAATAATGTCAAAATTTTATTCTGTATTAATTCACTTATTGGTGTAACTGTTAAATGATCTTCAATATAGTTTTAATCGGTTGAACTCAGTTTTTTTTCTCATAATTCAGTTTATAAGAGTAGAATAATAAGAGATTATTTAGATAGACTTTGTTAGTTTAAACAGATTTAGAGGTAATGCACCTTCTTTGAAAGTTACGTATACGCCCCGTTGGACAGAATCGCCAAATATTATTCATTTTTTTATTTGAATAAAACTTTTAGACAGAATAATTATCTCGCTGCCGTGCTATTAGTTCTAGCGAAGTTCACGACGCAAAACTAGCTACTGAATCATAACCGACTATTACAACACCCGGCTAACAAAGCTCCGGGAGTTCCCACACCAGAAACGTCAGTTTTACGGGCTCGCAAAGGCCCCGACATGCCCCATTTGCATAATGGGCCAGAGCTGACGAATGCGTGTCTGTCGATGATGTTCAATGAGTTTGGCTCACACATGGGTGCCACAAATAGGAGCAGCGCCGCCCCCTTGCCGGGAAATCCGTTGCTCCTTTCACGGCTCCGCCCGCTGTCAGATGCGTGCGTTGCCTGGCTGCGGGGGTCACGAGACCCGACATCGATCCAACAGTCGGAAAATTTGCATTCGCCAGGCTGTGGAAATATAGGGAAGACGCGGGTCGACGGATGAGCGGATGCGTGCCTGGGAGACACAATAATTAAAAAGCGATTTGTCTAGGGCCGCCGCGCGCACTGGTGATTGGCTGAGCCAGGGAGTCCGGGTCCCGGGTGTCAAGGGGTTGCCGTTCTGCCGCCGCCGCCGGTGGCCAGGCCCCACCGAAAATGAGCACCACCCCGAAATGGTACTGCCGCAACAAATCCCAGCCGATGCACACGTTCGCGGAAATCGGCAAATTGGGCCTGGAGCTGCGTCGTATTACCAAGCGGATAGTGATCGATGTCAACTCGGCGATATTCAGCGAACATGTAAGTGGAGCGAGCGTTTGTGAGTGAAACGATTAGCAATATGACATTTGCAGGACACCATCTTGGAGGAGTGCGAGCGGGTGGTGGAGCAGTACTGGAACCTCAAGGACGAGACCAAGAACGCCGACTTTCAGTCGCTCTCCAAGAAGATCAAGAGGAGTCCGTATAACCAGCTGCTGATGAAGAAGTTCATCCTCATCATGGAGGTTAACGACAGGCGCTTCTGCCAGCTGACCTTTGTGCTCAAGCGAACGGTGGGTCTTGGATACCTCCCCTTTTCTTTATAGACGTGGAGTGATGTAAGAATTTTCCGTTTCAGCTAAGCTTCCTGCTCCGCAAGTCAATGCAGTCGGAAATGTGGCTGAACTGGGCCTTGCACATCACCCAGCTTTATAACAAGTGCCGCAAGGTGAAGAAGCCGCCGGTTCAGGTGGAGGTTGACCCCCAGCCGGGTACCGAGGAGCAGGAGGAGGAGGAGCCCAAGCTGGGCGGCAAGAGGAAGGAGGAGATGCACGCCAATGTCTGCAGCAACATGTTTCCCGGCCTGCTTCTAACCCTTAAGCCAATCGACTTTAGCTTTGTCCTTCAGGTTGGAGTCTTCTTTGATCTTTAATAAATTTTTTCTTTTTCCCCTAGATCAAATAAAACTTCCGAACTTCTTTTAGCTTGTGGCCCAGACGCGGGTGGAGCAGAACGCCCTGGACCTCGTTTTCGGTCTGTTCAATATGGGCGAGCAAGATGCCTGGCGAGAACAACAGAACCTGGAGTCCACCTCATCCAGTCTGGAGATCCTTCGTACCCTAAATATCTCCTTTGCCGCTGGCGACTACCAACCGTATTGCGACTCCGCACAGGACTACAAGTCGATGCAGTTGCAGCTCACTGATGCGAGTCTCCAGATTCAGGAGCACGACCATCAAAGTTTGCGCTGCAAGCACACGGAGAGCTTTTTACAGAAGGAGCGCGTGTTCATTGCCCAGTTGATAGCCAAGGCCACGGAAATAAGTCCCTCTATTTTCGGTAAGTTCTTAAACGAATATAGCTCACGGGTCCTAGCTAATGTCCTCTAATCTGCGACAGATAATGGCAAGAAGGGCCCTGTGGATATTCAGGTGTATATCGTCAAGGGCTTGCGTCTGCTGTGGTCCTATGTGGGCATCATTTTAGATCACATCCTGCTGTGGTGGATAGATACACCAGTGTCCTGCTACCGCCTCACGCACATCGACTCCATTCGCAGCTGGCTTTACCATCAGAGTGTAAATGGTAATTGATATTTTTTGGTACATTAAATCTGTATTATCTGCTAAGCACTCCCTAACAATCCGCAGATATTCCCGAACCCGTTTTCTCCACCTTGCGTGGCATTGGCGAGATCTTGACTGGTTTCGTTTGCAATAACATCTGGGATCAGCTCTTCCGCCTCACCCTTATCTCTTCTAATGACACTAAGCGTCTGGTGGATGTGGTCGTAGACCAGTACCGGGATTGCCCTAAAAACGTAAAAGATCTCCAATTGGTTTTTCCAAATTAAAAAACATTTATGTTTACAGGAATCTGGTACTCCAACTGGCACCGTGTGGATCAGCATTTTTGCTAATCTGGTTAATCTGAGTAACCAGTACTTCTCGAATCTGGAGGCACACAATAACTCCAGCCTCCTGCCAGTGGCTGAGCAAATACCGATCCTACACAGACTGGATCACTCTGTGCACACAATGCGACTGTGGGTCACCGAGCAGGCAAAGCTGCTGTGCTGCGAGTGGAAGATGGACCGCTTTTTCCAGATCCTGGAGCACGATGTCAAGCTGTGCCTGAACGTCTTCATAACCTTTCAACTGCCGAAACTCACTGCCGACCTGAGCGATATCCTGATGCTGGTTTGTGTGGCCCTGCGCACCAAGCTCATCGCCGAAGTCAATGCCAATATAGACAAGCTAAAGGTTGGTCTAGTAGGACATACCGGACAGGTTTTTATAAATTTTACTTCTTTAGAAAACCACCGATGAGTGTGTTCAGATCCTGTCAGCGGTTTGTCGGGTCCTCAGCCTGGCCAACTTTACGCTGTGCTTTCCCTCCGCCAGCTTCTGGCAGCGCGAGGTGTACAACAACGAGGAGAAGAGCCTGTACGTGGGCTATGTGCTGGACGAGATCTACCTGCCCACCATTCGGGCCACAAAGGACATCGTCATACTTAAGCTGATCCTAAAACTCATTTGCGAGGCCTGGCTGGACTTCATCTACCAGAAGCGCATTCGGTTTAGCGTAAACGGAGCCGTGCGGCTGCTCAACGATTTTGACGACGTGCGGGAGTGGATCCTGAGCTGCACTTTGCTGGACGAACAACAGCTCGACAAACTGAGCAACCACGAGGTGCTTCGCATGTGCAAGGGTGTGGGTAAGATCCTGCTCCGAAAGCCGGAGGATGTCATTTCCATCACCCAGTCGCCCAAGTACGACAAGAAGGCTCGTAAGTTGCATATCAATTTCTATGAGAATTGCTCTGTGGTAAGGATGTGCTTTGTTTTCACAGAGGAATCCACCCAGGACACCCAACTGCCCTCGGAGATGTTCGTCTCCAACCAGAAGCACTGGCTGCAGCTGCGTGCCAGCGGAGGCAATGGCTTTCCCTTCCTGAAATTGTGCTGCGGCGATGCTGCCATGTAGTCTGTCTTTTCCGGGGGATACAAGTGTTTATTGTGTCGCTAAAATGCTTTACAAAAGTGAGGGGATGGTATTGAATATATGGATGTTATAATGAGGGCAACTATGGTTATGTTTCTTGGAAATCTCTCTTAGGCGGGCACCTTGCGACTGATGATCTTTATCAGCTCGTCCACGCGCTCGCTCTTGCCGGCAAATTGTTTTGGATGCGGTCCAATCATTTGGATGATCATGGGCACGTCTTGCGAGACCTAAAAAAATAGTGAAAAATAGGCGAAAGTTTGACAGCTGTCCATTTTGGATCTCGAATATAGGTCAATGTGTGTTACCTCGATGAAGCGGGCGAGGGCCTTCAGCGTGCGGAAGATCTGATCCTCATTGGGACTGCTCTGGAAGAACTGAAGAATTGCCATAGCCAGCTCCACGGCGATGTCATCGAAAACCTGTAGAGAAGCTCAACTTAACCTCTCTTCTTCTCTAGCAGTTGTAAAGCTTGTCTTACCACAGTCTTCACTTCCTTGATCGCAATATTGTAGAGGATCATGCTGCCAATATTTTTTAGCTGCGGGCAATTGGAGAGGATGCAATGTACGGCCACCTTTGTGGTTACTCGGATGTTGGAGATGGTTTGGCCATTGTACTCCCACTCGGAGATGTAGAGCAGCCATTCGGAGGGACCCAGATTCTCAAAAAGGTTGCACATCTATTGATACCAATATATAAATGAGTTAGCTCGAGGTGAAGGTTTGATTACTCACAAACATGGCCCAGGCCTGCTGCTCCTCGGGCGTGTGCTTGTCTATGTCCTGGGCGAAGTTCATCAGGGTGTGATCACGGCGATCCTGGTGCAGAATGATGATCACATCGTCTTTTAGGGCCGCGTAGGCCAAAGTGCGGATCATGTGTATCCGTGTGTCCGGGGAGAAGGCCTGAACGTCGCGCAGGACGCGCTGCACGAACACCAAGAAGTTGTCGCCCAGCGCCCAGGAGCCATCGTCCTCGATCAAATACTGATGCAGCTCCTCCATGGCCACCTCCTCCTCCTTGTAGATCTTGCCATCCAGCAGTTTCACTAGGCTCTCTAGTTCAGTCTTAATCTGCAGGCGGGTGAAACGATATCAGGTAAATTATTTTCGAGTTAGAGAATTACTTTTCTTTTATTGGATGGTATTTCTGTTACATCAATGTTTGTATGTAGCTTAAGCTTTAAAGTCAGGATATTTATATTGTTTAGTCATGGTAATGGACTTTAAATTATCTTGTTATTCTTTTAGAGCTTTTAATTATAAATTCATTCTTAAATGTATACAATTTGCTTTAAAAATTACAAGAAAAATGGTTTATTCTGCAATTATTTGATATTATGCACTATAATCATGTGTTTACAAAACAAATCGCATCTAAATTTATGTTTATATAACGTTATAGTCAAAGATGAACGATGTTAAATAATATTTATAGGTATTTACGCCGAAAATGTGGCTTTAATCAAATGTTTAAAGGTCAACAGTATGCAGTTCTATTAAATGTTTGGAAATTTGGGGGGACTAATTTGACTTAGAGAGCTTTAAGTACTGATTTTTATTTATAATAAGACATTCTTTTTGTTGTATTTGATTTAAATGTATATATAATGTTTCATTCAATTGAAATCTCAGTAATATATGTATTTAAATGCAATGACTAGTCTCTAGTGCAATGCACTGAACAATTTCCATTTTTGGACTTACGTCAATGTCTTTGAGGACCAGCGCCGGCTCGCGTGGAATCTCCTTCTCCTCCGTCGACTTGGAGCGCTCCTTGCCGTTCTGCGGCTGCTGTTGTTGGGCTGCGGGCTCTGACATCTTTGGTCTATTAATAGGCGGGTGAGGAAATTAATAAAATAAATTTCATACTTAAAAATAAATGTGTTTGGCTGCAGCAGCAGCAGCAGCAGTAGCCTTCGGCTGGCCATTAAATTGCAAGGCTTTTCACTTTTTATAACAAATTATCTTTTACGATCTGCTCACGATAATGGTGCAATTCTCAGCGCAAATTGCCGACTGAAATGTTTACAGTTTTCCGCTCGGGAAATATGCGAGGAATTTGATGTTTAATATAAACAAAGAAGCGGAAAATATAATTACGAGAAAGAGAAATAAATGCAAAAGCAGAAACAGAAGCCGGCGGCGACAATTGGCAAAGACAGGACAGAGGAAAAGTTGTCAAACCGAAGTGTGACAAGTAAAAGCTGAGGAAAACTCAAAATAGCCACGGTATTTTTAGGCCTTTACTTTACGTAGACAAAAACAAGGTACAGAAGATTCACGGCGGCAACACGAAATTGCATGCCATGTGATATAGGAATGGGGGATAACGGCCAAAGCGGCTTTCCACGAATTTTCCGGTGTCCGTAATGCAATCAAGTCAGAGGTAAATCAATTAATTTGCATAATTTATGGTTAATTAAATTACTCACATGCTATTTTAGTAGAAGTGACACACAAATTCCTTCACTTTCGACACCAATATTCAAGAAAAACAAAAGCCAAATTCAACTGGGGCACAACTTATGTATATATTTTCTTGCTGCGATGCGTTTTGTTTATTCAGAATTCCAAAGATGAATATATATACAGTATGGTTATTTATTTTTCCAGACCTACTTAATTGGTGGCGGCGTTGCAACTTGTGTGGAACTTTTCATTGAATTCCGGGGTCGAGAAGCACGCGAACCGTTCCTACGGAGAATTGACTCGAAATTGCCTCTGTTTGTGCCGAAAAAAGTCCCGTCAACGTGTGGGGAAAACTTTTAGGAAAATGCACACACTTGCTCAGCGAGTCTCTGAGTCCCCTGTGCTCGTATGAGCAGTGATCTGTGAGTGTGTTTTCGGCTATTTCGTATCGGGTCTTTATAAATAGACACACTCGTGTCTCAGTTCGCTCTCGAGCAAGTGTAGCCAATGTAGCCGTCACACTGACAGAAACCAGGAAAGTGTTCTGGCAGCAACAGAACCACTAATCTTTAAGAGACTCAAACTTTAAGACGGATTTGCAGCGGTTTTTATTACCATCGGCAAGGGCAAGGACCATACCGCAACCCCGTCAATGCAATGTCGATTGCTGGGGATTGCTGGGTGCCGAGGTCAGGGGGGGTTGGGACTGGGGCTGGGAAAGGTCGGGAAAAACACAAAAAGCTATTAAGTGGCAACCAAAACACATTCCACGCTCAGCCGGTGGTCCTGTCACATTCTGAAAGCAACAAGTCTCACATTGCGTATCCGAGATGTTGACCAAGGACCAAGCTAGCGCTCCTTTCATTCGTTTTCGGAGTGTTAAGCCCGTCGGTTGCCAAGTGGAGAAAATCCCAATTAAAACTATTCTCCACCATGAAAAACTCCTTTAAAATCTGCCTGAGACTGCTCAGCCTGGTCTTCGTTTGTGTGAGCTGGTGTCAGGCCTCGCTCGAAAGGGAAAACAACAATGAAGTGAATAATTTGTCAAATGTGAGTCTTCTGGGAGTCAGAACTAAGTGCCAGATATGGTGAAATTGGTCGAATTTCAGCAAACGTAATGCGAGCTATAATCTACATTGATAACTACTTTTTTTCCCGTTGCAAGTCTACAAAGAAAAACGAAATTACTTTCTCCTTAGTCATTTTTTCCTTTAAAATATAATAAATTCAAATTATCTTGTGTCAAATTCATAGATATCACTTTTAAAATTAATTTTAAGAAATTAAATATTCGATTAACAATCTCCCTATTTTCCCTTTATAATATATTTTTGGGTACTTGCTTAGTAAATAATATGTTATTATTTGTTATATTCCCTTATTTCTCTATTTTTACTCAGCATAAACTAAGTGGCGTTATACAATGGAAATACGAAAAGAGACCATTTTGCAATGCATTCACAGGTAATTTGTTTGTAAATAAATGTTTTATTAGTTACTAACCAGGAATACTTCCAGGATGTGGCCGGAAACGTACCTCGTATCCCTCTTACCCGCCCTTCTCGCTGCTTAAGCGCAATGAGATCGAGGAGAAGCCCTATAACAATGAATACCTATCTGAGGGATTGAGTGATCTGATCGATATTAACGCCGAACCAGCTGTGGAAAATGTGCAGAAGCAGATAATGTCGCAGGCGAAGATCTTCGAGGCCATCAAGGAGGCCAGCAAGGAGATATTCAGGCAAAAGAACAAGCAGAAAATGCTGGAGAACGAGCAGCAGATGCAGCGACAGGAGGAGCGCGAGAACATTTAAATACCAATTATCGGGATACGGATATTGCACAAGCCCTTGGACTGGACAGTTACCACACTGGTTTTGTTATTGTAAATAATGTCTTTATATACGACTCTTTGAATTGCAAAAGATTCTGAGGCACTGGCAAGCATTAAATAAAAATTGTTAACTTCGCTTCTGTATTGTTTTCTACTGACTAAAAGCTTTAAAATGTAGTATTACAAATTTCTTATTTTATAGCCTTTACTTGGATTTATGGAGAATGCATATTTATGGACTAATCAACGAAATTCAAAAACATTTGGTATGGAATTTGACTGTGTTTGGTGCCTATAAGTGGCATTAGTAATCAGTAACCGCGGAGCGGACTCCCCTATGTTATCACTGGGAATATATGATAGCGATAAGAGGTCTTGGCCATTTAAATGGTTTTGTTGAGTACATTTCTGAATAACTTCGGTTAAGTGCACTCTTTTCGCATAATTAACTTTTAGTTCTTCTTCCTACAATAATATGATACGATTATTAGTTTTCCATCTTTATCGGTTTATTATCGTAAATAACTAATAATTATTTAATATACAAACTCTGTCTTATTGATTATAGGCTAGACTATATAGCGCAATACTTGCACATCGTTAAGAAATCTGAACTTATCAACTAACATTTTTAACAAATACATTCTAAATATTTTCCGAAGGTCATAGCACAGAAAATTCATTATTTTTATACCCTTGCAGGGTATTATAATTTCAGTCAGAAGTTTGCAACGCAGTGAAGGAGACGTTTCCGACCCCATAAAGTATATATATTCTTGATCAGCATCAACAGCCGAGTCGATCTAACCATGTCCGTCTGTCCGTCTGTCCGTCTGTCCGTCCGTCTGTCCGTCTGTCCGTCTGTCCGTCTGTCCGTCCGTCTGTCCGTTTCTACGCAAACTAGTCCCTCAGTTTTAAAGCTATCTGAATGAAACTTTGCATATAGTCTTCTATATACTCTCACTGCTATATATGTCGGAACGGGCCGGATCGGACGACTATATCATATAGCTGCCATACAAATGTTCGATATATTTTTAGAAAAAAAATTATAACTTTGCTGTTTTTCAACATTTTTGCACCATTTTTTAGATATGGCCATTTTATATTATTTCAAAATTTTGGTAAAAATTTTATGAAAATCAGACGACTATATCATATAGCTGCCATAGGAACGATCGGGAAATTAATAGAAAAAAATTATAGATTCGTTGTTTTTCAACGTATTTTCATCTACTCCGGGATATAAGCTTATTTTATTATTCTAGAATTTTGGTATAAATTTCAAAAAAATCGGACGACTATATCTTATAGCTGCTATAGGAACGATAGGGAAAGTAATAGAAATAATTATAACTTCGTTGTTTTTCAACGTATTTTCATCTACTTTGGGACATGAGCTTTTAGTATTATTTCAGAATTTTGTTAACAATAATTTGAAAATCGGACAACTATATCATATAGCTGCCATAGAAGCGATCCGTAGATGTAGAGAAAATCTAAGGCTGGGAATGTAAAACTGTAACTGTCAAACTGTAAACAATAAATATAGAAAAAATGTTATGAAACTCTGTTTAGTGTCTGTTTTCGGCATTATAATTTATAATATAAATATCAAAACCAATCTGCAAGGGTATACAAACTTCGGCGTGCCGAAGTTAGCTTCCTTTCTTGTTGGAATTACAATGATTAATATTAAGCTCTTTCTGCGTTTAATTTATAAGCAAACATATTGCAACAATTGTGAAGGGGAACAACACTTCGGTTTTCATCATTGAAAGATAGATAATAGCACTCAACAGCTGGATTATAATCCATATAATCAGAGTGAGCTTAATCACTAATTGGGCGGCATTGTATTTCGCCAGTTTCAGGCTGATTTGGGCACTCTCTTGGACAAACGGACACGCACTCCATGCTTGGGGATGAGGGCGATGCCACTGTTTTCATACTCCAAGTCCCGCTTGCTCATCACTTCCACATTGAAGTTCTGGAGAATCTTAACAATTGCCAGCTTGGAATTCACGCGACCCATCCTCTGGGCAATGCAGATCCTTGGACCTTCACCGAAAGGCATAAATCCCGTAGAATCGTAGTTGCGACTTTCCTCGCTAAAGCGATCTGGGTCATACTTCTCCGGATCGGGGAAGTACTCGGCGTCTCTGTGAATGCCGTACAGGGAGATTACCACCGGAGTGCCCTTCGGGATGACATGATTGGTGTCGGGCACCGTGTAGTCCTGGGTGCATTCGCGATTCAGGATGGGAAGTCCAGGATACTTGCGCATTGTTTCCTGCACGCACAACTCTAGGAACTCCATCTTCTGCAGAGCATCGTAGGTGATCTGTCCACCGTTCTTGGCCAGCGTTTCATCGACCTCAGTTTGCAGACGCTGGAGGAGCTCGGGGTACTGAGCGAGCTCAAAAATGGTGATGGCCGCCGTCGAGCCGGTGGTCTCCTGACCAGCGATATAGAATATGAAAGCCTGGGCGGTTATGGTCTCCAGAGAAATGGACTTGATGTGGCCTATAAATTTATAAATTATGAACTTTGTAATTTTGGAATTATTTATGAACTCACCATCGGGGGTCTTTTGAAGACTGAAGCATTTCTCGTCATTCTCTTCTACCTTGCCGGTATTCCTGAGTTGAATGAGGAGCTGCAGCAAATCCTTGCGTACGATGCCATGCTTCTCACGATACTCAACGGTTTCCTTGACTATCTCCAACATGGCCAAGCCCACCGGGTTTTTGAGACCCATCCGGAACATAGTCTTGGCAATACTGTAGGAATAAACCTTGTAACAAACTTGATCAATCCCAATAGTTGGGAACTTACGATGGCACCAGGAAGATCATCATGCCGAACAGGGCATTAAATCTGGTATTGCGTCGTGTAATCGTCACCAGATTGCGGAACTTGTTGTCCGGATTTTCGAAGCTGTTCACGTCCAAGCCGAAGATGGTAGACGCAATGATATCGATGGCATAGTTCTGCATCACGGCCTTTAGGTCCACCTCCGAGTAGCCCTGCTCGGGCAGCTTCTTTTGCAGATGGGCTACCATTTTGTCACCAATATCTTCGGAGGTGGGAAACATGGCCTTCAACTTGCCGGAGGTGAAGCAAGGCGACAGCATGTGGCGCATGGAACGCCAGCTCTGACCTCGCAGTGCGAAAATGCTGGCCGACAGCGGATCTTTATCCTCATCCACATACACCCCGCGATCGTGGAAGCTGGCAAAATCCTGGGCAAGCACACGACGGGCCAGGGCGGCGTCGCGTACCAAGACACCCGGACGGAAGAGCAGATAGATGCCCACAAAACGCTCCTTGCTCTTTAGGTAGATATCGTGGATGGCCAGGCCCATGTTCTTCTCACGCCTCCAGACGCTGTCCAAACAACCGAACGGAATCCCCGAACCCTTCTCTACTGGAAAGCCACGGCGCTCCCAGAACTCGTAATGGTTCTTCAAATAGAACCAAGCCAAAGTCAAGAGAGACAAGGCCAACAAAATTAACGAAAACATTATCAGCGTCGATTGGAAATTCTATAAAGAACGTAATTCGAACACAGCTAATACGAAACTGGCAACTGGAGAGCTGGGTTTCCCATTTATAAGGCGGAGTACCCCCTCTCTTTTTTGCGACGCTATTCTCTTTCAATAATTATTATTGCTGATGTAGCCTCACAATCAATGTTCTCTTCAAGTAGTCTAGTATGACGTTATATATGGGAATCATTTGTGAAATAAGAGACTTGCAAGATTTAAACTTTGTCTCCACAGGAACGAGTTTTACGTTTGGATCTCTTTCCATTGCGACTTAATTCTACAAATTTACAGAGATAAAAAAAGATGTAATATAGGAGAATTTCTGTAGTAGTTTTAAACTTTAAATATCCCACTTAAATATAAATAAAAGAATTGCGGTATGTTTGGTTTGAAAGTTTTAAAATGTAAAATATTGTCTAATAGAAGTTGAATGATCTCAACTTTTTCTATAATTTTGTTTTGGTTGAAAACAAACAAAGCAAATTAAACCTTGTGAAATCAAACAGAAAGTGTTGAAATTTATTGTGATTAAAAATACTACATTTGTAGTGTCTTAAATTAGGTATGAGGTCATTTTTATTGTATAAATATTATAATTTCATAATTTAAATTAATAGGAAATACAATTTTTGTATGATTTTATGTTTTTGTTTAGAATTTATCCGATTTGTTTTTGAATCGCACTAGACTGTAGCGTTTTTTCCTGCCAATGAATAATTTTTATATTTTCGAAATTATAAAAGAAATGCCCAAAATCATTTTGTATCTTTGGCGTCTATAAGTGGCATTAGTAATCAGTAATCACACAGTGGCTCCCCTATCACTGCAAATATATGATAGCGATAAGGAGACTTAACTATTTAAATGGTAGCGTACACTTCGAACTAACTTTGATGAAGTGCACCGCTTTAATATAATTAACTTTGATAAAATACCTAAACTCAAACATATGTTGACTAATTATATTTCTTGTTTGATGTATTACCATTTTCGATGTCATCGATATTGTTGTAAAACCATCAAATCTTCTAGATATGCTTTTAATTAAATAGTTATCGTCTAATACATAATAAGTTGACTAGAAACTCTGGTCAAGCTCGTCCAGCTCAGGCTGATTTGGGCACTCTCTTGGACAAACGGACACGCACTCCATGCTTGGGGATGAGGGCGATGCCACTGTTTTCATACTCCAAGTCTCGCTTGCTCATCACTTCCACATTGAAGTTCTGGAGAATCTTAACAATTGCCAGCTTGGAATTCACGCGACCCATCCTCTGGGCAATACAGATCCTCGGCCCCTCTCCGAATGGCAGGAACCCTGTAGAATCGTAGTTGCGACTCTCCTCGCTGAACCGATCTGGGTCATATTTCTCCGGATCGGGGAAGTATTCGGCGTCTCGGTGAATGCCGTACAAAGAGATCACCACCGGAGTGCCTTTCGGGATTACGTGATTGGTTTCGGGCACCGTGTAATCCTGGGTGCACTCGCGATTCAGGATGGGAAGGCCGGGATACTTGCGCAAGGTTTCCTGCACGCACAGCTCTAGGAACTCCATCTTCTGCAGGGCATCGTAGGTGATCTGCCCACCGTTCTTGGCCAGCGTTTCATCGACCTCGGTCTGCAGGCGCTGAAGGAGCTCGGGGTATTGGGCAAGTTCAAAAATGGTAAAGGAAGCCGTCGATCCTGTGGTCTCCTGTCCAGCTATGTAAAATATGAAAGCCTGAGCGGTAATGGCCTCCAGGGAAATGGACTTAATGTGTCCTGTAGATAAAAAAATCAATATTTTAGAAAAAAAAAAGTTATTTTGTTATTAGCACTTACCATCGGGGGTCTTTTGAAGACTAAACGACTTCTCGTCATTCTCTTCTATCTTGCCTGTGTTCCTAAGTTGTATTAGGAGCTGCAGCAGATCCTTGCGCACGATGCCATGCTTCTCGCGGTACTCCACGGTTTCCTTGACTATATCCAGCATGGCCTGACGCACCGGACTCTTGATACCCAACGAAAACAGAAACTTGGCAATGCTGCAAGTAAAGAAACAATTAGATCGAGAAGCTTTAGCCCAGTAGATGGAAACTTACGAAGGCACCAGGAAGATCATCATTCCGAACAGGGCATTAAACCTAGAAGTGCTTCGAGCTAACGTCACCAGGTTGCGGAACTTGTTGTCTGGATTCTCGAAGCTGTTCACGTCCAAGCCGAAAATGGTCGAGCCAATTATGTCAATGGCATAGTTTTGCATTATCTTCTTCAGGTCAACTTCCTGGAAGCCCTGCTCGGGCAGCTTCTTCTGCAGATGGGCAACCATTTTGTCACCTATGTCCTCGGAGGTGGGAAACATGGCCTTCAACTTGCCGGAGGTGAAGCACGGGGACAGCATATGTCGCATGGAGCGCCAGCTCTGACCTCGCAGTGCGAAAATGCTGGCCGACAGCGGATCTTTATCCTCGTCCACATACACCCCGCGATCGTGGAAGCTGGCGAAATCCTGGGCCAGTACACGACGGGCCAGGGCGGCGTCACGTATCAAGATACCAGGACGGAAGAGCAAGTAGATGCCAACAAAACGCTCCTTGCTTTTTAGATAGATATCGTGGATAGCCAGGCCCATACTTTTTTCTTGCCTCCAGACGCTGTCCAAACATCCGAACGGAAGTCCAGAGCCCTTCTCCACTGGAAATCCACGACGCTCCCAGAACTCGTAATGGTTCTTTATATAAAACCATGCCAATGTCAGTAGGGACACGGCCAGCAAAACTAACAAAAACATGATCAGCGTCGATGGGAAATTCTTTAAAGAACGTAACTCGAACACAGTTAATATTCAACTGGACACCGAATAGCTGGGTTTCCTTTTTATAGTACACCCTCTCTTATTTGGCACTATTCTCTTCCGATAATGAGTGCTTATATACATAGCTACTCAATCAGTATTCTCTTTAAATTATCTATTATAGTATGACATTATAAAAAGGAACCAGTTGTGAAATAAGCTAAGAGATTTGCAAATATTTTGCTTTGTTACCAAGGTAACTTGTTTTAAGCTCTTTAAAACTCTTAATTCAAATAAATTTGTTTTGATCTAACATTGTAAACACAATATAAATCTATAGTATGTCTAAGAGTCTGGTACTCTCTTTTTCGTTTAATATTGCAAAGCTCTGTTTTATATAATTAATAAGCAGTTTCCAATCAAGTGCCGGCACTACGACCTTTATAAAAAAGAAGTTGTAAGACGATTAATTCTATTATACATAATGTGAGGCAAAAATAATAAAACAGTAATGGGAGATTTTTTTATTTTAAGTGGCGGCTATGTTTAAAGATAAGCAGTGTGAATACTAAAGAATATCTATTCTTTTGTTATTAAAAATATTTACCCAACTTTGACCATGTCAAAAAACCCGTCATCTTTATGAAATTTTTTATCAATATAAAGTCACTTTTTTAACATAGTTAGTCATAAATGTTAGGCTCGTTAAAAGATATACTTTTGAATTTATCTAATGAAATTCATTGAAGTGTGTGAACTATTTTAAAATGTATTTTATTAAATTAGTAACAGGTTATCTCATAATCCACGACATACTCATGATAGCGTTCTCAATCGTTGTTTGTTTATTTTTAATTAGGGAAAAATCGCTTCCTTTTTTATCAGCATTTACTTTGATTAATTATAAGTTTTTAAGTTTTGCGCAATAATTAAAGCACAGTCATCACTACAGGCACCCATGACTGTCTTCCTGATTCAGTTAATTTTATATCAACATTTCCATCGATCCATTAAACAGGTTTATCAGGTTTATAAGGCAAAATCATCATCTATAATTATTTTCCATACTTAAAAAGTATTATCCCATATGTAGAGTGACATTGGCAGTTTTTGGACTTTCCCCGATGGTGCTATTTGTCATCACCCGAACCGAAGAGATGGTCCTGCTGATGCTTGTCCTGTGCAGCTCGGCAGGATGCTGGGCGCTGGACCAGGGCTCGAAATTAAAATGGAATCCCTCCAGATCTTGACAGTTGACATGGGGATTACCCTCCTCGCGCAGACGTTGCATGACATGCTCTCGCACTTGCTTTATCCCATCCGAATTGCGGCAAATAATGGCAGCCAAACTGGTTTTGTAAATCTCCGCCAGTTGAGCTGCAGATAGAGATATTTAAAAGAAATTAAACCTATATTAAACAAAGCTCAAATCATAAGTTATAATTTCTATCTGGAATTGAAAGAAACCTCACCTTTGGTGAACCTCTGCGGACCCATCTTCCGCTCATACCAATGGGAGTCACCCAGCTTGATGCGTAGGAACTGATCGGACACCATGCAACTCAGCAGCGGTCCAAAGATGGCTCCTTCCATTGGAGGCTCACTGAGAGCCCCCGTGTAGACGTCCACATCTTGCGGGGAACTAAAAAAAATGCATTAGATTAGCTATAGATCAATGGAAATCAGAGTTACCCACTCGTAAATCTGCCTTATCGACTTCAAGGTATCGTTGTCCACTGCCTGGGCCATCTGTTCCCACGTGTCCACCGCTGGCAAGCGACAGTGACGACGGAAGACCGGATACGATGGAATCCCATGATCCCGTCCCCTTTGAATATTCAAGGAGACCAGATCCAGTCCGCAAAGGGGCAGTTTATCTTCAGCGGTACCCTCGAATAGCTTTTGGGTTACCTCCAAAGAAAAAAAGCGATCAACTTGCATCACCGGTGTATTGGCCGCTGTCATCAAAGCATGATCAATGCCATGCGCCGCCCACAAGGAAAACGGATTAAAGAGCATCTTGTGGAGCTCCACGGCCTCTGGACTGCTATTGCCCCGCGAGATGTTAAACAACCCGGGCAATAGGGTGTGGGCGAACCTGAAAGCGGCGGCAGCGAAGCAATTAGCAATGCTTGGATCCACCTCCGGGTCATAGGTGTCCGGTGCACTTAGATTGTGCTTAGCCGGTAACAGACCCTTTGCCTCGCTGAGGTTGCGTCCCAGGAGCACTGGTAGGAACTCATTGTATGTGATGTGAGCCATCTGAGCACCTAGGATTTTACGCGCCTCTTGGTACAAGCGCTCGTCCTCCCAGTGGGGATTCTGCTCATGCAGCCTTCCGGCCAGGTAGTTGTGGTGCCTGGCCCACAGCAGGTGCATGGAGGTGAGCAGCAGATTCTCGTTGGCTCGATCATCACCAGACTCGAAGCAGTACTTGCCCTGGCGCGTCATCTGTACCCGGTTGCAGCCATCCGTCGGATTGGAAGAGATGGGCAGCAGCTCCCGCCCATCATCTGTGAGATACATTCGCAGCGTGCCGTTGATAAAGCTACGTAGTTGATTTTGTCGCTGCTCCAGGTTACCGTAGACCACGGAGGCATCCAAAAAGGCAGTGGCCTGATTGAGCTGCATTCGAGGCCCAAATCTTCCCGTGGGCGCTGGAGCAGATCTTACAAAGTTCATGCAGGTCAAGTTGTACTGCTGGTAATAGGGATCGTCGGGCAGGATCTCCACCGGAAAGCACTCCGGATGCTGTTCGCGGGTGGCGGGCACACAGCAGTCGATGGACTCGCCCTCCTGCGACGTGGTCAAGGAGGTGGCCGTGATATCGTGGTCCATAAACTGACCAAACACCGCCAGCATCACAGTGAAATTTGAGTCCGTCTCATAGCTGGAGCGATGGATCTTCAAGGAGACCTGTCGAGCCGGCGGCAGGCGGCCGTGGTGGCTAGCCCTTGGGGCGGCAATGCCATCAGCATAGTCCGGTGAAACCATGCGGCGGTAGGGCACCATGGAGGCTCCGTATGTCCGAGGATGCTGCTTGTTATTGCACACTCCTGTGGATCGTCTATACCGGGCATTGAAGTCACAGTCCAATCTAAGAACTGTGGGATCGGGCAGGACGATCCGTGGTCCCCAACCAATATTGCTGCGACCCGGCTGCTTTGTGTAGTTCAGTCTCCTGGCTATGTCCATGGTGGCTTGGTTCTCCACGTAGCCACGACGTGCCAGTTTCCGTGCCTCTGGGTTAGTGCTCAGGGAGCGATAGTGCCGGAACGCAGGCGTATTCACTTCGTTCGGCTGCAGGCCCTCCTCCAGAATCTCCCGATCACCCAGCGCCTTGATACCAGCACTAACCGCCTGGGCGCCATCACTGTGACCCAGTGCAGCTCTTTTCAGAGCCCAATCCGCCGCCGGCTCGTCTGGCAGCGGCCTGTTGGGCGGCACTTCGATTTCCGATCCATTTACCACAAAGAAGAAGCTGGGACCCCCGTCAGCGCCGCCAAGGGAGTCGCTGAAGACCAGGGCCAAGCAAAGAGCGGCAATTACAATGACTCTGCGGCAGGAAAGTGAAATTAATTTGTGGTTTAGTGTTTTGCGGTTGATCGACGACTAAACGATTGCAATGGGGGAAGGCTATTAAATAACACGGGGAGGGAGGTAGGGCCAACGGATTTCTTACTGTTTTACAAATTTCTCTTTGAAAGTTAGCCACCATTGCACCCTTAACTGCTTAGATTAGCGTTAGACGCAAATGCTACATGTGTACGTTTTAATAGTACAAAATAAAGTATATTAAAATCGTTTATTATTTTTATTATTTTTGCCAAGAACTATAATTGGTGCAAATGTTGATTCTGAGCATTTCTCCGAATTCAAGATAATTAATTTCAAAATCGAGTTGGCAAGAACTTGCACTCTTATATTACGAAATCTGTTTTAAAATATGGTAATTCTTTTTAATATTACTAGATAGTCAACAAAGATTTTTAGAGAACTTTTACATTAATGGACGCGGTTGACATTTCTGAAGAAAGCCCATATAACAAAGAGTCACTTCAAGTGATTTAAAATATGTTCGAGAAACCATTTTAGCTGCCTCTTTAACGACAAATTTCAGTGGCAATTGGTTGTATAACATTTCAGGGGTCGTTTCACGAAGACGACAATGTCTGGAACCAAACTCCGGCCCCTCTTTAAATACACAACTTAAAGCATATTGGGAGCTTAAGGAGCCACTTTGGCACTGCACGCTTAAAAGTTCACAAAACCAAAATATCCACATATTCGAAATAATAAAATGTCCACTCACATAAATGTGATGCCCATGCAGCATTGAAACTGCCGCATTTTGTTGCGACGCGAACGCGGATTAACGCCACCGGGAAAAACGTGTTCAGGTCCTTGATACGGCGGTAGGAGCACATAACCGGAGCCGCCGGCAGCGGTAAGCGGCGTTGTTTCGTCCGTCATGATCAGAGCTCAACTGATGCGCTAAACAGATGCGCGGTAAATGCAGCTAGCAGAGCTTCAGCCCAGGGCGACTCTAGAGTTGCGTCGGCACTTGGAGGGCTTCCGACACTCCGCTGGCCGCCACACTTCAGATACTTTCGCCTCTGACAAACTTGGCTTATAATATAATATAATGCCAGGCAGCAACAAGCAACAAAGAACACTAGCCATCATCTTGAACTCTTAACGTAAGCTTTAATAATTGACAAATGCGGGCAATGTGATTAAAGTTCTCTATCCTCGGACTGCTTGAACATGTCGGCCACATACTCGTAGGTCAGCTTAAGCAGATATTGGAACGGTTTCTGCTGCGGCAGATCACCCAGCTCCGAGCTCTCCAAGAAGTCCTCCAGGGGCGGCAGGTAGCTCTCTGCCTCCTGGCCCATCAGCTGCGAGATTTCGATGATCTTGAAAAAGAGCAGCTTGTGCATGTAGTCCACTCCGTTGTTAGCATCATAGTCCGTCCAGTTATCGCGTTTAATGGCAGCACACCAGATTTTGTGCTTCATGTCGTAGGGGTGTTCCACGTAGGTCAAAAGTTCCAGGGCCTTGCGGAACTCCACCTCCGTGGCAGTATCATTTTCCTCGGCTATAATCAGCTATGGATAATCGAACGTTGTCATTGGTTTGTTGTTGTTTACTCAAGACTAGACAGCACTTACGTTGATAATCTCCTCTGCCTTGAGCACCTTCTGATCCGCGGTATCGAAGCCAAAGTTCTGCAATACATCTTGACCCAAATCCGCCTGATATTCGATCAGGTCCAAGTCCACATCGATCTTATCCACCTGGGCCGTCAGATCCGAATCGGGTGCCGCCAAGGCGGCCAGCTTGGCCAGCGACAGCATGGACTTCTTCCGCGCCACAAACTCAACCTCACATTGGGCCAGCTCGTACAGCATCTTGGCCGCCCGCTCGAAGTCGCCGTTGAATATCAACTGGATCCAGCCCAAGGACGGGTGGTCGCGCATGAACTGCGCCAGCGCCGTTGGGTTGTTCTTGAAGCGATCGAAGACCTCTCCATGGCGATTCTGGCGCAGATGCCAGTTAATGGCGAATTGCGAGAAGTTGTATTCCTCGTACTTGCGCGTGTAATCGTCCAAACGATCGTTGTCCTGGGTCTCATCACATATTAGCACCAGGCTGCGGAAGTCTAGATACTTTTCTGCCAGCTTGGCGGCGTACTCATATTGGCCATCCTTGACTGTCGGTGAAATGAATCATTTAGATGTATGTATTTATATTTAAGACATCATTTACTCACTCAGTAAGGAAATGAGTTCGCGCCGCTGAGACTCAAACTGCTGCTGCAGGACGTTAAACTTCTCCGTGTCGCGAACGCTCTCCAGGTAATTCTTTCGCCCGTCCAGCACGAAATCGACCAGCTCGAATATCTGTTGGTACAGCTGCTGCTTCAGGTCAGTCTCGCTGACGCAATGACCGCAATAGCACACACTTATGTCAATGAGGCGGGTAAGTGTGTCCCGGACTCCGGCCACGCCTGACATGGCCGTCCAAGGCAGGTTCTCGTAGGAGGCCAATTTGTCATTGTGCAGCCTAAAGCTATTGGCGTGCTGCTCCCGATACCTGAGCACCTCACTGAGCGTGTCCAGGACAATGGAGTTAATGTCGCTGATGGAGTGGGCCACCAACAAGGAGGTCTGGCTTTGGCCGGCAATCCGTTCGTCGGCAATGTCCGCGAGGGCCTCGAACACGTTCTGAAATTTGCTTAGCTTCACATAAAATATATCCTGGTTGGTTAGGCTGCCCTGAGGCTTATCCCCCCATCCGGCGACTGTGGCATCAATGGCCTTCTCAAGCAGACTGGGCATTTTGTTTTGCAGGGTACGTAGGGCGAGGGCAGCTACTATCTTCTCACTTAAATCGGACAGTATAAAGCTTGTTGGCTTCAGTATGTTGCTGCCACACGGAATGGCATTGAGCTAGAAGTCATAATACATTAATATTGAAAGACTGGCCTCGAGCACTTGCATCTCACCTTCTCCCAAACGCCACTGGAATGTAAAAATGCTATAAAATGCTGGAAGGCAATGATCTTGTCCCTCAGTTGGTTTTTAATCTGCATGGAACGCGAGCTACCAAGGGCATGATGATGCATTTCCTGATCTCCCATGACCTCCTCCCAACGCGGATCCGATATGGGAAGATCCTCGGCCAGGTCTTCGGCAATGGTGATGACAATCCTATCCAGCTTAAGCGCATCCACGGGCGCTCCACTGGGATCGGGTTCAAATACGCTGCGCAGCAGCTCACCAACAATGCTCTTTACCATTGTGTTGTTGCGTTTCAGGTGGTACAGGAAAGCCGCCTTCAGGTGGCCAACCTCATCGCTCAGTTCGTTGTACATATCCTCGGGATCTAGCTCGAACATGTGCAGATTATTGGTGCTGCCCGATAGAGCGGACTGGTCGGGAACAGTGAAGCTGGCACTGAACGATGCGGGGGCGAACAGATCGGGGGTGTTGCAGGTGCTCATGTTCAGCAGCTCAGTGCCGTCGAAATCGCCCGGCGTAATGGAAACCAGGCCGTGGGTGCGGCTAAAGAACAGCGGCTGGTGATTGCAGATGGCTGCACTTAAAATGCGGTCGTCGTGCATGTGGAACTCAATCTTCTCCGCCTCCAGTTCCGCCGAAGGTCCACCATCATCGGACAAGTGCAGCGGGTATACCACCTTCGGCGTGTACAGATAGATGTGACTGCTAGCGACCACAAAGCGCAGGCTGAGGCAGTCCTCCTCGGTCTTGGGGCTAAAGAACTTGTTGATTTTTAGCGGCGTGAATGACTCCAGAAACATATTCTCAGCCTGGGCACTGACAGTCACTGGGAAAAGGGAACAAATTAAGTTATGGCTTCTCAAACCTTAAACCCATTCTTACCGAGAGCATAACACATTTGTGGAGCATGGGCAGTGTTCACAGCTCCGGCTAGAATGTAGCCCTTTCTCTTGACCATTTGGAAATCAAGCAGATGCAGCTCGATCTCCACATTGTCCGCTGGCAGACGGACATTCCAGAACTTGGTCTTGAACTCCTCGCGAATTCGGCGTACCACTTCGGCGTCTTCGTAGATCAGCTGCTCGGCATTTCCCTTGTTGGAAAGACACCATCGCTGGACGGCGCGATCCGACAGCAGGGCTAAAACAGTTTCCCCGTTTTCGGAATTGCTCTCGAGGCACATGCCCACCAGACTCTAATGAAAGCAAGCTTCAGTACTTCTATTTCCCTATATTGACCCGCACTCACCTGATCCTTGTCGCCTCCCGGGTTCATGCCAATCAGAATGGAGGCAAACTTCTTTCCAAAGCCACCCAGGAAGCTGGTGGCCGGCTTGATGATTTTGTGATGAAGCGTGTAGCGTCCATTTGTGAGACCCACCTTGAGGAACACCAGATTGCATGTAGAGGTCACGGCCAGGTAGCCATTCTGGTTGGGCAGATTAAGCAACTGGACAAACTCTTGGCCGGTCAAAATTGAGAGGTCGACAGAGTTCCCGTCATGGGCGATAGATGACCAGTAGCGCACGTCTCCGGTGGCGGAAACGGATATGCAGGACGCCATTTGCTGGCCAGCAGTGTGGAACACGCTTATAAGCTCACTCTTGTGTCCCAGGTCGCTGTAGGGCAGGGTCAACTCGCGGCTCTGGGCCAGGCCCCCAGTCCGCCTTGGCGTCAGGCCAGCTCGGGGTGGCGAGTTGGACTTGGTGGGGTCTTTGTACTGCCAGATTAAGAGACGCCGGCTTTGGACAACCTAAAAGAAGAGAGCATGAGCTGTAGTTTCTATCCCAGTCCAAGTTGCATCGCTCTTACCCAAGCCCAACCATTCTGGGCCACTTTTGCAGTGATTGTTGCGGCTCCGGAGCCGGGGAAGGTCAGGGCCTCGTTCACCGCCACTGGCAACGGGCATCCAAAGCTCTCCACCACATTGTAGTCGGAGCGTATGCCCGGAATGGACTGCGTCGAGCGCACCGACAGGCACAGCCGGCTGCAGAGTATTGACAGAGATTAGTGTACTCTTCCGATGGGGCTTGGAATCCCATAAATACCTGTTATTCAGTGCAGTCTTCTTGAGGCTTCCGTGCAGTTGGGCGCTGCTGGCGTTGCCGCCAAAAAAGGACTTGGGCGTGCTATCCGCCGCATTCGGCGACAGGGCATAAATCCGAGGGCCCGGAGACGACTCGCGCGGAACGCCGTACAGATGCTTTTGCAAGTCCCTGTCCATTTCTAGTATAATTCCTGGCAATTACTTATAAACAATGTTTTTGGATGGCGCCGGCATATGGTCCAGTCGATAACAGTACAACCGATAAAACCGGCAAACGTAGCTATCGATTGAGCGAAGTATTCTTTAACCGTTATCGATGTCACAGTCACTTCTGCCAATTTAGCGTTTTGTTCGCTAGATCTGCGGTTTTCAAAAGCAAAAAGCGGGTAAAATTCTTGGTATTTCCTTGACTACTGAAGATGTATCGCAATAGTTTACTGATATTTTCAGCCGCAAAGGGATTCATTTTTTAATTGTGGAATCATTAAGCCTAAAAATACGACTTTTTAAAAAGCTAAATCCCTCCAATGGCTGTAAAATAGTGCTTTTAAATCAGCTAGATCTAGCGGGCAAATGGCTAAGCTGTCATCTCCAAGCGTAATTCCATGAGAATTTCATAGATTTTCGTAAACAAAACAAAAGTTCTCCGGATAGATGGCCACCTGGACGCAAAATGAGCCGACAGGTGTCACCAAGCGCAGGCGTTGGAATCTGGAAGGTAAGCCCGAAAGCCAGGAGCCGTAAAAATGTCAAGAACATGGAAAACTTGTCCCTAGCAGATCGCGCCTCGCTGAACAAGCTGAAGCACCACATTGCAGAGGAGGGCTGTCCACAGGTGCAGTACGATCTGGCCAAGGAGCTGCTGGAGAATGCCATTGGTGAGTGGAAGTGGCTTTTGTAAGCAATTGAGCAAACTAAGGACTTATTGGGCTTTGCAGAACCAAATCTTGCCAAGGGCAATCAGAACCAGAAGGCCGTCAATTGGCTGGTGAGTGCTGCCCACAATGGACACGAGGATGCGGCGAAGCTGCTCCGGCAGTGCTACGAAGAAGGCAGTGGCATCACAGCGGACAACGCGGACGAGGTGCGACGCTGCCTGGCCATGACGCCGGGCGAGCGGGCGGCGAGAAAAGCAGCCCGGGAGCTCTTTGCCTGCCTGTCAAATGGCAACGAGCACATCACGCCTAAGCAGCTGGAACGCAAGATGCGGCGCATCTACAACCTGCAGCGTAAGCGCCGTCGACGCGACGATGATCGCTCCTCGTCGAGCAGCGAAGGAGAGCAAGAACAGGAGCCAGAATGCGAGCCACTTGAAGACACCCCAGCAAGCGGACTGGCCAACGTGGAGCGACGTCGCTTCATCACCGAAGCCAACTTGGTGTCGGCTGCCTCAAACTACAGTGCCGGCCAGATGCCGAGCGTGAACGAGGCCCTCACATTGTCCGTGCCGGATCCAAGGAGCCTGGATCACGTGCCATGCTTCTACCGTATGATCTTTCACCCGCTCGTCTTCTTCACCCTATTTTACCACCGTCTGCTCAACCTGATTGTGTCCATACCCGTCGTTATCCCGCTAAGTGTGCGCTGCAGTGTCCTCATGGCGCTTTCCTGGTGGAGCACCCGCCACACGCTGGCCCTGGGCAGCTATTACCTCAGTCTCGGCGTCATGATTTGGGCCACCTGCAAGATGCTAAAGACCAAGCAGCAGTTCGTGGACTTCCGGATCTGGTCGGGTCTGTTCCTCAGCTATGGGGACAACAACATCGAGGCGGACATTGCCGAGCAGAGATTCCTGCGCAACAACATGAAGCCGTACCTGTACTACTTCTGTGCCTTCATCTGCAACCTGATCGTGTATCCGTTGGTGACCGACGCCTGGCTGCCGCACTCGGAACTGACCATTGTGTCCGGAGCCCTGACCTTCCTTACAATGGGCGTCTCCATGTACGCGTCGTCCCATTTGTTTCCCGATTGGCTGGTAATCGTTTCCTTTGCCGTAAATGTGCTGGCCAAGTACCCGTACGAGATGGACGAAGTGGTCTCTTCCCGTTGGCGCTTCCTCGACCTGCGTGTGCCCACCTTCTCCTCCTTCGTCATCGGGAATGGGATCGAGTTCTGCCTGAACTGCCGCACCGCCTTGTACCTCTTCATTCCCCTGCTGCTGGTGATGATGGCCAAGCGATCCCGCTGGCACGGCGTCTACACATACCTCATACCGCACTGCGTCACGCTCAGCTGGCTACAGGTGAGCATTGCCACCTCGCAGAGCGCCACCATGTTTGGAGTGGTGCGGGCAGCCCTTGGCCTGGCCGGCATCGTTCTTTTCCTGCCACTGTTCGGTATTGTGGCACTCCTGGTGCCCGTCTTCATGGCAATCGACAGCTTGGGCCTGGCCAGCGAACAACTGCGCTGGGGCAGCACAGCGATCGCCTGCGGGCTTGTAGTGGTGCTATCCTGCGTCCTGGCCCTCAATCGAGCCACCCAGAAGTACATAACGATGTTGCAGATTATTATGGCCATCACCACTGCCTGCTTGCTGGTGTTCCCCTACATGACATCCAGCTTCAAGGACACGCCCCGTTTCAATGCCATGCCCAGGGTGGGTCTGCACGCCCTCTCGGAAGCGGATACGCTGCATTGGAATCGCTTCCATTCGCTTTGCGCCCAGCCGGTCCGCGAGCAGCCGAACAAGATCAAGGCCCAGCTGCGCTGCTCTCATCTGAATGGGCTGCCCGTCACTTGGGAGGGCAGCATCGGCAAAGTGGAGATCTCGAGGGTGTCCAATGTACTGGAGGACGTCATAACCAACTACCTGCCCGTGTGGCTGGGCCGTCTGCTGAGATGCGTGCACGGCGAGAACATCTCTCAGCACTTCAAGTGCGATCCGAAGCTGGACTCTCAGTGCGAGGAGTGGCGGAGTGTGATCAAGACGCTGAAATCGCAGAGCGGCAGCTGCACGCTGCAGCGTTGGAATCGCTACGAGTACGAGGTGCTGGTCAAAGTGGACAATGGCAAGGGAAGTCGTCTGCTAGGCCGACCCATCTCCACCGATGTGGTCCTGCGGGCTCACCATGACTTTGGAAACTTCACCCGACGCCTGAATGAAGGCGATGTTGTGCGATTCTACGGAACTCTGCACAATTCGGGACTTTTAGCGAACAGAGTTCAGGTGCTGCTGAAGACCATTGAGTGCGTGGATTGCCATTCTCCCAGTCTGGGCACGGCGAGCATTGAACGAGCCATAGCCTCCTCACCGATGGACGCTCGTCTCCAGGATCTGATGAGGGGTATCAAGTATTTGTTAAACGCATTGTTAAATCCTTTAATAACATTTAAGTAAACCCACAGAATTAAATCAAAGTCAAGGATAGTGAGTTGCTTGGCTGGCAAAAACAATGATTTTTTGGCGTATGATTAAAAAAATCTGAAAGGTTTTCTGTATTAAAAGTAAAATGATAAGAGTATTAGGATTTTTTTTATAACTAATCATTTATTCTAAAGGCAGATATCCACCAAGGAGTAACTGGATTTCTTCATGCTTAGTCAATAACATTACAAAGTAATAGTGAATTTCCCGGAGATCTTCAACAGTATTTGTACATATAATCGAAAGGAATACAGTTTGAATCGTATGACTCCGGAATTTCTATAGTCTCCCCACATTTTATGCCACCCGGCATCACAGGAAGTATATCTTGATCCGGTGACCCGATGGTGCCCACGATTAAGGGTATTTTAGGGAGCTCCAGTAACGAAGCCTCATCCAGTTTCCCTGACTTATCCAAAAAACTAGAAAGTTCAAAGTAATTGGCGGCAGTAGACCCTTCAAAAAGGCTTTCCTTTTCCCTCTCCGAAAGACAATGCAGCTCGCAGGACTCCAAGCGGGTGAACTCTGGTGAGTTAGTCAGGAGCTGGACACCGTGGAGCAACAACTTCCGGTGACTTACATTATCCACACCCAGCATGACAAGATCGGAGTGGATGATGAGCTTGCACTGGGCAATGCAGTCGTAGCCATGCTCCAAAAATTTTTCTACGTACTTTTCCATCGTCAGCAGCACCAGCCAGTCCCAAACAGCTTGTCGGCACATATTGGTTTTTAAATTTTCTAAACTCGTCCTCGAAAGTCCTCGGAAAATGCAAAAGTAGTTTTTGCTTCAATATTCGGCATTGACGTTTTTTGACATTTTGTCGCGCGCTGCCGTTAAGCGGAACTAGTTCGGAGCCTAAAGCTCAATAGTGTCATCGCTAATTAAATTTAAATCTGAATAAAAGCTTTTTTATTTTTTAACAAATTAAATTTAAAGTACTTAATAATTAAACGGGAAACGCTTTTCTTAACCAAATAACAATATATAACAATTTTAATTATTTAATCAATAACAATTTATTAACAATTTGACACAAAAGCAAGAATATGCTAGATTAATACCAAAATAAGCTTTTTTTTAGTTGCAAGTTTCATAAGCTTTTCTACCTTCAAATATGGTAGATATACGACAACACTGGTTCTCGGGAACAATATATAACAATTCACCCACCTGAGAGGCCTCACTTATCTCCCGCACGCACACAACCCACATCGCCAGCAGCGCCAACCATAAGCGACCCAGCCAGAGGAGGCAGACGAAGACCGTAGCAGATACCAAAAAAGGAATACACAGTGTCAGCATGATTGCGACTATAACGAAAAAGTACCAGAATGTGGTGATTAGCACGGGCAACATCATCAACACGGAGCTTGGCCAGCGCAAGTCCAACGAGGAGCTGTACGACGGCCTGCAAATAACGCTCCACAGCGACCCGAGTGAGGAGCGCGTGGTGGCGGAGGTACAGATCGACGAACAGCACGGCCGGGTGCAGCGGGCTACTCAGGAGCTGAACAGTCGCCTGACGGAGAACGGACGCAATGAGATTAGCATCGGCGCCAAGATATTCCTCAACCGCAACTCCACGGATTGCGTCAAGCAGGCGGTTGAGGCGCTGCTAAACATACTCAACGTAACGCATGTGGACAACGTGGTGCTAGCCTACCACCCAAACGCCAGTGCGGTTGCTAGCGCAACGTCAGCGGCCACAACAGGACCAGCCAAATCGCCCTGTTCCGAGGGGGGCTCTGCACCGGCCAGCGCCAGCAACTGGAGCCTACGCAACGGAACCGAGGGACTGTCGGAGCTGAAGGAGCTGTACCAGACCCTGGAGCAGTACGCACTCAATAAGCAGATCACGCAGCTGGGCATCGCAGATCTGGATGCAGCGGCGCTGGAGAAGCTTCACACAACCGCCCAAGTGGCCCCAACGATTGCCCAGGTGAATCTGTCCACCTGCTGCGTGGTGCCGCCGGAGCTGCAGGAGTTTTGCGCCGCCCACGACATCCAGCTGAATACGCACAGCGACCCGGAGCTGCTGCTGCCCGAGGAACAGTTCGCCGGACTGGCGCCCGGCTACACAATCGACTGGTCACTTCGCTACCAGGTGCACGTCCGCTGCCGCGGCGTGCTCACTGCCAAAGGCTACATTGTGGGCGCCTCGCGGGCCAGTGCTTAGGATTAATCCCGATCAGATGCTAGATTATAGTTTTTATGTTTGTATGTATGCTCGTATGCTGTGTGTAGTGGTGTACTTATTGTTTGTTATACAAAACCCCGATGAGGATTCGAAGCCGATCGATTGATTTTACTGTAAACGATTTTCAATACCTATTCTGAACATAAAACGTTTCAAAAACGGCAATTAGCTATTCAGTATTTTGTATTCTGTATTCTGTACTCTGTGTCACTTGCTTCCAGTTCCCAGCTGCCGGCTACCGTGGGTCAGAGAGTCGAACACGGACCGGTTTGGCTCGCTAGCTCGCTCGCAAATTAAGTATACGCCCAGTTGGTGTAATTTACATATATGCTGAGACCGCCGACAATTGCAAGCGCTCTTGGCGACTTCCTCCTTCCCCGTTGTGGCTTGTTATTTTCTCTGGCTAATCGCAGTCTAGGGCCTCCACTTCTGTTGGACTCAAATCTAATTAAAGGCAGACGCGTCTCGCCTGACGACCCATCCAGATCACGTGGCTTACCCCCGCTCGCTCGCTTACTTTTCAATACGACAAAAATAATAAAAAAGGGGAAGAAAAAACTGGCAGCCGATTAGAATATATATTATTTTTATACAGCGGCAGATATTTTAAATATATAACTGCTGATTGAGATGGTATCAGCGGAAGCCTAGGTGCAACAAGCAACGGTCATAAATCCAACACTAATAATAAATGAAAAGTGTTAACAAAAAAATGCGAGGCTGACGGATGAAACTAATCAGTTGGCTTTATTTACAATGGCCGTATACATCTGGAGTGAGCCAAGACTGGAAGAGATTGGGAGGTGGAGTGTGGAGGGCGGAGGCCCTGTAAGTGGCCCACTTAATTGACAGCTGGAGGAAGTTCGTGGACGGAGGAACGTGGACGAATGGTTTATTAATGAGCGCGACAAGAAACTAGGCCGAACGTGTAATTTAGGGCCAAAGTTCAAGGACCATGTGCCTGGTGTTCTAATGTGTGTATCTTAATAAAAGTACTCGAAAAAACCCCAATAAAAATAGATATGTGTTGGAATGGAAATACAAACAATAAGCACACTTATCGCTCTGGCTCTCCCACTAGAATGACTTGTATGTTTCTGAAATCCCCAACAGAACGAGAACGAGAGCGGGAGAGAGTGTAGAGTGTAGAGATAGCTGGAGCTGCTGCTGACTCAATAAAACAACTTGTTTCCCGATCTTTTACAGCTCCGGGCTTGTCCATACATGATGACGCATCGGCACTAGCAACATGTTGTCTCAATGCTGGCAACAAGTGGAGAGAAGCCTCTGGAACACAATCAAGACCCCCCCCCAGACACCGGGCCCAAGTGGAAACTGGTGAAATGTTGGGGCCATAAGGCGGCCATAATCAGCTCACTATCAGTATTAGTTATTTTTCCATTTTGTAAGACAAAACCGCATCCAAGTGCAATTGCTTGATAAGCCCACCACACACGGCGTATACGTAACCGGGCGGCTATAAACCATATCCATTATAAGAGGGAGAGCCCCGCTGCTGCTCATTCATCATTATGTTCCGGCTGAGCTGAGCTGAAATGATTCTGCACTTTCCGATGAACACAATTAGGGCGGGTATCCGGATTCCAGAACTTTCCAGAGCCCACCCACACCGACCGAGTCATGCAAAACAAGCATTTGTAATTACACCATAACAATTGTTGAGTCTTTATTAGTTTAATTGAATATTCTTTGAATGCTTCGTACTCATCTTATCCTTACCAAAGCTAGTTGCCCTCATGTTTTGCTCTCTTTTTTCCTGGTTTTTCTTCCTTTTAACTTTAATGTTTGATTACACAGTGAGTCGATAACATGAATGTACTGACATTGATAGGTTTCATCGTCTCTGTGTTATCTAAAATTACAGGAATTGTCTGCGTTGATGTGTTTTTCATGCTCATATTTCATCCCTATGCGGAAAGACTACAACATCTATCGTACAATGCTGGCGATTGGTTACATTTACATTTGGCCTTTGCATTTTTTGTAGGCCATTAACAATTAGCTACAATTAGATTGCATCGTAAAAACTAATCTCACTTGGATCGCGCAATTCAAAATAATACTCTGTATAATTTCGCTCCATTCGAATTCGAAAACCAAACGCTCTTTGCTGGGGACGGACGCTGTCTGACAATTGAAATCGCTTTTAATTGGCATTCCGAATTAACAACAAACTGAAACTGGCCACTCGTGCACTCAACTTGGAACTTGTTTACATTCGTTGTACGTTTCCATTCCGGGGACCATTACCATTCGAATCGAGGCAACTGGGTGACGGTGGCTGTGGCGGCAATGGCAATACAATTTTGAAACCGGGCTGTGGTGGCATTAACGCAAGGAGGGAGGGCATCCTGGTACGGGTATCCTTTTCTGGTCAAGCCTTAGCTACGTTCGTTGCTGTTGGTGCTGCGTGGAGCCCTAGGACTGGTAAACCATATAGTAAAAATGTATCAAAATCGTCTTTATCGCCATCTCGAAAAACAAGAGAAAACGTACAAAAATCGTTTGTTGGTCGTAGACATCTTAAATAGTTCGATATCTGTGTTCTGGACTCGTGTGTTGCACATTCTTTTAAAGTAAGTGTTCTCGTCTAGTTTCTCATAAGATTCAAAATGTATACACATTCCACGACCTGTCTGCCTAAACATGCACTCTAAATTCGACGGAAATAAATTGGTTTTTGGGACATGAGCTTGACAATGAAACAGTTTCTTTGCCTACGGTTCACAACAAACGGGTTTATCTCCGAATAGTTTCCTCTAAGTACTTATGGTACGTCCTATTGAGAGAGTATATAGAGTAGAGTAGTTATTTATAGACACATACGGCTTTGCACATTGGAAAAAGCCACGTTAATAGAATCGAATTGTTTCCAAGTGGGTCAACGGTTGAGTAGATTGTGTGGAAATGGGAACAGGATTACTACGTCCAACTACATGGTGGAGTAGATAAGGTCCGGACTTGGAGTTCTCTTTGCTACATTTAATAAATACAGACATTTTAATTTCAATTTTGCAGTTACCCATTTACTGTTTTGAACATTTTCTTGTTGTGCCAATCAGTATATATATATTTTTAAAAAATATTTCCCGTTTTCGTTATCTTTTGTTTTTCGTTTACATACTAAGCAATCGATTACAGCTAAAGTATTTGTTAAATCCAATGGAATTGCAATTTGTCAAGAACACACAAAACATCAAGACATCAAGAGTGACACTTAAAATGCATATTGACATCTGTTCTCTGTTTCGTTTGGTTTCGTGTTCCGTGTTCCGTGTTTACCGATTTTTAACATTTAGATCAAAAATAGTGCCCCTAAAAATGCCACAAAAATACAATCAAAACATTTGTTTACTAAACTACAAATACATACAATAAAATACATTGATGCACGCATAATATTTATATAACATACATACTACTTATGTACGGTTGTAACCTTCTCTTTACTCTAGAACAACTGTTATATCTTAGTCTGATTCGTGTGTGTGTTTGGGTAATGTTGGATGTATAACTACTCAAAATATAATACCGCTTCAAATACAATTTCATCAGTTTGCCATTCCGGCATACATAAGTAATTCAGTCTAATTTGGGAGTTGTTGGTCAACGATCATTGCCCTGGAGAGGGGTGGGAGGAGTTGGGAATTGGGAAACCCAAAAACCGAACCAAAACACAACAAAATTTACAAGACCTGGAACGGACCGATAGGCGAATTCTGGAATGTCAGATAAATCTCCAAAGGTTTCAAATTAAAACTAAGAGAGCGTGAATAATTATCTCAGCTTCTTTCCCATTTCTTTTCCTTTCCATTCTCTAGAGATTTCTTTGTCCCTCGATTATCCTTCTATTCTTGTATCAGGTTCCAAAGTTTAGATCAAATGCGACTTCCGGTTGGAGTGCTCGATGGCCGCCAGCAGCTCGTGCTTCTTGCGCACGTAGAGTCGCCCCTTCTTCCAGGGATTCTGCAGCTGCAGCGGCTTAAAGTCATCCCGCAGGCAGCGCTCTCGTGCCCCAATCACCGCCACCAGGCAGAAGTTCTCCAGCACCTCGGGCCCGTAGATGGGTCCGTTGTTTCCCTTTAGCACCACCGCCATGTTGAGCTGCTTCACCACCAGATTGATCACTTCGCGGGCCGTTGTCTTGGGGGTGACATGCAGCTTCAGGCTGGTTCCACTGGCCAGTCCCGTGTTGTAGGCGGTGTACACTTGGATTATTCCCGGTGCCTGCTCAGTGTTCAGGCTGGAGCAGCTAGCCGAGTCCTCCTCGCTACTCTGTCGCGACAAACTCTTCATGGAGGAAGCCTTTGAGGTACTGGGCATCGGCTCCTCACCACCCACGGCTCTTAGCTCGGCTAGGGTGCTCTTCAGATAGGGTCCACCTTCACGTAGGTTTGCACTGGAGGCTGCCTTGGCGGCTGGCTTCAGCGGTTTGTGCTCCAAGTCCGTGGCGAAGGCGCCATTGCCGCTCCTCAAGGAAACACTAGATCCAGCCAGATACGGAGCCGAGCTGGAGCTGTGCACTGTGATTAAAGGAGCAGCGTGTGGTGCGATGTTGGAGCTGGTGCGCTTTCTTTGGGCTGCCAAAGCCTGGGAGTTCCGCAGCGCATCCGCCAAGGTGTCATCGGAGCGTGATGGAGGAATGGCGAACACACTGTTCGTGCTATTGCCATCTGAGGCAGAGTCTACGGCAGAGTAAAAGCTCCGCGCCGTGTACGTGGAGCTCATGGAGTCCCCGCTGTTCTTCCTGAGGGACACCTCCGAGCAAATGGATCCTCCATATTCGCTGATCGTGGAGACTTGCAGAAGTTGCTGCTGCTGGTTTTGGGGCGGCTGCTGTTGCTGGGACTCTTGGTGTGTAGAAACTTGATTGGATGCTGGCTCCACAGGAGTTATTGCACTTAAGCCCAGATTCTGTTCCGACTTTGAGTGCTCCGGCTTGGCCTGCGCCGGATCCTCGTTGGTCCCTGGTCCCGGCCAACTACCTCGACCTGTACCCGTTTTGGAGAACTTGCTCTCGCGGATGGGCAGTTGTAGCAACTGTTTGCTGGCGGAACCTGCCGCCGTTGCCGATACCGATTCGTCTTGCCGCTGCTGAGCAAAGTCCAGGATCTCACGCATTGCCAGCGAGGGCTGGGCGCTTTTATTGCGCGCATAAGCCACCACGTCCATCAGCCAGCGAACGCTCTTCCACACGATCGTTAGGCTGGAACTGAGCTCTTGCAGGGTTGCCAGTCGCTCCTTGGCCGCCTGCAGTTCACTGCTGGAGAAGGCTTCGCGCAGGGCGTGTGTGGCCAGCGCCGTGTCCAACTCAAGGATGCAGGAGAGGCGGGCGTACTTCTGAATAATGGCTGGCTGGTAGGTGCGCAGGTGGATCATCTCGAAGGCTTGTATACTCAGGCTGGCCAGGTCATCCCTCTGCAGGAGCAGCTCAGATTGTCCGGGCACGGCGCAGGAGGCTTCGGCGGATGGACAGACCACCAGGAAGCTGATGTCAGGACTATGCTCTATCACCTCCACGTCGTACAGGCGGTGGGTAGTCGCATCAGAGGCCTTGATGTTCATGTTGGCGAACAGCTTGTGCATCGCATTGGTGAGATCGTATAGGAAGAGGCGCTGTACCTCGGAGGTCGCTGCTCCACCGGAAGCCGTATCTGTTCCCGGAGAGCTAAAGTCCAGCGGCAAGCGAAGGGGATCGCTGGTGCAACGGTGGAGCACCTGCCATTCCTCGGCCGTTATGTGGCTATTCTCGCGCACTTTGCAGTGCGGCAGTACATTGGGCGTTTTCACGGGCACCACTACCTGGATCTGGTCCATGGAGCACTGCATCTTTAAGTAGCCCAAATAGAGCCCGGGCTCTAGGCGCTGCAGAGCAGCTTGCTGGTAATGCAGCTGATCGCCAATAGACGATATAAGCAGTTCGTTGATGGTATAGTCCTCGTGCAGGGCGCCGAGCTTCTTCTGCAGCTTGCTGACCGGGAGCCAGCGAGAGTTCAGGATGGAGACGGCCTTTTGGCTCTTGACAGACTGTACGCAGGTCAGCACCACTGTGCCCTGTGCATCTTTCAATGGTTTGAAGTACAGCTGACCCAAGTCAGTGAAGCCCAGTGCTGATTGCATCTGGCAGACCGCCGACAGGAGCTTGGTGCGGAAGTGAACGGCGGAGGTGAGGTTGCGCTCCATATCCGAGCGAAGTGACTTCACATCGTCCCAGGTGCAGGCCACCTTCATTAGCCAGTAGTAGTCCATGTGCAGGGCACTGGGATAGGATTCATCAATCTCAATGACGGGCGGAAAGTCCTCGCTGGTCACTAGGACTTTGTCATCGCAGTGGACAATGCAAGAGAAGTAAATGCCACTGTTTGGAAAAGGATAAAGAAAAGCATTAAGGAAGGGTTTGAAATTAAATTTCTTTTAAACCTACCGCCTTAGGGTCTTCTGAAACTTGGAGGTGACTGAAAATAACTGCTTGATAGTGGTTTTCTTTTTGGGATTCCGTCGCTGGCCGCTTGCCGGATCCAGGGTCAGCTCGGAGACGTCGGCGGGTCGCGCCAGACGAACGGCGGTAAATAGATTGTCCAGGATGCGGTGGCGGCCAACAAAACGATCCTCCCGATTATCCAAATCTCGCCAGGCTGTTCCAATATTATCACTTAAAATTGAGTGCCGTTTAATTGTAAACGTTAACTTACTTGAGGGCACCACACTGGCGGGCACAGAGGTTCTATAGGCGCCCCATCCCTTGACATTGCCGCACGCGGCACGCAGGAAATAGCGACGCCCTTGGGTAAGTCCCGATATGTGACACTGAGCGCCCATTGTGCCGTGGAAGCTAATCCACTCCAGCAATTCACTCTCACCCACAACGTTATTGAAGTCCGCGCGGGTTGACCATTGAACTGTGTATAAATAATGAATTAATTAAGACTTAGAGTTTCAAATCTAAATTACTCTAATTAAAGCTCTGTGAAGAACCACTTCTGCAATTATTCAAGCATTGTTTTATCAACAAACGAACCCCCTCCAATTAAGCAATAGTTTAATAAAACAGACAGCGGGAATTGAATCAAGAATTAGGTTCACCGCAACACAGCAGAATAACCACAATCACTGGCCCAATCCCTTTGAGCTGCCGACTGTCGCAGCCACTTGACATTGCAACAGCTGCGGTTTACCTTTGAATTTCGTGCCGATGGCCCCCTCGAAGGGCTCCAGGATTTGGACGCTAATGGAGTTGTCGCCGGTGACGTCAACGACCACAGAGGCGGGTGCATCTGGAGGGCGAGCCTGGTCCCAGCCAAGCTGCAGACGCCGCAACCCCTTGACTCGGCGTTCCCAAATACCGATCTGCTTCTCCACCTCACTGCCCGTGCAGCCGGTCACCGAGGCGCTTGAGTTGCCTGCAGAGAACGGGAACAATCGCTGATTAAGAGCCCACTCAATCCGATGGCTCGATGCCGGCCACTCACCAATTATGATGCTCGAGATAGAGGGACGTGAGGCAAACATTGGTGGGCACAGACCCTCCGGTCCGCTCAGATCATGGATGCGCGACTCGGCGTCCTTGAGCAGGCCGTTTAGCTTGGTGCCTATGGTGTCCACGGAAACTGCAATGCAAATTTAAATTGATCGGTGAAATGAACAGTCAATTGACTATAAACTAAGGCACTTTACATTGTGAGCCCTCCATGGCGCCGTGCTGCAGCAGCATCCTGGTCATGGAGCGATTATTGCTTAGAACGGCCAAATCCAGGGCGGATAGTCCATCGTTGTTGATGCTGGGGAAATTATAGAATAATTATAATTATTTTAAATAAACCTAGTATATTTTTGAAGACTATATCGTGCATAAATGAAAGCTTACCTATTCACATCCACATCGGTTGACTCCAGAATGGTACGAGCCTTTTCGAGATGACCATGCTCCACCGCCGAGAACAGAGCTGTGAATGAATAAGAGGTAATATACAGTTATTAACAACTCGTATAAACAGTATTTGGGATTGGAAAAGTAACTCGTAATGCTTAAAGTGGCGATGCGTGCCAAGTATCTGAGAGTGGAATTGTTTTTAGGCCCATACCATGCAAGTGCAGATTGCTCTGCGTCAGCTTATCCAGCTGGGCTTGGGCCAGCTTCAGCTGTTTCTTTGTCATTTTACTGGCCCGCGGATGAGGTGTGTTTCCCGGGATCTTGGTGCGCAGCTGCACCGGCTGCCTGTGCACGGCGAGTTGCTGCTGCACATTCCCGGATGCATTCTCGTCTCCGGCGCCCAGGGGCGGAGAGTCCAATTCCGAGGAGTCTGTCTCTTCATGATCGTCCCGCAGCTTGGCGTTCTTGGGTTGGGAATGGCGCGAGATGCAGAGCTGCGACTGCGATTGTGATGCCGCCTCGGAACGCGAGTGGGGCAGCAGGAATTCCATTTCCTTGAGATCCTGAGAGTGGCAGGAGATGGCAGTTCGTATCTTGGCTACCGTTGCATGCTGAGTCAGCTGTTCCGACCAGCGACTGGTGGAAAGCAGGGGTGCTGGATAGTAGGTGGGATAGTCTTCCTGGTTGTTGTTGTTCTTCCCAGCACTCGGATTTCCCGGCTTTTCCCGCAGCCTGACCACACTATCACTGTCACTCTCGCGCTTATCTTGGGGCAATATGTTGTCTGTGTCGAGGGGATTGTGTGAAATAAACATAAATAATGGGAAATAAAATTGGATGCAAAAATGAAAATCAAATATAACTTAAATATAAATTAAACGGAGGTGTGTGTGTGTGTGTGAATAAATATTTACAATGGCAAATGACCAGGCTCACCACGTGTCTGTTTATCGTAGCAGATATATATAATGCACGGCTGTGTGTGAGTGGAAATGTAATTACAATAATTGTTGTTGCTGTTGCTGCGTTTGCGATTAATAAAATATTAAACATAAATGCCGTTTCTCCTATTCATCGCCGCTATTATTCTATGCGATTCGGAATTTCCGCCGATGACCAAAGCCAATTAAATTAATTATGCGCAAACCGTTGTGGATGCAAGTTATGTGTGTAGTTGAATGGGTTTCGAGTGTATGTTGGAGGAGTGTGTTTAGTGTGTGAGTGTGTTAAGTCATGTCTCCATGCAGCCACCCACCTGGTCCCGAATTAAACGCACCCGCCAGCTCAGCAAAGCCACCCACCCACCAATTTTCCATAGCTGCTCCCTCGCACTTTTCATTGCCGTCCCAATTGACGTTAATTCCCCGCTTCCAGTTCTGTACAGCAGATACACCGAGAAGCCAATTTAAGAAACAAAACTCTTGATTGAAGAATGGTTTACCCTCAATATATTGTTACACTTGATTAAGAAAGTTTTTCTTAAGGAAAATGTTGATTTAAGAAACTGTTTTACTACAAATACAAATATTATTTGGCTTTTAAATTGTATAAGATTTATATTAATTATAACGAGTTCTTGATAACTTCAGAAAATAAAACTAACCAAGTTAATTTTTGTAATGTTAATATGTCCAGTTGGTAACTTTGTAAGTGAAGCTTGAATTTACATATGCGATTACATGACAGATTTAAGATCTTCCAAGAACAAAACATTCTTCAATCAAAAATGTATCTTCTTAAATAGGTATTTTCCCAGTGTATATATGGATTGTGAGAGAATTTATGATGATATATGGGGGCGTTGCAGTTTTTAATTACCCCTCATAGGGGGCTGCACATACGGGTTAAGGGCGGGCAGGCAGAGAACTACCGATCTCTTACCATCGATGGCATAGTGGCTGTGCCGACGTTGCTGTTGTGCCGACACCGACGGCGACGATGACGAGGAGGTGGCCCGATGCGGGGACACTTTCAATTGACAGAACCTGGTCAGCTCGTTGAGCGTGTGAAACGATTTTTGGCGCACAAATACCGCCGGAGAGCGGAGACAGCTGCTCATCTGGAGCTTGTGCGGATGATTGGGGGCTTTATTGCTATCGCTGTGGTAGCATCTGCAAGAGCACACAACATTAACGACCCGATTTGGCCATGGATTAAGCCAGTTTATAGTGCCTTCACATGTGTGCAGCAGTATCTATGTATTTATGCACACTCATGAAATGAATATTCATCCTCAAGCTACCAACTTCCATCTCCCACTCGTTTTACGGGTTTCGCCTCTTCGGTTGTAAACAAATGAAATGCAAACGAGTTACGGGGAAATCGGTTTCGTGATGTAATCATAATTCACGGGGATATCTGACCTGGGAAACCCTACCCTTGAGATGTACACACACAGCTGCTGCCTCACTTTTGCCTAACAAATAGTTCGTTGACCTACTTGAGAAGTAATAAAAGTCCCGAATCAAAACTTGATGGGCAAATGTGCAATAAAAATGTTTGGCAAAACGCACGCGAAGAAATCAGAATAAACATTTATGGTAAAACATGTCACTGAAGCACAGTTTTAGTTGCTTTTTAAGCTGGTACTTAATGAGAGATTTTATTGATTGAGAATCCTCTTGTGGTGGAATTATTTGTATAAGTAAGAATCCTATTAAAATCCTTCCAAAAATGGGAACCACTTTGACCCATCGCTCCCGGGAATTTCACTGAATAACTCTTAGTTTTCATTCTTTTAGAAATGATTTGGCGGCCACCAATTTCAGGTAGAGAAGAATCACAAAATTCCATTGAATCATTTTTACCTGTCACTTAATCCAGGTTTTGATTGCTTGGAAAGGAACATGCCTTTTTATTTGAAGCACAGATACATTTCCTGTTGTGACACAAGTACTGAGAACGGTCTTGTTTGGAATCTTGGATTCATTTTCTAGTTTTATTGGAATGCTTATCTTAATTATAACACTTTAAAATCACCGAAAGGGTGGAAAAGTCTTTCCGTTCGGGAAAAGTTCTAAAAATTTTCATATTCCGTATACTTTCAATGGCCTTTTTCACACTTTGTAAAGGGGTCCAGCACTTAAATCACTATTCAATTTTTCTTTTGAGAATTCTGAAAGGGTAAGGAAGGACACCTACGACTGTTCAGGTAAGGCATCGGCTTCCGAATGGTGGCCGTGCGCATGCGCGTCGTTCCGTAGATGCCCTGATGGGCATGTCTGGTGATATCCGCCAGCACGGTACTAGACTCCTCACCGCTGAAGGTCCGTTCCAAATCTGAGTCCAGGGTAGCCTTTGGTGCCTCAGCCGGACGGCAGAAGCTCTCGGGGATCTGCAGTAGCTTGCAGGCCTTCCGCGGTAGAGTTGCACCCACTGGGAGCGTGGACATAAGGCGTTCGATTCCCAGTTCCTCTGAGTCACAGGATTCAGTGCTCATCTCTCGATGAAGGGGCACAAATTGGCTCTTGCCTTTCACTTTAGTGGTCAGCACTGCCACCGCGTCCAGGTCGCCCAGCATTCTCAATGCTTTGGCTGCTTTGCTCTTGTCCAATGTCGAGGATCCTCGGCCGCTGCGGCTGCGCATGTGCAGCTGGGTGCGAAGCTTAAAGGGCGACTGCAGCGGCAGGGCGGGGCTGTGCAGTTTGCTCTTCAGCCGCCGGAGCGAGGAGCGGACGGAGTGAGAGCGACGTAGGGCGGGCAGGGAGTCTCCGCTCTCGTCCTTGTCGTTTTTTTGAGGCGTCACTATATCTGCTGATGTAGCTGCAGCCGCTGTCGCCTGCTGATCCTTGAGCTTGGCATAGAAACTCAGAGCCTTGCGTCGCTCCATTGGTCACGGGAACTGGTTCACTTTTCTCTCAATTTATGATTGTTTTTATTTTTTATGTGTGCTATTCCTTGAATTTTTCTTTAAAGGAAGGTAAACCCCCTAGATGTAAGTTTTTCCGTATCTCAGTCTGGGTTTTTATGCCAGGATTTTCCGTTGTGCGCGTCGCGTGGTTCAAACTCGAACTGAGAGCAGAATCGGGATGTGATTCGTGAGTAACTCACACAGTTGGCAGGCTCTCAGGGTCTCTGTTTTCAGTTATATCCCTCTCACGTTCTCTTTCGTACAGTCGAGGCCTTGAAAATAGTTTATATACTCGTTTTTTTATAATTTATTCGTTTCTACACATTATTTTCAATCATTTAAGATTTGCAATTAAACGTAATTGAGATACTTTTTACTATAAAATAAATCTTTATTTGTTGGATAATTTAAGGTAACTGTTTTAGAGGTTTCAAAATGTTTTTTCAGTTGTTGTTATATATTTTCCTTCACTAATAATATGCCCGCTGCTGTGTAGGGTAGCCCTCCTCCCTCTCGAACTCTCTCCCAACTCCGTTCTCAGCACGCTACCTACCCTTAAAGGTTGTTTTCAGGAAATATCGTTCGCCCAATCTACTTGATCCCTGTTTACTGGACTTCGCGCTTTTGGTTTAAATTTAGACGGGCCGCGATATACGAATATGTACCTGCCTTCAAACTCGCTTAAGCTGCCGCGGTTCCCGAAAAATACCTAAGGATGCTGCCGCTCGGGTCCGTGTGTGCGCTGTATGTGCTGCTGTTGTAAAATCAATTATCGGGTATTTCGAGCATCGTAAACCGAACACAAATAAGCTGGGGTCCTTGGAGGACAAATACTGCTCCTGCGGCTGTTGTGTCTTCGATCCCTGGCCCTGATTTATCGACGTCTGTCGACGGCTGCGAGGTGTCGTTGTCGCCTCGGGAAATGAAGACAAATGGAACAAATGAAATTTGTGTCTCGTCTAGGATTCGACGGGAGTCAGTCCTTGATTAGCTCCGAAATGGAAAACTAATTGGAACGAAGAGTTCCCATACCTCCATCGAACCGAAACTGGTTTCATTTTTCAAATTGCTTCCCATTTATGTGTGTATGTGTTTTCGCCTGATTCCCATTTGCTTGCTAATTTTAGACATTGTCCCATGCGAATGAATGAGAGTCGCCCGCCGCATGCTGCTGCTGCTTTTGGTCCACCTGTCAACAGCCACTTAGCTCCCCGTAATACTGGGAATTAGTGTGTCTCGGAAACGGTTTATTAATATTTAAACGTTTTGGGCGAGGTCAGAGACGAAGGGCACTGCGGTGACTAAGCCAAAACAGAGACTTAGATTCAGATTGAAGCTGTCGTTTCGTAAACATATTAACAATTGATTCACCGCGAACTAGAAAGCTATGTCATTGGTATATTCACATATATGATTATCTTTTTAAGCTAGGTATATTTGTATCTTTTGATAAGGGTACCATATAGCATTATTTTATACAATTTATATTGCCTTGAAATTTTAACGCTAATCAGGTTCTCTGATTGTAATGTATAGTGATTATTTCTCGTCACGGTTTCCATAGTAGTTTAATTGCACTTGAATAAAAGTAAAACAATAGAGCACTGAAAACCAGTTTAATGGCCAAGACTTCGAAGTGTAATTTTCTTAAAAAAGTAAAAAACAATTTTGTACAGAGAATTGATTGATGATAACTTTGTAATTGATGAGCTGCTGGCTATAAATCATATAACGAACCTCGCCAAAATACACTTTAAAGAGTTATTAATAATGAAGAATATATTTCTTAAACACAAGGATGGCTGACAATGTCCTCTGACACGTACCGGCTCAGCTTAGGGCTATTTAACTGATACTATCCAGGCGTGAAGTCGCCCTTCCCCCGCTCAAATCAAACTAAACTGTCAATTGAGGGCGTGCAATAAATAAAATTTGCTGACCCATAAACTTGAAAAAAAAAGCATGACAGTAGCGGAGGGGATAGAGCTGAATATGAGGGAGGGAGCCCAGGGGCCCTCGGTTTTGCAATTGCAGGATAATAAAATTTATGAAGCTACGCCGCACGAAATTGCCCAACATAAATCACAGGCAACGCTCTCGACGACAGCGCCAGCGGTGGAGTGGGATGATATGAGAGGAGAGAGGACAGGACAGAGGTCATCCAGGACCTCCCATTGTAGCCCCAAAATCTTCCCTTGCAGACAAAACAACATAATCCACTTAATAGAGACGACAACAGAGTCCCAATAATGGGGTTTCCTGACAGGCGACAGGAGAGGAGACCCCCCCCCCAGCCATCCTTTAAGCTTGAACCCTCTGCCAGAGACCCTCTGTAAATTATGCCGATTTCATCTTACATTCTGCGCTGTCATAATTGTCAAATCTACCACACATTTGGCAAACTTATGAGCAGCCAAGCGAGCGAGCAACCAAGCATTTTCGACTTAATTTAAATAAATTTGCCGCTTCCTCAATAAAAGCCCGGAGAACGCTGTGCCTCTGAAGTCTCCTCCTCAGCCCGGAGTCGAGTTGGAAGTGAGGAGAAAAGGCGAGGAACCTCGGCTGGCAGGCAGACAGACAAGCGCAGACAAAAAGCATATTTTATATGTCTCTGATTTCGAGTGCAAATCGCATTATGAGGAGTTCAGCGGAAACGCTAATTGAATTTAAGTAACCAGACCCCAAGGCATTCCGACGGGATAAAGTGGGGACGCTGGGGGACGGGAACTTGACCTTTGTCTCAGCAATCAGTAAACGCATTTAATTCTATTGGTTTACTGTGCCAAATCACGAAACTAATGTATTCATATTAATCAGATATGCAAATTGGACCCTCGTCGCTATCGCAAGAGCCAAAAAATAACTTGGGAAGAATGAAAAAACCAACACACACTCACTCATTTGAAATGCGGACGGAAAAAGTCCAAGCCAAAATGGCAATAAACGTTTCGACCGGGTCACTCGGACTCTCCCGACTTCCTGGCCCATTTTCCCATGCCATCTTCCGCTTGATCCGCTGTGGAAACAAACACAAACCAATAAGCCAGCATTTAAAATTATGTAAATCCAGCGCGATTTGCACAAACTTTTTGCCGCTGGTTTTTTTGGATTTCTTTTTTTTTTGGGCAGGGTCAAGGCGCAAATCTGCCGTGCATAAAGGGATCTCGGTTTTTGCGTTGATTTTTTTTTGTTCGGTGGACTGCTGGCCCGCAAATTGAAAAGTTTATGCGGGATGTTGAAACGTGGCTGGGAAGCAGGGGAGGGGATGTACTATTAACATGACTAAATAAGCATACTCAAAAAAAAAGTTCAAAAGCCAAAAACGAACTTTGGTTTCACTAATTTCCTAAGCCTTTTGCCAATTGTAGCTTATCATAATATTTATTTTCTATTTTTTTTACCTAACGAGTTCCCCAAGCTTTAATAAGTGTTACTTTTTGTATTTACTCACTTTGTTAAGCAGTTGATTTAAGCCTGGTTAAAGCTTTTTTGGTTACTACGTTTTATATTTAAAGATGATAAATTTTATTCTGATTTTAATAATATGTTGCTACGTCCTTTTTCAATAGAACTTCTTAAACAAGGCGCCTAATTGATTCGATTTATTTATTAAGGTTTGTGAATTCAATTTCTCGGAAAATACTTTATTGAGTTTCCCGTTGGTTTCTTAGAATTAAACGCCTCCTAACAATTTCCGTAAAAGACCCAATAGAGGTACCCTGTAAGACCCAAGCTCAGGCGACACATTTGGGTCACTCACACACACCAGGGCAGTGCGTGTGACCTTTAAGGGCATTAAGTTCAAAAGTTGCACAAGTTTTCTCGGCGGCAGCCACAGAGCGTTTGACATACGCCCAGAGCCATTCATTTGCATGCTCGCATGGCTATGTCTGCGTGTAGATACGGATGTATCTATGAGTGGATATCCGCTTGGGCTCGGTCTGGGGTACGGGATCCGTGCCCCGGTGCTCTCCCTTTGGACTGGGGCTCGCCGTGTGAGTTCTACGTGCTCATTGCGTTCTTTGGCTACAAACGTGACAATCGAAACTTCAATTTCGAAAAGAGCTTCAGCCGCCAAAGATATCTATTGTACGTATATGGAGGCGAAAGAATCACAGCTCTAACGACAACGGCGAGCATTTCATTTATATTGTTTGATATAAAAGTCTTTTGATTGATTTCACTCGCTTATCTGCTTTGTAAAGCGATTTCCATGAGAACAGCCGCTCCACACAGACAAAGGCTATAGCTTGGGGGCAACACATTTGGGGTCATAATGTTAGGTTCAAAGGTATTTGGTATTCGAAATTACAATACATTTTTTAAGAGTAGAATATATCTGACCTAAGGTCTTTTAACGCGAATTAAATTACTTGCTAGTAGGCAAAATACATTGAATTAATACTCTTATTTAAAGAGATACACAATTTTTAAGTGAAATACTCTAGGGTTATTACTGTGACCGCAGCTGTGGCTGTAGACATTTCTTTAGGTAACCGGAGAAGAGTCTAAGGTCAGCTGGGTTACTGGGAGCGGTGGGCGGTGGCGACGAGAGCCCTTAGACCCATTTGGCCTTCCCAATTTGCATGACTCGTTGGTCTCGTTGTTTGAAATTCGAAAATCGATGCGAGGGCCTTTAAAGAGTTGCTCCTATTACGTCCCGAGATTCAATAAATTAACATTTCTTGGAACCTAATGAGTCAGCCGTGGGTGGAGCTGTTTCCAGATCCGGTGCTAATGAAGCCATTGAATGAATGAAAGCCCAGGAAAACGCTAAATGCCCGCTTCTCGGTCTAAACGACACTAAACTGTGTTCTTGTGTGAACGAAAAATGAGATTTGTCATCCGAGGAATTAGCTGCCTTTTGTTTTCGAATCTGAGCGCTATAAAAGCTGTTCTTATTCAAATTTCGTTACCAAACAAGTCACGCTATTCCCCCATTTTGCAAGGGGGCAAACAATGTCCAGCGCCTCGAATCACACATTCTGGCGTAATCATGGGGAACACACCTACATGGGGTTGAGGAGACTAACCTTATCTGCAGACATATTATAAAATACACATCGACGACAACTGATATCTTAGCCTGGTTCTGCTTCGAGTTGTTGTTGTCTTGTTGCTTATGTATGTTTGCTTTTCAGCCATGAGCTGCGCAAGTTTCGAGCTGCCAAAACCCACAACCGCGATAACTACAACACGGACGGGCCAAGGAGAAAAAGAAGAATACTAAGAGTAAACAAACTTAAGGAATTGCTAAAAGTTACGAGCAATGTGCCACAACAAATTTTGCGATGAATTCTTTTTTAATCAAACATTTAAAACTTTTTAATAAGTGCGCAACTGCAAATAAAATAGAAAAGCAAGTGCAAACATAAACTTTGGCCTGCGGGGCGTTCTTAAGTGCTCCAGGTGTATGCCCGTCCCATTACCTCACCTTTCTTCAGGTGGCTGTGGACTTTTAAGCTTGGTTACACAGAGGGAATTAATTGGGGTTGAAGTTTAATTGAAATTCTCAGTTTTCCAATAGGTTTAAAAAAAAATACAAATATTTTACTTAGTGACACAGATTTCTTTTTTTAACCTAATAAAATTAATAAATAATAATTGCTTGTGTCAGTTGAATGTTTATGGGATACACATAGATAAATGTTAAATTTTTTCCAGTGCGTGATAGCCAGAAAAACTTATTTTTTCCGAGCTTAAAGGCTACTAACTTTCGGCATGCTCTACTTTGCACTATTTTTCGGGTAAACGAAAAACCAAAAAATGAGAGGCGAATGCGTCACTTGAACTTTATAGAGGGGGTTTGCGGAATTGTTTTGCTAAACGAACCGAGATAGTAACAACGGCCAAAAACAACCGTTAAAATATTAATGGCCAGCGTGAACTTCAGCCTCAATTGCCATTGGGAGGTTGGGTGGAAAATGGGTGGTGCAAGTGCACCATGGCGTGGGTTGGTCGGTCGGTGGCTTAGGAAAATTGCGTGCTGAGAGAAAATTTTCAGCTGTTAACTGCAGCTTTGCAGTAAACAAACCGCAAGGCACGACATGCATTCGGATAAGAAAAACCAACCGACCTGACGAGAGTTTTATTGCGACGGGTTTTTCCGAGTAACAGATGAAACATTTTCCTTTTCAGACGCCGACAACTTTGACTTTCCTGCGGTGTGAATAAACCTTGGTTAACAAAAGCCAAGACAACGCAAAAATGTTGCAATAGTTCAAGTTTTTCATGTCGTTGCATATTTCATCCCCTTCCCATTCAAAAATAAAAAAAGCACAGCAACAACAAAGAGGCTGCCTTTGGAAACGCGAGTGTTTTCGTGCAGAGGCGTACGCTTGAGATATATTATCTTAAACAAAATATGAACAGACTAGCGCACTAATTAATAAGTATATTTTTATTTGTAATATTACCAAGATTAACCTTAAAATATTACTAAAAATACTATGAACAAGAAAGGAAGCTAACTTCGGCACGCCGAAGTTTGTATACCCTTGCAGATTGGTTTTGAGGTTTATATTATAGATTTAAATGCTGAAAACACTCACAAAACAGAGTTTCATTACATGTTACCTATACTTATTATGTTTAAAGTTTGACAGTTACAGTTTTACATTTTCTCTACATCTACCGATCGGTTTATATGGCAGCTATATGATATAGTTGTCCGATTTTTATGAAATTTATACCATAATTCTAGAATAATAAAAAAAGCTTATATCTCAGAGTAGATAAACATACGTTGAAAAACAACGAAGCTATAATTTTTTTTCCTATTTATTTCTCGACCGTTCCTATGGCAGCTATATCATATAGTCGTCCGATTTTCATAAAATTTTTACCAAAATTCTGAAATAATATAAAACGGCCATATCTAAAAAATGGTGCAAAAATGTTGAAAAACAGCAAAGGTATAATTTTTTTTCGAAAAATATATCGAACATTTGTATGGCAGCTATATGATATAGTCGTCCGATCCGGCCCGTTCCGACATATATAGCAGTGAGAGCATATAGAAGACTATATGCAAAGTTTCATTCAGATAGCTTTAAAACTGAGGGACTAGTTTGCGTAGAAACAGACAGACAGACAGACGGACAGACGGACAGACAGACAGACGGACAGACGGACAGACAGACAGACGGACAGACGGACATGGCTAGATCGACTCGGCTGTTGATGCTGATCAAGAATATATATACTTTATAGGGTCGGAAATGTCTCCTTCACTGCGTTGCAAACTTCTGACTGAAATTATAATACCCTGCAAGGGTATAAAAATAGAAGGGTAGTTACAGTAACAACGAAGTCTAGTTCCTTTTCAGAATTCCCGGGGATACCATATAACTTTTTTTTAAATATATTCAAGTTAAAAAAATATATTGTTCTAACCAATAAAAAGGAGAGATCGCCTGTGAATCCTTTAGGACTTTTGTTTATAAAACCCCCCTCAGGATTAAGTCCTGCGTACGCCACTGGGTTTCTGAGTTTGTTTGTGTCTGTTTGAGGTGTAGTATGAGTGTGTGTGTGTGAGCTTACCTGTTCATTGTGCGGTGAACGTATTTAAAATTGCAGCACAAACCACTTTAATGAAAACGTCGACTGTGAATAACACAACAACAAAAAACAAGAAGACAACAACAGAGATCAGTAAGTTTGCAAAAAGCTTTTTACAGTTGCAGGGCCTCCTTGTGTGCGGGTGTGAGAGAGAGGCACTGACTGACTGTAATTATGTTGCAGCGGCACGACGAATAATAAGAAGAAGAAACATCAAGACGACAGTTTGATAGACACGTGAGTAAATTGCTCGCCCCCTTTCTCTCCCACTTGTCCCTCGGCTGCAAAAGCAAAAGTTCACTTTCGCTGCCCTTCTCTCTTTGCCTTCTTTCTCTTCGCAATTGTTTGTGCTGTCTTTTTGCAGTTTTCCGTTGTTTTTGTTGGGGCTCCCACAAAATAACAACAAGAGGAGAGTTGGACATGCAATCCAATTACCGTTAGAGTCCAACTGTCTCCCAGCAAATTGCAGTTTTTACTGGCACGTAATATTTAATTAACATTGCAAATAAACACACACACACATGATTTTCTCTTTGCCCCGCGGCTTTTTACTGTATTTTTGGGACCTTTTTACGTTTCTTTTTTAAACGAAAGCGACGCCTTTAGTTTTTTGACACTTCTTAAGCAGCACGAGCAACAACAAAACATATCTCGCTCTCTCCGAATTCGACTCTCTCCGCTACGTCGGCGCAGGTAACACAGGTAAGGCTCTCTCTCGCACACTCACACAGCGCCGCCGCAAACAGGTAGCAGCGTACATACACTTACACACACGAGAAGACGCAACAAGCGAAGCAGAAACGAAACGCTCTGAGACGCGTATTTTTCATTTGCACAATTTTCACAAATCCACAAGAAATCAGATCTTGCTCAGCACTTTCAAAGGAATAATATCGCACTTGGCTGCTGAATATGGTATTCGCCAATTAGACTGCTGCACGAGCGCTTTTCAAAAACGTAACGCTCAAATGGGATCTTATTAGCGACGCCGACGCACAGTGGGCACTCCGAACCGTTGAAAAGTTGACCGTCGACTGAGACCGACGAGTCGAGTGGCAAACGAAGTTGTTGCTTGCGCCTGCAGCTCTGCTCTGCGATCGCACAGTGGGCTGGCTAGCGACATTTTCCAAAGTAAAGAACTTAAATATGTATCTTTAATAAAGATAAGAAAATTAAGTACATTTAAATTTAAAATTTGTGTTCTTTTTCGAAACACTTACAGAGATTAATTTCTTAATTTAAATTCTCTTAGAAGACGATTTATTTTTATATTTCGATTTCTAAATTCTATGTTTTAATCTTTAGGATTTTTAATTAAATACTAGATAAGCCAAATTGTCCACTGTGCGACGCTGACGGAGACGCTGACGTCGCGTCGAAGTCGACGTAAGCGTTGGCGTTGGCCGTTAATGGTCAACGCTTCACAGTTAGTCGCAGTGTTGGCAAGAAAAATAGCTGATCGTAGCGGTAAAAAAAAACGCTAGGCTATATTTGTAAGGCAGTAAAAACAAGTAACTAACCTGCAGGCTGCAGTACAATTCATCAATATTTCATCAGCATACACGTCGGTGTTTTTAATGAATTATTGATGACGGTCCATTCAAATTACTAATCAACAGTTTAGATAAAAAAATGCATCAACATTCATGCAAAAAATGCATAATTTAATCATCAACGTTTCATTATTATTTTTATCACCAATTCATTACCTATTGATCACCATTTCATCAACAATTAATGACCTATTCATCATGACAATTGCAGCTTATACATATGTATGTACATATAAGCATCAATACATCAGCTTTTTTAGTGGTCCATGAAATGTGTTGATCTCAAAATTATTAATTATTTTTTTAGAATACACATATAAAAAAAAAACAGATTCCATGGAAAAAAGCTTAGCTTGCAACTCTGGTCAGCCGGCGACCTTTTTGTTGCAAACGCCTCTGCTGGGGGGAAGCGATAATGCAAGAGAGATTAAGGGAAACAACCCTATTCTTCAAAAGTATATTTTTTGTTATCTTGACTTAAGCCCTTGGTCTTGGAAGCAGTAGGAGCTCGTCTTTTGATTATTCATTTAAAAAATTTAATTATCTAAAGCTATTTCCTCCGGATGCCGATATAATTTCACTATAAATATTATCATGGTCCATTAAATAAATGTGTTCAAATAAAAGTAAACAAATTTATAGAATAATTCTCAGTTTACTAATTTGCATTAATCATACCTCGTCTTAACTTACGCTCTGATAGGCTTTAAAGTGTAGTTCCTCGAAAAGTTTGATCTTGAGGAACATAAAGTTTTGTTAAAAGGAAACCACTCAGGGATTTCAACCAACTTTAGCTTCAGATCTAGTAACCATTTCAACCGATTGAGCCACAAAGTACTAAAGAAAAAGTTTTCACCTTCAACTTGTACACCATTTTAAGGCCTCGAAAGTTCACTTTCGATGGTGCAATATGAAATTCACGACCTTTAATAGAGTGGAGTTACTTCAGTTTTTCATTAAATTTAGACTCTTTCCGTTCTTATTTTCAATCCTCGGGACTCAGGGCTGTGAGCTTTGAGCACTTGGGCCAAGTGGCAATTGATTTAATACCGCGCCTGCCCGGTTTTCCATCCGGAAAACTCAAGTGCGCATTTGAATTTCAATCAGCCGGCTGCAGCGAAATAAATAAGCCACCGATGACGAGAACGATGAGCTTCCTCTATTCAGTCCCACTCTTATTTGGTCGGTCGATGGGTTTAGTTCCGAACACCAATGGTGATGGGAAATTTACATTATGAGCAATAAATATACTTGTTAAAGATTTTTAGAATTCGACATGGTTTTTAACAAAATTGACAAGCAAAACAAGGGGAATTTGTTAAGGGAAATTTTCATATATAAAGAAAAATATTTTTATGAGTGTACAAAGAACCAGATACTTTCCAACTCTATTCACCCATCAATATGGCACGCACCGCCCCTGTGCCGCCATTGCAGCAGAAAATAAATTGTGGATTCCGAGTCCGAATCTGATATTCCGCACTCACCGTTTATGATTCTGGTCAGCTTAGAGCGTCGCGTGGAGGAGGGACTTAGCATGCTCTCCCTCCGGCTGCTGCTGGCGCTGTTGGCCCCATTGCCGCCCGGTATCCCATGGTGACCCGTGCCCGCTCCAGTCCCGGTTCCGGATCCGGCCGCCGAGTCACCGTAATTGACATTCAGCTGGGCCTGTGCCTGTGAGCCAAAGGAGCTGGTCGTCGATGTGGAGTACAGGCTGCTGGCCGAGGGACGTTTGCTGAACGGGGATGGGGCTCCTCCGGATCCAGTGGCGGAGGTACCTGGCGCCGTGACGGCGAGCGAGGGGCGTGGCAGGTCGCTAAACACAATCTCGGCAAAGGAGTCGATGCTGGCGGAACGCTGTAGAGCACTGCTGTCCTTGCGCCTGCAAAAAGAAATAAGCGGAAAGCAAAGTCAGAAAACACGAGGAGCAACTCAATAGGTTCTGGTAGGGATTCCGGGGAAATGCAGGGAGGGACGGGCTGGTGGGTCTAAATCTGAGGACAAGTGCAAACTTGCAGAGTATCGTAATTACTTCACGCTGTTGGACATTTTAATGAGCTGCCCGCAGACCATTAAGCGGCGCTGCGGTCACTGGCCGGCCTAGTTGCCATAATGTGACCGTTTTTTATGGCCACGCCATCAGAGAAAGCCGCTCGCCGGGGAAGCGGCAAGACTAGTTGGCCCGGCACTGAACACTGCAAAGAAATTATACAAGCTAAGTGGGGTATATAAGTATTTATTGCCGGCAACATTCTTGTATGAAATCACCATCAAAGTGCTTATGTGAATCGTTATTATCATATTAAAGCAAACCAGGCAATATATTCTGTTTAGATTAAGAGTTTTTCTCCCAGTGCACCCACAACAGTGGACAGCTGGCGCTAATGCGGTGCTGTGGGTAATGCTGACAAAGTTGACGCATGTTTCCATCCGAGCGTATTTCTTCATTCGGGCTAAACAGTTTTCTGCGCTTTTTCCGCACTTTTTCTTGGCGATGCCTGCTTGGCCGGCACGCTTTTGCCCATGACTGGCCAAGTTTATGGTAAGAAGCAAATCGAGGTGAGCGATGGGGCTGGATGGCGGGTCAAAGTAAACTGCAATTTACGGTCCACTTGACGGCCTAGTAATGGATTAATTTGCCGGCTGCTTGAGAACTGGGATGGGCATGGATTAGATGGCCATAACTTGCAGTTCACGATTCCGCTGGATGCCGAAGGCTACACAGAAAAGTTTAGTTTGAAAACTTTGTGTTGTGTAGCATATTTTGCTGTGTTTACAGTGCTCTGAATTAATTCACAAGCCGCACACACAAATTGGTTGTCGCCCCCGCCCAGCCGTCGCTCTTTTGCTCATTTACAGAATTTGCATAATCAGAGTCAAGTTGCGAAACTCGACCACATTAAGCACGCCCCAACCTTGGCAACTTTCCCTATGCCGGCGACGACAGTCACCGTCAACCAATTTGTCCTCGAATGAAAGCCCATATATTAATGTACACCACGTCGTATGCGCAACATTTTCAATTAAAACCGCAAAAGCTGTCGGCAATCTCAGCGCCCTCGCAAAAGTTTATTCCAGCGAGAAAAGGGGGGAGTGCAGAAGGAATACAAGACGAAGCCCTCTAGCTGATAGATGCATTTGTACACACGCTAATTCTGTTAATCCGAAACCATAATAAACCAAAGCTCGCTCTGCGATCCCTGTCTTTTACTTGCCTTTAACCCACCAGAGACAATTAAGTGAGTTTGCAATTAAACACATTCATAATTTGCCAACAGCTAAATACGCTTAATTAACGCAAATTCAATCAAATTACGACGCTTTTAGGCAACAAAAGAAGTGCTTCCCCTACCCCTAAAGGGTACCCTTTACCCATCAGCCCCTCTGTTTTCCCCTTACACTTTGCAAAAAGTGGGGAATTTCTTTAGGGCGTTCGTGCGACCAATAACCTGATAGGAGGACTTCATGGAGTTCATTTCTTTGAGTGTTCGTTAACATCCTGTAGTGAACTGTGATGCAAAAAGTTGTGCTCGTCATCGTCTTCGTTGATGGCTGATAGGGGGACGGTTGAGTGGGACTCGGTTCGTATTCGGTTTTGGGGGGTGAAGAGTACGGAAGAAATAGAACCCCAAGCCACAGACATATTTCATGGCAGACGACAGGCGGCAAAGTAGACCCTAGTTAGCTCTACTTGACTTGCTCCTGCGGCTGGTTGTCCTTGCCAGTTGTCAACCACCTCGCAGGCGGACTGCGATGCAGATGAGGACTGACAGGCGACCATATGCCCCGTGTCCTGGCGACTAACCTCCGCCAGATTGCAGCGTGTTTGCCGGCAAACCTCAGAGCAGGAGCTGTCGATAGTAATGATTGTTATTAACTTATGCATACAGGCGCTAGGCACTTTAACTAACTGCCAACTGGCGGCAATAAGTCAAGAGCTCTGCCAAACAGAAACTTGGCCTGTGTTTTTCTTGCGATGCCACACCGAAAATATCAACAACAGAGCCAAGTATTCCGTTTGACAAGGTCGAATACACTCAGCAGGTGAGCATGTCGACCTGTATGTTGAATAAACATTTCAACACTGAGAAAAAGCATTTGAAATGTGAGATTTATCTCTTGAAAAAATTTATTTTATGAGAGAATATAAGTGGTTACTTAAAAGTTAAAATAAAATCAACTAGCAATCCTTATATTATTCTTAATATTGTAGCATTTAATTTAAACACGTTAGCTTGAATAACTTGAGTTCAAAGGAACCTCTCTGTGTAAATTAGGGCACCTAATGCTTTCTCCTGAGTGCCTTTCCATGCCTGGTTTGTCATTTTGGCTCCGTATTTACAATTTTCACACAACTCCCTCAACCCCCATAGCCATCGCAGGTGATTTCCAGGCAATGTGCCAAGAACAGGTGACACATCCATGAGCACAATCCTTCCCTTACAAGGGTGTTTTGTTGCTTGAATGTCTCGCACGTTGTTCCCCTAAAGTGGCATGAAATTCTATAGAAATTTTCGGCGTGCCACCAGGAAAACTCCTTAATGCTTTTCAAGGTGATTTTCCTGGGCAGAGGGAGAACTGTCAAGCTAGTGTGGAAAATGCTCTTAATAAGGGCTGGCTGGCTGTCTGCCTGGCTGCCAGTTGATTCAGATCTGGGTTGGCAGACGCAAAACAATTGACTGGGACATGGCTTAGTGTCGCCTGCAAAGTAATTGGATGTGAGTGAAAAGTGCATTGGGGCATTGGGGATGTTGGTTAACTCTGGAAATGAACATGAATGACGATCGATATCCCTTTCGGTCCCTGTTTTTGGCCTGGTCAAATGAGCCGTACATTAGGCCTAATGACTGCTGGCCAACTTCAACCAACGGACTCTTTCAGGGTCGCATCTGTCAAATTTTGCGTTTGTCTGTCGCTCATCATCAGGCCTCAGAGTTTCCATTCGCATTTTCCGACCTTTTATGCGATACACATACACTTGTACACATGAAGAAAAACATAATACTAACTGATGCTGCAGCTTTTTTATATTGGCTTAAACATACCTTATATTCCGCTAATGTAAGATTTCAAATTAATCTAAAAAGACATCATTATCATATTAAAGTACATATTAGGCACCGTCCTTTTTCTCTGCTAGAATTTAGAATTTTTTCTAAGTGCACGCCACCCCACAACAAAGGCCGCAAAGTGAAACTGAAAATAAATCAGAAACAGAATGGCGGCGATGCCACACAAATTGATGTTGACATCAGCAACTCGGCGACTTTGCCGAGGCTTTTAGGTAAACTTTTGTTTTTTTTTTTTTTTTTTTTGGAAGCGGAGCCGCATGCAATTTATAAAATTTTACACTACATAACCTGCCGCCACCGCCACCGCCGCCCACGCAGTCGAGCTAATGAGTTTTGTCATTGTATTTGTTTTCGCATCTGACTCTCTGTGTGTTGATGAGGGTTGCTGGCGTGCAAGGCGCACATGACGTATGCGCAATTTCAGTTATGGCTCGTTTGCTCGAACTTCCAGTCGCATCTTGTTGTCTTTCGGCTTCTTAGCTATGTAGTTTAGTGGCAAAGCCGGTGGCGGCAACACGACGCACAAAACTTTATCCTCAACACCAGACTGGCAACTCGGTGGCAGGACACTGTTTTATTGGCTTCGCTTCGTGTCTTTCACATCTCTGCCATACCGCGTACTCCTAGATGGCAAGGGTTTTATGGGTCTCAGGAGAGAGACATGAAAGAATTACCTAAATCAAGACTTTTTTAAGATGCTAATCATTGTAAAGTATAAGGAATTATATATAAATAAGTATAAATATATATAAAATAGGTCGGTATCAAAGAAAAATACCAAACATTGCTAATTTATGTTTTATTAATGGATCAATTTTGGAAAAGTGTGTATTATCTTGATAATAAAACACCAGGTACCTTTTAGTCGACCTATCAAATTCCTATGCTTTAACTTTCTTAAAATGGTTGCAGAGCAAGTTTGGGCTGTCCGCCGCCTTCCTTTTCTTTGGCTGTTGGCTCATGAATAATGCATTCACAATTAAGCCAGTAAGGACTGAAGGAAACCCCAACAAAGACCTTAACTGGGGAGGAGCTCTCTCCGATTCCCACTCGCCGCTAACTTACACCGTCCCTGGTCGAGCTCTGCAGTTATTATTATGCGCATTGCTGGTTGCTTCTGCTGCTACTTCTACTACTTTTGCCACTTGCGTCGTTTGGCTTGCGTACAAGCTCGTTCACTCTAAATTTAGCAACCTAACGCAATACAAACAGAACAACAACGACCCAAAATTCGACTCCTTTTGTTTCAGTTTTCTGGTTTTTGCATTTTAAAATATCAAAGTTTAAACACATAAAACAGCGCTCGGGATTCCTGCACTCTGGGAAAAATTCTCGATTATCTTGGTAAAAATAAATATTATTTAAATGTAAAGTACTAATATGTTTCTCATATTTTATTTACCAAATTTTAATTAGTCACAAAATAATTCAATTTAATTAACAATCTCAATATCGGCCACTCAAAATGTATATACAAAAAAGGATGTTTGTTGCCCATTGTTCTCTGTTCAGTGTCCTGCTGTCGGAAAGAGAGAGACGAGCGTTGCAATCAGTGTTCGAGTGGCAGTGGGAGTTTGGGGGATCTGGAGGTCCTTCCGTACCTCCTGCGGCTTGTTTGCCAAAATGATTTTACACTCCTGACCATGGTCGCTGGCAAGTGGTCTACTGCAAAGTGGAGACGAGAGTTCAAGGCGTAATCTTTCTGCTCGTAAATTGCTTAAACCCGTCAGGGACATGTGGCAATGTGCACTGCTAGGTTTTATTGGCCAGTCTGGGCTTAGCTCCCATAAATGGTGCCAAACTACTACTACTTGCCTCTTGTTTCCAGTCGATAAATGTGATTGCATAATTAATAAGGACACGTTTGATTTAGCCGCAGAGGCATTGAAGCGTGTGAATTTTGTAGTAGCAACTGAGCTGAAATTGGGATAACTCATTTAACATGGATCTCTGTTCAATTATTCAGTTTTGGCAAACCAAAAACACCAATAAAACCGCAACGAAACAAGAGAAATATTTTTAGTCGATTTTTTCTATTGTATATATTTTATATTAAATTGAATAACCCTTCACCAGTCCTAAGCGTACAACAAAAATTGTTTTTAATAAATCTCCTGAACTCATATTGTATACATTTATCAGCTTTTGTGACACAGTTTGGCTTATAAGCTTGGATTATTACTTAATTGGTTTCCCCGGCAGGGCTTATGTTTCCAGCAAGGACCTTTAAGTCCACCCATTCACGTCGGTCCAGCTGCGGTTTGATTTGTGCAACTTATCGTGTGGAGCGAGTGTGACGTTAATTAACACAGCATCCACGGAGGAGAGCGGGGATGGTATCCCGGGGCGTGTTAATCTTGCAACTGCATGTGTCTCCATTAGCCTGCCGTGAACTGTAACGAATGAAGACAAATGCGGCACTCGACCGCCGGCCAAGCTGCTGGCCTGTCATCACCACCACCAGCCGTCCACGGGCTCTCGTCCAACCTCATGTGGCTAGCCATTAGGTAGGTAGGTGGCGGACACGGGAACGCACGACCGAGATCAGCTTTCCAGCTTGGGGGCGCAAATGAAATTAGCTAATTGCACCAGCTCTCCGACAGTCCGACAGCTCCTCCCCCAGTCCACCAGTCAGTCAAGGTGAATGTTGACAGGGCAGACAGCGCACTCACAAATGCAAAGGCGCATGGGGCGGGACAGGACAGGACAGAATGAGAGGTTGTAAATTACGTATACGCACCTCTCCCAGGATAGACGACGTGGCGCCTCCTCGCCGAGACCCAGGCCCAGGCCGAGTCCCAGACTCTGGACCGCATTGTCACCCGGCGGCGGTGGCTGCAGATTGGACCTGCCTGCCAAGGCGCTTGATTGATGCAGCAATTTGGCTAGGCGCGTGAAGGTCGTGCTCGATCCGGAGCTGGATCCCGAGCTAGACGCCTCGGCCAGCGGTAGTTCGTGGAGCGTGTGTTCCCGGGCCAGAGGAGTGGTGGCCTCCGAAGAGGCAGCGGCTCGCTTTCGAGCTGCCAGTCGATAGGCACGCGCCGCCACCACATGCGGGGCGGGGATCCTGCAATGGAATATTGAAGATTAATATCGCGACGGTGAAAAATGTCGGTAAGTTGTCAAAAGATAACAGAAATCTAGGGAGCTTTAACCTTCCAGGATCTCTCCCTGTGAATGTTTATTAAGTTGTTACTCTAACTAACCTAAGCCAGAATTTAAGGTCTAGTAGCGTAATTTTAATTCTTTTAAAATTGTTTAATTTTTAAAAAGATTTTAATCTTAAGAATTCTTTTTAAAATTTAGTGAAAATATAATAAAGCCTGATTTGATATTGATGGTAGAGCCATCAACTGCAGTTGATTGCGTTTTCTGAAAAATTGAGTATCCTTCCGCTAGCCTAGTTATGTTCTTGATTTATTATTATTGGCATTCCTTGCCCCAAATTCAAACCTTTTTCTTACAGAAAACTACAAAATTGGGTTCTTTTTATTGGTCTTCGACCCACCTGAGCAGCAGGGAGCCATCCGCATGGCACTCGAAGTCGTCGGAGAGGTGGAACAGTGAGCTTTCACCCAGATGCTGCAGCTGCTGCAGATGCTGTTGGTGTTGCTGCTGCAAATGCTGCTGCTGCTGCTGTTGTTGCTGCAGATGGTGATGATGCTGGTGGTGGTGGTGGTGCGTGCCGTGATGCTGGTGCGGCGTGCTGCCCGAGGATTTCCGCCTGTACACCAAATTGCTATCGTCTTTCGGCAAATTCAATGATTTCACCATCAGCGTGTTGTTGTTATTGGCTAAATGTGTGTTGTTGTTGTTATTGCTGCTGGCGGCATTGTTGTTGCCTGTGGTGGCGCTGCTGCTACTGCTGTTGTTGCTGGCACGTGTGAGGAGCGACCAACGATGGCCACTAGCGCTGCCGCTGCGGCTTTTACTGGCCAGTAAACGTTCGTCTGGAAAAGTCAGTAAATTGGCGGCTGAAATCGTATGTATCGTATTCGGGTTTATATCCCGAATGCATTTCCATAATATTAATCATAACAAGGGCTGAAAACCTGTCAAAAGTTTTTAATTACATATTCTGTAGCCACAACATGCCTCGCCCACACACCGTCTAGATGGCAAAGGGCAATTGTGCACAGCGTTTTTCATTATTTAACTATTTTCTTTTGCGTCAGTGGGTGGGGATAGTTTTCCGGGAAGCGGACATTTCACGAAAGAAAGTCGTTGAAGCTTCCTTAAACCTTTGACTTAAACATTTAATATATACAAAAATGGTAAAGCTTTAAAAAGGAAAACTCTTAGACTTGTAGTGACTGGTGATTTGTCCAGCTTTTCCTTTGAAATTTTTCGTGAAATTCCTCTTTGCTATTTAACTTTTTTAATCCTACTCTCATAGAGTTTTTTGTAGCACTCTTTTTTGCGCAGTAAACATTTCCTCATTGCTAAGATTAATTAGTAGATCGAAACTGCTGATAAGAAAGGATTCCATTGAATGTACGTATTCTCCCATTTCAAAAGGCATAGCAAACTGATTTTAAAACATTTTAATTTACATTTTACAGCACAAGGCTCAATGGCTAGTCAGTGAAAGGGTTCAAAATGGATTTTAGCTGGAATCCTGGGAAATGTAAAGGCTTTTATGCGATGGCCTGGACCCGATTTCGGGCTAAGCCATAATAAATCAATTCGAGTTCGTTTCGGTTTCAGCCGAGCCCCAAAGTGTTATCTCAATTGAACAGTTTTATTTTGAATAGAAATATATTTGTATATTTTAAAAGGAGGATGGCTAGCAAAGAGCATTAATACATTTTTTGAGAGCTTCTATGCCGCATAATATTTAAATCGAATTTTAAATTGAATTAAATTCTTTAAGATATACAATATACAAATATATCGGTCTTTACAAATTTCCTCTTAATTACTTCTGTTATAAAATAAATACTGTCAAAAATAATAATATGTACATAATGTAAAGCAGTTTGAAGCTATTATTTTTGCATAATTAACTGGTGAAACGTGATTTTTCGGCTTTTATAAATAAGCGGTCCATTTATAAATAAGCGGCTTATAAAGAAGAAAGCAATTTAAATTTGACACTTTATTTTTCAGTCCTTTTGCCATATAATTAACCGGTCATAATTGTTTCGGACGCAATGGCATGTACGCACCCAATTGAAATGTTTGTTTGTCCGTGTGCAGCGAGACGACCGGAAGTCCTGGCACAATAATGGCGGGCAGTGTGCGCGACCGTAACAATGGCGGCGGCAGCTTGCGGCTGCCCGTCCGCGATTGTGAGCCGGATCCGGATCCAGAGCCACCGCCTCCCACACCGCCAGCTCCTGCCGCGGCGGCGCCACTCTGCTGCTGGGCCCTGGAATTGAACAGAGAGAAAGAGGTGAAAGTGAGAAAGTGTTAAGGGATGCGACCATGCGACCAAGCCACGGGAAGGAAAAGAAAGTGACAATAATAAGTTAATGCTATTATTTATTAAGTGCGACGAGTGGGGAGTGTCAGCAAGTAAATGCAATTATTCGCCGTCCTCATTGCACAGCTCTATGCCATTTCCGTTCCATTTGCATGTGTCACCCCCTTCACATGCCACCAGCCCACATTTTGACACCCTTTTTCTTCACACTGGGCTAAAGGTAAGGTTATTTGAAGTACGAATTAAAGTTTTCAATCTTTAATTTGTATACCATCAGAACGATCTTAAAGCAGAAAGCGGGAAGGAATAATAAAGGAAATATCTATTGCTATATGAAGTACCTTATATGTATATAAAACATGTTATAAAGTTTTTAATTTTCTTAATTAAACTAGATCATGAATGGTAAAATAATAAAGAAATTATTTTTCTTGCTTATTTAATTAAACAAGAAAAAATTAAAATAATATCCTCTGATATCCTGTCAAAGCCTGCGATATGCCACTACCTTTTCATCACTTCCGATGTTATCTGGCTTTAATATTCAGTTTGAACATCATCATTTTATGCTAATCCCAGGGGGAGTTCTAAAACAAAGCAAGCATTAAGTGCACTGATGCTGAGGGGGCCACTTGAGTGCTTTGGACCATTATAAATTTTCCAAAACTAAGCTCTTGAGGCTTTCAAAGAAATCTTCCTTAATAAAAATCTGGAAAATTTTATATAGAAATATAATATTGAAAAATGTTATAATCAATTGTTAAACAACCACGCTTTAGTTGGTGACAAATCCAGTATTTTACATTTCAAAGTTTCTGTACCGTGCATATTTCAGTATTGGTTGAAAGCAACAGCCCTGACTGTCACTCATGCAATTTGCTTATTAATTCCAGCCACAGTGCGTTGGGCGAGTGTCATTGTCAGCTGTCGATTTGCGCATTTCAGCTCTTCCCCTTTTTTTTTTTTGGCACTCGCATGTGAATTACATTTGATTGTTGTGTGGAAATTACTTTCAACACCTCAAAGACCGCCGCCCATCAAACCAGGCCGACATCCGCTGTGCGCGACAGCTGCCTCTTTCCGTTTTTGCATGAGCTCCTAGATATTTCTGCAGGCTGTGATGTGTGATTGAATTCGAATTCCTGGCACTCGAACTCGATTCCCAACTCGACGCCTACGCCAGATACGTTTGCCCTGGCAGATGGAACAGCTGCCCACCCCGGATAACCCATCCCAAAAAGGACACTCATGTCTCTTCCCACTCCCACCACTTGAACTGCACGCATATATTGTATGCAAAAGAGAGTAAAAAAGAGAAACGAGCTATTGATACTAACAAAAAATGGAAAACTTTTTATTTGATTTATTTCTGACTTTGACATTTTGCCAAGGCGCCAGAGTTCCAACGAGTTCCCTGCAATATTGATGACGATAGCGAAGGGCTGCCGAACGAAACAGAAATCAGCAAAACTTTTCCCACCCAGAGGCATTTACAAGATTCCGGCTAGGGACAACACAGTCAATGGGAAAGGCTGCACCCGCACTTAGTTCCCTCCTTCCTGCTTGGTCCTTGGAGTCAGACTGCAGCACAGCGGCTGCGAAGGAATCATGTAAGCAATTTATCTACGTCCTTGCATCGCCGCCAGGGGGGAGTGGGCGCGAAAAAACAACGGGCAACTTGAGGAAACATGCGAAATAGTTAAAGCTGTCAAAAGAGCAACACAGCACAATGTCCACACATAAATAAAGGGGCAAATTACATAATGCTTTGGAGAAATAAGTTAAAGTTTTTAAGGGGGCCCAAGACGCCTGTCTTTTATTTTGATGGGACACTGGGAGAAGAATAAATAAAATTTCGTTTTTTTTCAGGGTATATTTTCTATTAACAAACAATCAGCAAGAAATTATCGATTGACGAAGAATAAAAAAGAACAAATAAACGTTTTTTATTAAAAAATTAATATTTTTACTAATTTAAATTTTATTTTTAATCGATAAAGACACAAACCTTGTATTGTTTATATATTTTTAATCCTATACTATACTATACTTTCAAGGCTTTGTAATAGAAATTGTATTTAAATTTATATTTATTTAAGATAATCTATTTTAATAACTGGAAAAGTGGTCAACAATATCATATTAAAAACAAAAAAAATTCTTTAAATACATTTACAACTCAAACTGAAAATAACTTCCATTTCCCAAACTGCGTATTCCGTGCCTCACAATAATTCATTTTCTAGGCCTAAACAGTTTGGTAAGACAGCATTGGCGTGTTCAAAATGCATGCAATAGTAATGAATTAACTTTTATATGCATAGCAAATAGCTTTAAGTTAAAGTTATAAGCCATCAATCGTTATGGCTAATCGATTAAGCCAATAGTCGTAAAAGATTTAATATTGGCAAAGGTCAATTGATTTTATCAAATTATACAAGAATATCCATATCCATAATATCCTTTTTATGCAGTATGGATTTTATTTAAATAATTTATACAGTAATATCTTATAAATTATAAAAACTATTATAAATGAAACAATATTCTAAATGAATCCTAAATTGTTTGCGTTTTTCACGTAAAAAACCTCGTTCTGTCTTCCCCAAATTAATGTATAATTTCGTGGCTTTATTTCTGGCTGTGTATCCAGCCTCAGCGGTTTGAGTTCCGCCGGCAGGCACTGTCAAGAGCGTTGAGCACAAAGGCAAACATGCTCGTAGGGGCGAGTAGCACCCACTAAAGGCAAGCTGTTACAGGTCGCAGCAGGGAACTGCGAACGCAACAAAGCCAGGAAGCAGGCGCCAAAGACGAAGGGGAACGTAGGGTTAAGGGCTCGGCATTAAGGATTAAGGGTTGAGAGGTGAGACCCCGACACGGCCCACTCACATAACTCAAAGCGGATCTACATAATTGACGTGAAATACTCGTAACCGTAAATCGTACATTACCCACCAACAACGGGAGACTGAAAGAGTGAACAAAAAAGGTTAACATGCTGCCGGAATTGCCGTGAAAAGTGTTTTAAGACGAAAGCCTGGCCTGCGTAAAAGTTTACGCCCAGATAATGGAGCCATGCGAGAGAGGTGTTATTTAATGAGGCGCCCAGCAGCCGAACAGAGTTAATGCCGGGCAGATCAAAGGCATTTGAAGTGCGGCTCTTGAGGGAAAGATTATCACTCAGAGTCACCTTGTGCTTAATTTGTGATTCAATTTCAAACTCCTCCCGTGTAGATCATCTCGATTCTCATTAGCATACTTGAATTTGGGAATCTTGTTGGCACCTCGGACACTTCCAGCGGGAAACTAATGAAGTTCCTGGCCTAAACACATGGATGTTCTAGTAAACATCGGTATCAGCTACATTAACATCAGTTACGATATCATTCCTGTCGCATTTTGGGCGGCATTTGTCTGAAAAAGGCCAACTAAGCCGAAAGGCTTTGCCAAATTACGCATACGCAGTGTGTGCGCCCTGTAATCCAGCATGTGTGTCTCTCTATGTGCGTCTGTATGTGTATGTGGTGGGGTCTTGTAATTGCATTTGCTGTACGCTGTGTTTACATGTGCGTGCATAATTAGAGCAAATGTTGTTCGTGTAATCAAATCATCGGATTGCGGACCCTTTGCCGCCTCGAAGGACGAACGGGTTAAAGGAAAATTCCGGGATAAGCGGGTAAACTTTAAGCGAACCTACTTGGAAAAACCCGCCATTGCCGGAAACCGGCTGCTCGTGCCTAATTGAGTTTGCCGCTTGGCATTCTTCGGGGGTCCCTGCTTAAGCAAATGTTGAGCATGCGAATGCCAGGATATAAAAAGCATTTTCATTACGTCGACGATGCAGCCAGGCAAAAAAAATGTCGAAAATTTTCTTTTCAGAAATTGCTGCTGGAACAGGAGGGAGCTCAGCCACACGCACATCCACATTCACTTCCCGGAGAAAAAACACTCTTAAAGAGCAGTTGTGCAATAAGCAAAGGAGAATGCGGATACACATAGCTGCGAGTTTCTAACGAGCAGCTTTTCCACCAGACAAATGAGCACTGGCTGCAGGACGTGCATAGGAATTGAGATTGGGGGTTCAACTCTGCCACTGCCACGACCTCATTTGCACCGTGCCACGCCCATCCACTTGGCCACTGAAGAATTCCCGGGGCCAAGTGCTACGCGCTATTTATCTGGCACCTTGAGGGTCCTTCACACGGTGCATCCGGCCTCGAAAATGCGTTGGCAGGCGCCTATGTTGACTCAGCAAAAAAGCCCCTAGAAATAAGGTGATTTTTTCAATTCATTTCCGGGAAGAATGAGGCAAGGATTGATAGAAAATAGTACAGTGTTTGTTCAAAGAATTTCGTCCTTATTATATATACTTATATAATAGGCATGACTCCTCAATAAAAAATATATTAGCTTAGATAAATAATACAACTAAGAATCCTTCTATTAAAAATAAATATCCAGATTTAAAAAGTAACCCATGAAATCGAAAAATTTTTTCTCTTCTGCTCATTAAAGGTTTACGCTGCATTTTTGATTCTTATATTAATGTGAATATAAAAAAAGAACAAAAAATCGAGGCGACACAATGCGAAATTAATGGAAAAAGGAAATCCTGCAGGACTTAATAAATGAATCGAAATTCGTCAAATGAATTTCCGATTGACAGACGACAGCTTTTCGTTTAACTTAAATTCTTTAGAGAATACTCTACAACCATTTGTATGATAATTAAATAAATAAGTATTGCAATTCTTTTATAATCAGCTATGAATCATTATCAAAATCTACTTTTATAATGAAATTATATCTGTTTGGCTTTGAACAACTCCCAATTATTTAGACTTTGTAGAAAATGCTTGAAGTGCGATTCACGCGAGTACGTTCAATTATGTAATCATGTTGGCGAATAAATAATTGCATCAATTATCATTGTATCAGTTTCTTTCTGACAAGCTTTATTAATTATTTGTTAAAGAGCAAATCGATTTCATTTGTTATTTGCATAGAATTTTAAGTTGAGCGTGCTTATTGAAAATTCTTTATTAAATAAACGTAAAAATGTAGGAAAAATATAGAGCACGAAAAACTCAAAAAGCATTTTAGTTTCGGACCAGCAATTTGATGGCCATCCGATGGCAACTAAATCGCTTTTGATTGCGGCCCAATCCGGCTTCCATCCGCCGTTCAAACAGATTGTTAATTCTGTTTGCCTTCGGCTGGCTGACAATTCATTGGGCTTTGCTCGGCGGTGCGGCAAATCCCGGGGATCCTACAAATCCCGCCCCAAAATCACCCCCCGCAGTGGTTAAGTAATGGCAAACATTCGACTTACTGTCGCTCCTTGCGCTGCTGTCGCTTCTTCTTGAACACTTTCCTGACGCGCAGCAGGAGGAAGGCAGCTCGGTCCACGGAGAGCGTGGTGCCACTTTTCTTTGCCGGTCCCGTTGCAGTATCCTCCATAGTGCTCCCGCTGCTCGTGGTCCTGCTGCTGATATTGGTGAGGATGCTGCTGCTGCTCCTGCTGAGGCTGCTGCGCTGCTGTTTCGTGTACCGACTGCCGTTGGCAGGTTATTTTGCGGCAGCACCACTTACGACAACTTGCGCCATTGCGCTGGCATTGGTATGCTCCCGGCGTAGTCCTTGCTCACTTTTAGCTTCGGGTTCGTGTTACACTAACGCTTTCACTATCGCCATCTTAGCAGGGAACTGTCGAAGGAGGAACATGGTTATGACTATGAGCACACACGCCTGGATTTACATATCCTGGCAGGACCTGCACGTGCTCCCAGCAGCCTCGTTTGTTTGCCCGACAATTGCGTGCCAAGAAGCAAATAATATTCTGCTTGCTTGTCGCAGGACACCAACATTCACCCAATCGTATGGCCCACATCCCACAGTCCATCGCCCATCGCCCATAGCCCACTTCCCTTCCATTACACACACGCGCAATATGCATTCATATGATATTGTTTTATTTATGATCTGCTGTTATAGCTGCTTAGGTAAGTTGCGAATATCCCGACGTTTTACGCATTTCCATAAACGAATTTCCCCAGCCACGGGACGCTTACACCCAAGGACATTTATCTTGCCACGTTCGTACTTTTATTATTGTCAAATAAAAATTTAAATTCATGTGGCTTTCAGAACGAAAGGACTTTAACCTAAAGCGACAGTGTAGCAGCAGCAGACACCGGACGTAAACAAGAGTCCTTACGGCGGGTTTATTTTCGGTCACTCTACTGTGTTATCTGAGGGCTTTTCTCGACTTTTTCTTGAGTTTTCCTTGAGTTTTCTTTGAGCTTCCCCTTATTGTCAGAGGCAAGCACTTCCATCAGCATTCTCATTGTCAGCTTCATTATCATAATCGTACCTTTTTCCAGATCAATTACGGATTAACTGTCAAGTTTATTGGTGTGCAAAAGGGTAAGAGAATGGGGAAAGGTAATCCCCGGAATCCCAAGGAGTGTTCTGAAGGTTTGCCACCGCCCCCCATTTTCCACCTGCTGTCAATGCGACGTCGCCAACTGACTTCTAAGTGAGCTTGAGTGGATTTTCAAAACATTTTCAGCACTCACACTCGCACATCCAAAGACTCAACCTCAAGTCGAGCTCACACCCAGGCACTGGGAGAAAAATGTTGGGAAATAAATCAATCAAATAAGTCAAATTTTAAACAAAAATAAATTAGATACTTGTTAAAAATTTAATTTCTTTAAAGAATGAAGATTTTTTGACTTCATTTAAGGGGTTGGATTTTATTTATTTAATTTTTTTCCCTGTACACCGCACTGTGTGCCACAGTTGCCTTGATAAAGGATAAGAAATTGCTTCTCAGCCAAAACCAGTGAAGCCGAGTTGAGGGACATCCCACAAAAGCGTCTTAGTGCTGCTTCTCGGTTAACTTAATATTGACTTATGTGCTTGGCCGCAATCGAAAACTATTTACGAGCGAGCGGGCAGACGCTCAGGAATCCTGTTAAATCGGTGATTGCTGAATGCCTTGGTTGTCCTTGGCTAAGTCCTCCTCAGAGGCTACAATGATTCCGCTGATAAATGATTATGATGCTGTCCGTATCTGGGTCACAAAGTGAGGAGATCCCGCCTGACTAACTGAATTCCTGATGAGCTCTGTTTGCCAGAAATAATTGCTGGAAGCTGCTGGCCAAGCAGCCCGAATCAAACGGAGCCATTACGTTTTGATGAGGGCACTGGCGACGGGGGCATCGAAGCAATTATTTCTTGATTTGATAATCACAGCCGGAAGCTGTCAAGTGCAGATGGATGTCAGTCGCCTGCACGGAGCAGAGACAAAAGGACGGACACGGCCAATCGGAGAGATAGCAGTTACTGGAGGAAATGGGAATATGTATGTGTCTGCAATCGAGAATTAAATTGTTTCACTTCGGAGGCAACCAGCCGAACGGAATGTGGCCAGAAATTTATTCCAAAATTAAGTAGCTGCTTTTCTTTCTCTTTTTGGAAGCAAGGAACTTCATTTTTATTATTTTATTTATCGATTAGTAATTAAAGATTCTTGCAAAAAGGTTGTAAACATAAATTTTCGTTAGTATCTCACTTAATTAGACTTTGGTTAAAGGTCATAAATAAGTATCTTCACAAAGTCCAATCTCTATTTCTTAATTTCCGGAATATCTATCCCGCAATAGACAACATTGGCTTTTGGCCAGGTTAGCCATCTAGTCTTCCGTTCCCGGCTCCAGCTCCCGGCATCGACATCGAGTTAATTGAATGTCATGCCAGGCTGTTGCAAGTCATTTCCGTACACGCCCGCGGCTCCTGTGCTCGCAGCTTAGATTCCGCATTTTGCCTTTAAAGTCAATCATTTCACGCTCGCTGCTTTGGAGGCTGCTGCGGCCGCTGCCGCTTTAGCGACTTCTTTGGCGAAGGACGATAAACGACACATCCTGGACAGGTGGAGCTGGCAACCACAACCACATCGGTGGCACGTCACCTGCAGCGTTTCCGCCGTTGATTTATTCGCCATTATGCCGAGACGTGACCGGTTGCGGTCCAGGACTACGACGCCACTCTCATCTTTGCCCCGACTTTGGGGCAAGGATGCCATAATTAAATAACAATTTGCCAGCGAACAGGGAAGGGGACAAACGAGCCAATGGCAGTTCGTATCGGGGCACACCCAAAGGACGCCAGCACATGTGCAGGGTGGCAGGAGCCCTGAGAGCCGTGCTCCGCCATCAAGTGCCTGACATAAAGCGAACGCGACCAACTCCCTTTATGTGCCAGCAGCATTCGGAGGACCTCTCGCCTTTGCACTTTTCTTTTGCATAATTTTTTATTCGACAAAACAAAGCGCTAAGCTGGGGAGCACAGCAAATAAGCTTAAATATATATTTAGAACAGTGCTCGGTATAATAAAATTTGTGATATTTTAAAGTATCAATAATTTGTTATATTATTTATTTAATATTTCTTTTGAATTAAATGAAACTTTTACTAATCCTTGTTGGGTATATATTTCAAGCAGGGCTTCTTTTCAGCTCAAACCACTATTATTTCTACCGCAGTTGTAACTACCAAATTTGTTTTCCATTTAACGTCCAGCTGGTTCAGACATCTACACCTCCAGTGGGAGACGGACAGAGCGAGGGCCGGAAATGAGTGCAAATTTATGCAGAAAGTAATTAAAAGTACCGTTGTCCGGCCACGTTTCCTGCCCAGCCTGCTCCTGTGCTTCTGTTACTGTTCCTGCTCCTGACGCCAGGGGAGGCGCAGCGGGCGCTGGGCGTGGCAGGCATTGTGGAGAAGCTTTGAGTTGTTTTTAACGATTTGTTTGCTCTCATAAAAGTAAATTTTAATGAAGTTGCAGCATAAAAGGCGCATAAACACGAGCCAAGTGGCTCGCTGACCTTTGTCCTTTGTGCCGCCGCCGCTGCTGGGAGCCTGCTCTTTGCTCCCTGCTCCTTGGCGGCGCTTAAGTGGTTCCGTTGAGTGTTTGCCTCTGTCTTAATTACTCGGCTTTCGTCTCATTGTCGGCTGGCCACGAAGCCAAATACCAAAACACCTTAAGCTAACGAGCAGCTCAGTGGCATCCCGCTCTTTCCACATCTCTCCGTCAGGATTCCCCACTTGACACCTAAACCCAAGCCAAGAATCCCAGTGGGGGGCAGCGAAAAGCACAATCAATTTCATTTCAGCGTCGAACACAACAACACAGAAGAGAAGCCACAAGGACTCGTCCTCGGAAATCGGTTGGAAGGACCGGTTCTGCCCACCTAATTTAAAGGACTAATTGTCAACATGCCGCATTTGCCAGCCGGCTAAGGACTGGGGGAACGACAGGATTGGATTGGGGCTTGGAAATTTCTCGCTAAATTTGTCTCAGACAGCCTAATTGGAATTTGGAATAAGCTGATTTAAAACGCTGCTGGGGGATCCTCGTTTAAAAATCTTCACACCTTACTGTATACACTGTGATCATTTTTGCAGATTTATTATAATATAAGATACTGCTTCAGTGGCCCCAAAATTTAACTTCCATAAATAACATTTATAGCAGAGTTTATCTTATTTTAGATTTATATAGTCCATAATCAATATGGTTATAAATCATCCGAGCTTCTTTCCACAAACTAATTTTAGGATAATTTAGTTCCCCTTCTTTGATTTCTGCCGAAGCCTTTGGCCTCTATTATCTCAGACATTGTGGCAATACGAGTGGCTTCATCGGCTAGCCTTCGTCTGTGTCTGCTCCCTCAGTTAAGGAATCCTTATCCAAGGCAAGCACTCTTGATGCACCTCGCTGAAAATTGCCCTAGTTTTGTACTGACTGGCCCCGCCCTCCCTGGGGCTGTGTGGATATTCTCCGATATCGGCTTAGGTCCTGCCATCAAACTGCCATTTGACCTGCCACCCCAGTTATTATTTGTCTGGCATTGTCTGGCCATATCAAGCCAGTTGCCACTCAACAGTCGGTCGGCCAAGCAAAATGTACAGCCTTATCGGCATCTCTCCATGGGCCGCAGTATTAGCACTTGAGTACAATTTTGCAGTGTAAATAGCCGGGCTAACAAAAGCCGTTAAAACAAAGCACGTTGTCAAAACGGGCGATGAGCGGCGACTAGGAGAGCGTAAATAATGCGGATAAAATGCGACATGTTAACAAGGCGGCGCCTTAAGAGGATTGCGATTGCCTGGGGCCGGAATTTTCAGTTGCGTGAAGTGAGTTGAAGGTGTTTTTTTGTCGGCTTCAGGTTGCCTGTATTTAGGGAATTTACATCCAGGCAACAAGCAGTGGCAAGCTCCAAAAACTAACTAAAAGTGGCGGGAGGAGTTAGACACATATTCGACAACGGGGCGTATGAGTGTTATTTTCATTTGGGCGTCCAGCCATGAAAATGCCAGCCTTGAAGTGTATTTTTATGTAGAATGGTGAGTGCACAAGACAGAAAAGCTTGAATACTTAAAAAAAGACAACA